ATTTTGACTGCATAGAGGAGTGGAAACGATCATCCAGTAATCGCTCTCGTCCCAGTTGTCCTTATTGGTACGCCCCCTATTTCCAGCTTAACTTTATATTGTACAAGAACTGATCTCGTTTTTAACTCAACTAGTCGAACTACCTGGATGGACCATGGTGATTACTCTTGGCCAGAGGTAGAGGAAGATGAAGATGATGAAGATGATGAAGATGATGAAGATGATGAAGATGATGAAGATGATGAAGATGATGAAGATGATGAAGATGATGAAGATGATGAAGATGATGAAGATGATGAAGATGATGAAGATGATGAAGATGATGAAGATGATGAAGATGATGAAGATGATGAAGAGGAAGAGGAAGAGGAAGAGGAAGAACCTACTGTGGACAGTAATGATATCACCCAGTCGCTTTCATCGGGTTTGAGTGGTTCTTCTGAGCCCGACCGCATCGAGCAAGCAAGTGAGGAGCAACCAGATGAAGCAGATGTTAACCTGCAGACCATCAACGCAGAAGAGGAGAATCTCACGGCATCTACTCTATCAGATAGGGAAATTCTTGAAGCCAACAGCATAGAACAGCTAAGCGAAAAGGAACCCGAAAAGACTGAGTCTGATTCAGAGAACTCTGACACAGAAGAAGAGCACGTACAGGAGGATAACTCATCGACCTCAGCCCTCATACCGGTACCGGATCTTACCGGGGAAAGGCCTTACCAACCCATCGTTGGCCAAATTATCTATCCTAGCGCCGACAATAACGCTATGAAAACTTACACAGATGCTGCTACGCAGACTTCGATGTCGGATCTACTATCCTTCCAGAAGCATACTGAAGATGAGGACACCGATAATGGCTGCTGCTTAGGCCCTCTGGTGCTAATCTGGCGCAGGGTATCTGACAGTTTGCCGAAACTTTCTAAGGGTTGAGCCGATATTCAGAGAGTGCATGTCAAGCACTTGTCATCGGAGCATTAAAAATGCGCGCTTGATTTTATCGTTGCTGTTATTAATACTGCGAAAGCCCTATATCGAGAATTCTCTGGATTTTGTTATTCGGGATAACACTAACCAACATGCCTCCTAATGCGCTGAACTGTTACATTCCAAAACCTATATCCAAGGAACGAGGAGTAGTTTTACTGCCCATTTATTTGCGGTATAGCAGGAGTTCTATACCCAAAATTAACCGAAATACATCAAAAGAATCAGCGTACTAGTTCTCTATGGAAGAAATAGACCTGTGGATGCTGATCTCGACCGCCGTTACGGCCCATCTTGTAGCCGCTACGCTACCCTAATTATATGGGAATATACTGACGCTGTTAGCTGGCGCTTCCTCATATCTCGCTGGTCGAGTTCTATTTATAGACAGTGAAGCTTAGTCAGGAAGTTACTTATGTCACGTGGTGATTAGTTGCCGCTAGAGTGTGATTACTAAGAAGCTTGGTTTTTTTTTACCTTTCTGTTATCAGATCTTTCGGCTCCTTGAATGTTGACTTATTTTCACTTATTCATATCGTGATTCATTCCGTCCTCTCCCATTCAAGCCAGCTATTACTAGTACGATATAACTACTATATCATATGCGGACAAAATTAAGCTAAAGTCAAACGTTTAGTGAAACATACTGTAAATGGCTACGGTGTCCTCGAAGGGCCTACTCCAGGGTCCTATATCTCGTTGTTGAACGTCTGGTGGGGAATATTATATGTCCTAGAAGGTTAAAGGGGATTTCAACATAAAGCGGCGGCAGAGGGTCGTTTTTGTATGCGCATGATATATCCAACACATCTTACTCGACAACGATGCTATGATCAGGAAATATACCCCTTTGACTGACAATTTAAACTGCAATACCTACATAAATTGGATACCAAAGACACCCTAGGTGCTCGACTAGAATTACCATACATTAGATGTTGGTGATGCTTATGTATGTCAAAGCTTCAAGAGCTGGGAAGCGAGAAGTATCCCATATAACCAATGGTGCGTCGATGCATTAAATAACTCCTGATGGTAAACTATAACCGAATTTGTCATACAAAGTAGGTTAGAAAGAGATCCAGGAAAACAACGCCAGTATAACAACTATATTTGTTAAACATAGGATCCATACTATGAGTTCCCATAAGATGCATTGCAGGTTAAACGCCCTTATCTATGAAATGAAGAAAAGAAGAGAGGTAAAAGTAAAAATGGCCACCCATTGCTGTGGCATATTCAAGGTATCAATAGTCATCTTTCTGACTGCACACATGTGCCCTATTTAGTTCTGATATATATGTAGTTGTGCTGCGATTAGTCCTCTTTATTTATTTCGAATAAGCAGTGTATCGATAGAATCAAACGAGTCAGAATCCACATATCTGCAGTAACAGTTAGTATTAGCCCAAACATGGACTGTACGGTCGATATCATGTCAGTGGGAACATACATGTATGTCATGCTACTTCTCAGACTGTTTTGAATGACTTCAGGATGCCAGCGGAAGATATACATGACCATTGCCCAGCTTAAACTAGCGAAACATGGCCATGCTGCCTCGCTTATGTTTTCCCGCGCCTTGGGAGTAATCAGGAACGATAATGGATGCTGGTTTGGCGCTATGGAGAGTCTTCCGAGAGCTAGCATGACTCGCGCGAAAACGTAAATAACGATCTATCCCCGATGAAAGTTCAGTGGTGAGATGATGCGCTTTCAGAGATAGGTTAGAAGTTATGTATATACTAACCTGCAGACTGACGTCTCCTGGAGATCTGCCAAAGACGAGATATCCACCTAATAGACCGGCTAGGAAGGTGTCATATGGACCCTCCTTACCCCAACCAGTAGGGCCGATATATTTTAACGCCCACATGGACGACTTGTATACGACGGCAAAATAGGCGAGATTTCGAGCGTGTGTCCTTGTGGCGTTCAATACCATCCATATCTTTTTCTTTAAACTGTAGAGCAAGACGTGCGTAAGCATTCGTTGTTGTAGCAGCGTAGGTGACAAGCTACCTACCTTCCAGACCGGAATAAAAAGATCATCCTAGTAGCATGAGAGAACATCAGTATAAATCCTCCAGTTTTTCAACTTATACACAAGAGTGTAGGGCCCATCCTTACACTAGTGCATGCGGGAATCGGACTTTGGCGCCGTATACCGCACCATTGCGAGCGCCTTTGAGGATGGCGAATAGGGGAGCGAGGTCAGGGTTGCGGATGAGCTCATTGAGGCCAGCCTATAGAGTGAGTCTATTAGCCAAATAGTATGACCGGCATGCTTAAGAATGAGCGTATACCTTTATAGCGTCCATGATGGCGTCGGAGTTTTTGATGTCCAGGCGAAGACTGCCGGGACAGGGATCCGGGTTGCGCAGGATATCTGTCGGCTCGTCATATATACACCATACCAGAGCAAATCTCACGTTCTCAAGTCAAAAGAAGCTGGATAAAAGAGCTAGAGTTATTTGGTTAGTGGTATGGCAGTTGAAGAGTTGGTGAATTTGCTGAACAGAACATGGAGAAATCCAAGTTGAAGACGATAAACACATGCGAAGAGCCTCGGCATCTTAAAGGCGCCAAGAGCTGACTGGATATTCATTGTTCCGTATAATCACGTGATAAATTATCGACTTTCTTGGCCACTTACTAGACCTCAGTAACTAGCCGATATACTAGGAGCATATAGCGTGGATAAATATATATTAGCGACATTATGTGCTGCTTGCCTTTTAGTGGCCGGTGACTGCCACCATCCTCCCAAGCAAAAATCGAGATAGTCACGTGATTTGTGAATCGGGTCGGAATTATAGTTATTCCGCCCGGCTCTCGGCTGCAAGTGGACCTCGGGACGATCCACCACCGCCAGCTTTTCCGCCCTGCGACCAACATCGTCACAGCGGAGGCCAGAAGCAAGTGTGACTCTGGCGGTTGACGATGATGGAAGGCTGCGGGGGAACCGAGATCCCTGGGGCTGCAAAGAGGATGGAGCAGGCTATAATTTAAGCGATATTCTGTCCGCCTTTTCTGTCCGCCTTCCCCTCATTATTCAGTATTGCCCCTATGGAGTACACTCCTTGTAGGGTTATGCTCCAACGGCGGGCTGCTAGCCGCATAGACTTTCTCCATTTGACCCCGAGTGTATAACATCGGACGAGATCCTCCGTACGGATAACTGCCTGTCCTCTTGCCTCAGCTTGTCCCCTTCCGCGCCGCGCACGCCATCCTAGTCGTTTGAAGTGCTGGCCGCTGCTGTCCTCCATTCATTCGACAACGCTGTCTCAGTCGAGAGCGTCAGGCCGTAACGCGTGTTCGAGCAAACTCTATCCATCCTCAATCTCTAGGCGTAGAATACAGGATGAAAAGGTGATATTGAGAAGCCGAGTTCAACGGCCAGATCTCTGCAGCAGATCCCATGTGGCTGTCCCAAGAATAGCTCATGATACATGAACCGGCGAAGAAGAAAAGACGAAACAACAAAATAATAGCAATAATAGAACAATAAAAGCGAGAGCAGAGAGAGAAAAAAGAAAACAAAAGAAAAAGCCGACAGGAAAGCTATGCCAAGACTTAAGTGTTATTATTCCTGATGCGGCAAGTACATGCGAGATCTCCCGTGATCTGGCCAATCGGGTGGCAGAGATCAAGCTTGGGCCGAGGCGGAAAACTTGCGGGCGAGAAAAAGCGACTTGTTGACCATCACCGACTCCGCGTGAGGATGGTTAAGCATCGAGCTATGGAAGAGGGAGTGAAGCAAGCTTGGCTGTCAGTGGCTGCATGGGGCTGCCGTGGTGTTCTCGGTCCTGGTTCTCATGCCTTCGTGTTCTCGATCTGCGTGGGGTGAGGGAGCTGCCGGTCTGCTGGATACCGGCCCTGCTTCATCTGCGGCTCCGAAAACCATATAAAACATCCAAACCTGGCAGTCCTCCGGTTTTTTCTTTCTTTTCATCTTTGTACAAATAATACAGTCCTATCTTATCGGCTTTGGATGGTAGGTGCTGTTCATCTCTATTAAAGAGCACATTCATAATGGCGCCGCATCCATTCGACCCCGTGACGCCTGCTGAGCTCAAGCTGGCTGTCAAGATCCTCGAGGACGCCTTTCCGGGAGTTCCTTTACGGTACAAGGTTATTGATGTTCAGGAGCCCATCAAGAAGGATGTCGTGCCTTATATCGAGGCGGAGAGATTATGTGTCTCCCTGCCCAAGAAGCCTGCTCGTCTCCTCATGGCCATGTTCCATCGACTGGATACGAAGAGCTTGATGAAGGCGCTGGTTAATGTTGATACGCGGGTTATCCTATATGCAAAGGAGATCCCCAAGGATATACAGGTAAGTCCTTACTCTCCTTCCAATTTAAACAGTCTCCATTAACAAATGTATAGGGCCCTTATGACCCTGATGAGCTGATCGAGGTGGAGCAACTCTGTTTGGAGCATCCTGCTGTTAAAGCTGAAATTGAGAAGCTGAAGCTTCCCCCAGGCGTGACTGTTATTACTGACCCATGGATCTATGGAACCGATAACCAAGACGAAACCCGCCGTCTGGTTCAGTTTTACGTGTATCTTGTCGATACAGAAGACCCTCAGCATAACCACTACTCCCTGCCATGCGCTTTCTCCCCGGTATTTGACGGTAATACCAAGGAACTAGTCCGCATTGACTACCTACCTACCGGCTCTGATCATTCTACTCAGCCTACCCAGCCTTGGAAGCCCGTTAAGGCTGTCCAGTATGCCCATAGTCTTTTGGATGAGCCTACTCGAACAGATCTCAAACCTTACATTGTACAGCAGCCTGAAGGCCCTTCATTCTCCGTAAATGGGAACTTTGTGCATTGGCAAAAGTGGAGATTCCATGTCGGATTCAATTATCGCGAAGGGATGGTACTCTATGGTGTGACCTATGACAGACGCAACGTTTTCTACCGCCTTGCAGTGAATGAAATGACTGTTCCTTATGGAGGTAAGCTTGTTTATTGTAAACGACCTTTACCTTAGAAATTTACCTACTAATTCGAATGTAGATCCACGGGCGCCATATCACCGTAAACAGGCATTTGATATCGGGGATGTTGGTTTTGGAGTTACGGCCAATCAGCTATCCCTGGGCTGTGACTGCCTCGGCCATATTAAATATTTCGATGGCTACAGGATCGACTCCAAGGGAAATCCAGTCCTTTTGGAGAACGTTCTCTGTCTACATGAACAGGACAATGGAATTCAGCATAAACACACCAACTACCGTTCCCAGGCGGCTACCGTGGTCCGAAACCGTCAGCTTGTTTTGCAAATGATCTGCACAGTTGCAAACTACGAGTACATATTTGCCTGGATATTCGATCAAGCAGGAAACATCGAGCTTGAAGTCAAGGCTACAGGTATATTGTCCACCATGCCCATTGATGACGGAGTATCTGTCCCATTCGGTACCAACGTGGCTCCGGGAGTCATGGCTGCCTACCATCAGCATATATTCAGCGTGCGCATTGACCCAGCCATCGATGGCTACAACAATACCGTAATATACCAAGACAGTGTACCAATGCCAGATGACCCGAAGACAAATCCTTACGGTGTAGGGTACGTCCAGGAAACCAAGGTCATCAAGCGTTCAACTGCAGCCGACCTTAGCGTCCCCGACGCCCGCGTTTTCAAAATAAGAAACGACAATATCATCAACCCCATATCCGGCAAGCCGGTTGCCTACAAACTGCATGCATTGCCCAGCCAGCTCATGCTTATGCATCCACGCAGCTTCAGCGTGAAACGAGCCCAATTCGCTACTCGGCCAATATGGGTGACCAAGTACCATGAAGAGGAGCTATACGCTGCTGGCGAATTCACTAACCAAAGCAAGGAAAGCTCTGGTGTTGAGCAATGGGTTGCTCGAGATGAAAACGTCGAAAACACAGATGTTGTTCTCTGGCATAGTAAGTCAGGTCCAATTTCTATCTATCACAGAATGGATGCTAACAAAACGGATAGCCTTCGCACTTACGCATAATCCCCGACCAGAAGACTTCCCGGTTATGCCTATGGAGAAGGTCAGCATCATGCTCAGGCCGGATGGCTTTTTCGAGAAAAACCCTGCTCTAGACGTCCCACAGTCAACGCAGGATTTCAACAAGTCTTCTCTACATGCTAGCCCCGAAAAGAATGAAGCCAAACCCTGCCCATGCCCATCTACCTCGAAGCTCTAGAAGTTGGTTGGTCTGTAGACGGTGGATGTATATGAATGTGGTGTACGCATTACGCTATACTGATTATTTACTTTAAGAGACTAATTTCATGAATATATTATTCCCTTCGTGAAGCTAGCTGTCGATTTTCAAAACGACTAGCCATTCCGCTTTGCTGTTGCAGCTTATGGTTTATTGGATGTTTACCTATCACAAAGATCACTGCAATTGGACAATTAGAAGCAATACAACAAGCTGACAATTCCTCACTCCAGCTAAAAAGGAGATTTATGAAACCTTGTGAGGAATCCACGCGGCATCTGATTTAAGCTATATATTGAGCATCTAGTCAGGGAGAAAGTCAACAGAACAACGATGGCTTTAAGAATGACAGTTTTTCAGACTTTGCATCCATGAAAATCGAAAGAATCAACCATGATACCTATACCGACTTACAAATTTCCTCACGACCCAGCGCTGGTCCAGTTACTAACGATAGCACGTCAGACCCCCGCCGCTGACATTGTTATCGAAGACAGTGCCCTTAACTGCCAGAAGACGTACCCCGAGCTACTTGCTGATATAGTTGCAACACGAGAGCTCCTCCGGGCCCAATTACCCCAATCAGCATTAGATGCAAAAGGGCTTCTATGTGATAAGAGGCAAAATATTGTTCTTCTCGCGAAGAGTGGCTATGAGTTTCTCGTTTCCTTCTTTGCCATACGCTCCTTAGGTGGAGTATGCGCACCATTAGGTTTCAATTCACCCTCCGTACAAACATTCAAAAGGAAATAATAGTCGACTGACCAGCTATCTCCAGGAACTGGCGTGCTCCCCGAGGAGGCCGATTATTTCCTTTTAATGACAAACTCCATATCCATACTTGCTGACCGAGGAAGTATGGAAAGGGCGGACAATATTCGCGCCTACGTCAAGCAAACGAGGTCCGAATTCTTGACAGTTGTACCTATATCTTGTGATGCACAGCCCCTTTTTGAAGCTGAAGGAGCCATTGAGATTGACCATACCTGCATCATGGCCCCAGATGGAGCAGGATTAATAATGTTCACGTCCGGTACCACTGGACGCCCAAAAGGAGTTGTACTACCGCGATGTTCTCTTCTTGGAACCGGTGCCAGAGAGCCTGGCTCCGTGGCCCTTGTTTATCGCCCAAACCACTGGCTTGGCGGTGCCAGGCATATCATTCAGTCGCTTCTCTCAGGGAGAAAACTACACAGTCTAAAAACAAAAGTCCAGGATGCTCGTGCTCAGGACGTTCTCCGAGCCTTTCGAACCTCTTCGATCACACATGTTGCATTTATGCCAGATGTGTTGCAGCGTATGATGTTCTTACTCACTTGCCACAGGGATCAATCCACCATCCCGCAAAAGGAGAAGGATCTATGGCGCAGTTATTTCAAAGGATTGTCGATAATCAGATGTTCTGGCGGATCACTCAAATCATCAGTAAGGGAATTCTGGATCGATTTAACAGGGTTACCGTTTGAGAATTTCTATTCTTCTACAGAGCTTGGAGGACTTGCGATTGGTGGAGCGTCTCAGAGATACGTACGTCCTGCATCCAAAAATTTGAGCCTAGTAACGAATAAGAAAATAACGGTGCTGTCTAGGGCTCTATGGGGACACCTGCCCCGGGAATCAAAGTAAAACTATCAGAAGGAGATCGAGGAGAGCTCTGTGTTAAAAGTCCGAAGATGCTGTTACGGTATGTAGCTCAGCAATTGATTACTCCCTGTCTGTCATATTGTATTAACTAAGTTGTCTGGCACAGTTATCTGGGAGACAGCCATACAATCGAGAATACCTTTGACAAAGAAGGGTACTATAAGACTGGGGACTTAGCTAAATACATTGACGGAGAATACATATTCTCTGGGCGCGTGGCCACTGACTGTAAGCTCCGATGCGTGTTCTACTTCGCTTATGCAAACTTAAAGTGAAATGGGGAGGTTAACAGGATTGATAGGTGTCCAATATGCAGCATTTCGGTTTTCAACCCTTGCAGTCGAGGACAGTTTAGCCAAACTGCCATATATCCTAGAAACATGCGTTGTGGCCGTACCTCATAAAAAACTTAGACAGCTTTGTGCAGCTGTGGTGAGGCTCCGGCCTGATGCTCGAATACCTAGGAAGATATCAACTCTAGGGTTGATCAGATCAGATCTAGAAGGCAAGTTACCAATGTACATGATGCCAACCCTACTTCGAGTGTTAAAGGATGAGGAGGAGTTGCCATGTACAATCGCTGGGAAGCCTACCAAAAGGGAGGTCCTCAGGCTATACTTTGGCAGCGTAAATGGCGCTCAGGTCGATAGCTACCCCCCGGGGGTAGAGTGTTGCCCTATCCCTAAACCGGGTGAAGCTACCAAGCCATGGGACTGGGATGGACGGCAATTCGAGCATTAAAGCATTATACTGTCAGTCGTGACATCGGGTTTATGGGTTATTGTGACAAGCTGCTAGTTGTTTTTCGACGCGTGTTAATGGCTATTGGTAAAAAGAACCTATCGAAACTTTTACGTCTGCTTAACTAGTTAATCAACTTGTTAGTTAGCACTACTGGCCATTTACTGAGTTATTACTATTACCATAACTATAAACAGATTATTCTAATTGTAACAGCGTGTAAAGATCTATTGTTCCGCATATTTTAATGCAGAGTTATCATAAGTCATTATGAGATCCGTACTCTATGTCCTGTGCCGGAACTGGATCATTGGACCATCAACGATACTCATGATCCGGTCAAGCACCTGGAACTCCATTGGGTTTGTTCTCCCACGTCCTCCAAGCGGATGGCCCGCACCCTTTCCACCGGCAACCCCATCCGCAAGCCGGAAGTCGTATTTCCAAATAAGCATGGCAATCGCAAGTTTCAAGGTCGAATTAACAAGTGGCCGCCCAATACAACCCCTTGGGCCAATTGAAAAGGGGGCGAAAGCAGCCTTGGCTATAGCAACCTGGGCGGCCTTCTGGGTATCTTGTTCATCCACCATCCATCGCTCTGGTATGAATTCGTGCGGACGGGAGAAATATCCTTCGTTGTGATGGATGCTGTAAATACTTGTTCCAACACTGAAGCCTTCTGGAATGAAGTTGTTGTCCACGGTGATTCCACCCTTGCCAACCTCTCGCCACAGGCAGCTTCCAATGGGAGGTGTGATGCGTAGGCATTCGTTGATACATGCATCGAGGTATTTGCATTGGTGAAGAGTTGGGCCAAGTTGAATCTCATCGGCGGACGAAAATGAAGACCGAATCTCTGATGCCAGCTTTTCATACGCGTGTTGGTTCCGCGATAAATAGAAGAAAACACTAGCCATGGCAGTGGCGGTAGTATCAAGACCTGTCATTATTGTATGGGTATAAATAATTGTAAAAAGAATGCATTTATATGGAGTTTTGTCTTACCTGCAATTGCTAGGCCCCCTGATTCCGATTGCATGGTGTCCGTACTGAGTGGTGATTCGGATGATGCATTCGTCAATTGGAGGATGTTAGAAACCACACATTTCCTTTTCATTGGCTCTGAATGATCGCTGATAGCGCTTTTAATAAACCTCCAGAAACTCCTTGTACCCTTGACAGCTCGAGGGAAGATCTTTCTGTGCAGACCTCCTACGGCTAGGTGCGGCATATAGATAAGCACGGCATTCCTAGTACTGGCATCTTCAATATCATTTAAGATATATCTGTACTTGCTAGACTTGAGGAGTGAATAGTCAGAACCGAAAATAAAGTCCATGTTTATGTCGAACGTCAGATAGCTGCACCAGTCTGACATTTTAATTTCACGTTTCCATCCACCAGTGTGTTGCTGCAATGGCAAGAGATCAATACTCTCACAAAAGGAGTTAATATGATAGAGCATTCGATTTTCGAATGTTTTGATATACGTATCGGTGAAGGACCGTCCGATCAAACGTCTCCGTTTAGCATGAGTTTTTTTATCGTGAAGAGTGACTAGATTCTGAGCTCTAGGGCTCAGGGCTTCGAATTGGTGATGCTTCCACGCATTACTACCCATGCCGTAGATCTCTAGAGTTATGTTAATTGCCTTATTCTGCAATTATCTCTTTATAGATAGATACTTACCGTGTAGTGAGATACTGGTATTAAACGAAACGAAACTTGGGCTATATCGTACAACAGGGCCTATAGAAATTAGATTCTACTCCCGATATAGCGAGAATGAGGTAGATTCGACACACCATATTTCAAGTGACACATCCATAAGTCGAGATGAATATCACCTTTCCACGCGTGATAAACGATCGGTAAAGAGGTGAACTTGGCAAGCAACGGCCCTGGATACTTTGCTACCGGAGAAAGGTAGAGCTGATAAACGCAATATGCAATGGTCTACTTCCATTAGCATCAAGAACTTTATATGGGTAGATATAGCAGCTGTTACTCACCAGAGCTACTAGGGCTGTGAGTATCACCCAGAGGGATAAATGATATTCAGTTTGGGAATTGGGATTGGTCGGCCAAAGCCATGGAATTAAGAGGATTTTTTCCATAGCTAAATTTTGGTATACAGGAATAATGACGGAATGGGTATATCTGTCATTCCACAGGGGAGCCATATACATATATACGCCCCATGTACACATACATGTAGAACCAATTCTCGTGTGGTAGCACATGGTTGGTGATGGGCGGTGGAGCCATACCTGTCGGTATTCGGTAGCCAGCTAGTGGGGAGGAGGTCCGGAAGCGAGGTATCGGGATAGAAACGGTGAAATGCTGCCGTGTAGCTCCCAGCTGCTGGTGAATGATTACCTGCAGCCCCGTTGACCTCGGTGGAGGCTGCTATGCTTAGTCATTGCGAGCTCGCTCATTGGCGGCGGCTGATTCGCTCCGATTCTTAAAAAACGAACCTGCAGGACAACAACGTCCAACCTCAAGCTTTCGCCTCGCGCCGCTGGAACCATTGACACCGCAGGATACGGGGGGATCAACTGTCAGATACTCATTGTCGGACTCGTATGCTGCTATCTGATATTTAGTTGATGGAGCTTCAGGCCTACCGCCAAGGTGATACCCGTTTGGGCTGGGGTGTATGTATGGAGCACCGTGGCAAGTCCATCAACATGCATACATAACAGTGCTGGTGCCTTTGTTCCTTTCGAAGAATGGTATCCAATGCTTAAGCGCAAAGACTTCCTTTTTTTGCCTAGTTTCATACCTTGCATAAACCCCGGTTGCCCATGGTTCTTAACTGGAAAGGGATTGGGGTACCCAACCACTCAATCCAACTAAACTACCCATCCCAAGAAAAGAAAAAGAACAAAAATCTGATAGTAGCTTGAATTTTGACGGGTGCATCTTGAAAAACGCTGTTAACGAAAAAAGACGCCCAATTAGATTGGGTGGCAATGCTGGATTGCTCGAGGGACGATGGGCTTGCAAACTCAAGCGGAACCCCAGGGAGGTGAATTCTCGCTAAAACAAGCCACTCACAGGCTTCAAGGATTACCAGCTATTCAATTATACATAACAACGGTGAACATGGTCAGCCCTGACCGCCTGGGGCCGTTTACTGCAACGATCTGCTATACAGATGGGTTCTCAAAGAGCTTTACAACTACTTGTATCCGAATTAGTTCTCCACAGCGGAGTCGGCCCCTTGTCATCCCAAGGTTGCACAGAACTCGATCAACTATGTGGCTTAGATGAATCGCGTTGTATGGAACCTGATGTTGTCGCACAGTTCATCTTTCGAGGGCGAACGGTGGATTTTGATAATGAATAGGCGATATCCAGCCTCGCCTCGTCGTCTTTTCTTTTCTGATTAGATACCGAACATCTATCCGTGAAAACTTCTATTACTACGTGACACCTACACTGCATGCAACATTCTCAATTCTGTCATGTGCATAACTTTAGGTGCCGCATGCCTTACGGCGATCTACTGACCGAAATGATGGGTCTACTTCTGACCTAACAAGTGGCTGAACAAGTTTGATTATCGTCTGGTTGACGTATAGCCTGCACTATTTAAAGAATCAAGTAAATCAAACCCGGAACCAGGTTATCACTTTCAGCTGAGGGAAGTCGAGGAGGCATCATGTTTGGAAAAGCACTGCCCTTCGTTCCTCCTGCCACCCTTTTCATCTCGTCATGTTTTCTGGACTTTTTATATCGCTCAATCGTCATACGCTTGGCCATATATACCACTATCACAGCAGTCGCGTGTCTTGCAATCATCAGCCCACCATTCAACAATGCTTTGCTCAACTATTTGACTGGTTTTTTCTCCTTCTGGTACATCATCTGGTCCGCCAACATACTTTTTATCTATCGTCCTCTGCAACTACGGCGCCTTAAAAGACATGGGTCTCCAGCTGAAATCGCCTACCGTTGGGAAGGGCTGCCACCTCCATATACCCATCGAAGATTCCAGTGGGCATGGGACCTTTCGACCAATTATCGTGGTATCGGTTGGGAGCATACCATGCCGACGGACGGCTATCCGCCTCTCAAAACACATGGCGTGGTTAAGGATAAGGATTTCAGTCCTCGTATACCTCTTATATGTAGGCAGGTACGCCGGATAGTGGTCTCATATATTCTGCTGGACCTTGCTCAGAATGTATTGCATATGAGTTGGAGAAATAGCTTGGACTGGGCAAGGGCTATAGGTATGATAAACAAAAGTATGCGTCCAAGAGAAGTGCATTATACTAACGCTTTTGCTGGCCAAACAGCCGAAATAATCGCTACTGGGCTCGCTCTCTTTGGCTTTACTGATGGGCTTCACGCTTTAGCCACACTCATCGGCGTTGGTCTACTGGGTGGAGAAGAGTGGATGTATCCCGCACTATTCGGTAGACTGGAATACTTTAAACAAATGCGTATAAAAGGTACGACCCGGCCTCCCCTCGTTGCCTGTCCAATTCGAGACAGCAACAAAAATGAACTAACATCCAGTAGATATCTGGGGTCGGGTGTGGCACGATCTGTTTAGAAGCGGGTTCCTCTCGCTCTCCCAAGCCATTGCGCCCAAGGGCCCGGCTGTGCTGCTGGTTTGCTTTATCTTATCCGGCCTTCTCCACGCAGCAGCGTCCTATTCGGCGTCCCGCGACACCACAGCCACGATGTGGGTATTCTTCTTCTTCTGTGCCCAGCCAATGGGTGTTATCTTACAGGCGTATATCGATGCCTCGGTTAAAGGCATTGCTGGCGAACCGAAGTCAAGCCCCATTGTTCCAATGGTTCGACGGTTCTTGGTGTTTTTGGCAGGCGTGGTTTTTGTTTACCACACATTTCCCTGGGCATGTCGGGACCCTGGGCTGAGAGAGGCTATCAATGGAGCGCCTCTTCCTTGGAGTCTCGCTCGTTTACTTTTGGCGTCTTTTTAAGCGGCTTGTGCTGATTTTTTTTTATACTCGAAATAAACTATTTTTTGTTATCTTCTTTCTATTTTTGGTAACCAGCCATTTTCTTTGGCTTCTTATTGGTCAGATCAACCTAGGCACTCTTCCCAGCCAATCAGTAATGCTGCGGCCTCCTAAATAACATACAGTAAGTGCTGCTGCTTCTTCAGTTATTATTTACTTGCCTTGAGGAAAAGAGATACTCATACTTGTAGGCTTGCAGGAAGAACTGAAAAGACAAAGAACGCTCCTTTGTATTGATGACACCCGTCGATCTTTACTCGTCCATATGCATGCACGCTGGGTGGCACCAGAACCCGCTTGTTATGCTGCATTTATGACCAGTTAACTAGTTTTAATCGGCAACGGCCTCAACGTGTGAGGGATCGCCAAACCTCCTATTGAATAGAATGCAATGCACCTCTGACGATGGTTGCCCGCGAGTCAGAAGGCGGGAAATGCGCATGCCAGCTATGGACCGGAGTCCAAATGTCTTTCATTACGTGGACAAGGAATGCAGACGGTTTTGCTGGCCGGTGCACCCGTCGAGACAAGCTAAGCTTCAAGCTTATCACAAGCGGAGGAATAGTTTAAAAAGCCAAACACGAGATCGCTGACTGAGTTTCGTATCGTCCAGATACATCCAAGCTTGTATGTATCATGGGAGCGAAGCCTTTCGACCCTGGAGACAGGGTACGGCCCCCCGCGATCATTAACATCAAACTACGGGTGCCAGATCGATAACAATTGCCCCTTGAACGGGACTGATACTACCGTCACTCTGGATTTCCGACAAGAAACCTGTTTCTTCAAAACATCCGACGTCTTGGCTTGATTTGAATTAAGAAACATGTAGTTTGCCCCGGACGGCTGCGAGAAAAGATCATGGAAGCCGGAGTTGACGAGCCTGCATGTAACTGCAGCGTACGACTCCCGTACACCCGCTGTCAGACCTTCAACCTGCCCGGCTGGTTGAAGCCACCAGCAGGAGCAGAGCGCTGCCATGGAAACAAGAGCTTCGTCTTCGTATCCCTGCCATCGAAATCCAGGCCAGGGCTTCCGGCTTACCCTTTCCAGGGATGACGAGTTAGTTGCTTGAATCCCATGGGCCAGCCAGGCAGCGAACTCTTGCTGGGAACGACCCCCGACTGTGCAGAGTTTGAAACACGTCCTGCATCTCTCCAGAATGCTTCTTCGGCGAGTTGCTCTCCCTATCTTTTTCTCTCTCTGGCCGTCTGTCTCTTGACGGGGGCCTCTGGAGAGCTTGATCGTAGGCTATATCATGGCACGTTAAGAACCTCGTCTTGTGGCTATGCAGGGCGGTTGACGGAACTGTGGAATCGAATTTGAACGGAGCCAAAAGCAAAGGGCTGAGCTGGCGGCTCCTCTTTGGCCAACGACTTAGCGACCTGAGGATGGTGAAACTCTTTGCCATTCACTCTGCTTTGCCTTCTTTCTTTTCTTTGGCGCTTCAAGCTCAAGGCTGGGAGGCTGGTGGAGTTGTCTTCCTTTGAGACGGGCGTACCTACATAAAGCCGCCGTCCCCTGCTTTCTCTCGCCTTCTCTTTTGTCTCTCTCTCTCTCTCTTTCTGTTTGCCTTCATCTCCTTCTTCCATCAGTGTCCAATTGCAAAGATGGCCCGTCTGCTCAGCTTCCTCGTCCTGGTGGCCCTGTGCCTGTGTCTCGTCTCCAGCGAGCCTCTCCGACAGCCACTGCTGCGAAAACACCATCCGCGCGAAGATGCCCGCGAGCACGCTGTCTTCTCGCTTCATGATCTCTCGCTCAAGCTCTTCCACAAGCGAGCTGCCGTGGCCGATCCAGTGCCTGGCGTTGTCGGTGCCGTCGAGGAGGCTGCCCGCCGCAAGGTCTTGAGACGCCAGAACACCGGCGATGTTCCCACTGCCACGCCAACGGGTACGGACTCTAATTCTCCCACTGCCTCTCCTACTGTGTCTCATACTGTGTCTCCAAGCCCTACGGCGTCTCCCACGGCGTCTCCAACGGCGTCTCCTACTGCTTCTCCTACTGCTTCTCCCACTGCTTCTCCCACTGCTTCTCCTACTGCGTCTCCAACGGACGGCTCATCCTCTTCTCACACAGAACGCCCTCCTACCAATACTCCCACCAACTCCCCTACCGACTCGCCTACCAATACCCCTACCAATTCTCCTACCGATAGCCCTACCAACACGCCCACAAACACTCCCACGGACTCTCCAACTGCTACCCCGACGGAGACTCCCACGGCCACACCTACCCGGACCCCAACCCAGCCTCCAACCAACACCCCTACGAACACTCCTACCGATACCCCTACTAATACGCCCACCAACACCCCTACCAACACTCCTACCGATACCCCAACCAATACTCCATCCGAGACACCTACCTCTCGGCCTACCGGGACTAGCCAGACGCCAACCAGCCAAGGCACCACTCTAGTCACCGAGACCTCTCCCTCGCCCACCAGCAGGCCCTCAGAAACCTCGAGACCACAGACCACCGAGCCACCAACCACCACCCGGCCTCGATCTTCATCTACTTCGACCTCCATTGGCGTCACTACTGAGGCTGACGGCTCTGTTCACACCTTCACCTCCGTCGTGGTCGTCTACCCAACCCCCTCTGATGGTGGCAATGGCGGATCTCCATCTAAGCCATCTGCCTCTCCAACTCTGCAGAACGGCGCCGCCCCCGTGGCCAGCGTTGGCCTGACCGGTGTCTTCGCCGCCGTACTCGGTGGTGCCGTCGGTGTTGCTCTCGTCCTTTAAACTCGCCTATAGACCTTAGTTTCTTTTCCTTCTCCTTTCCTGTCTCCTTTCCTTACGTTCTCTTGGGTTGCATAAAAAATTGATTGATTTACCGGATGTCCCAGTTTAGCGCTAATGACTTTTCTATCCACTCCTTTATACGACTATTTATGAAAAGCCCTTGTTTTCGAATACTGTTTCCGACGCCGATGCTTTGGTGTACTGCTTGCTTTGCTGCATGGTGACTTGTGAAGGTTCCTGGCCTGTTCCGTTCCTTTCGTTGACTTGTGCGTGTGTGTGTGTTTTGACTTTTGCTGAGCCGTGGTTGGAAGAGAGACATGTATCAAACTCCAACCTAGAATACAAATACTACAATACTAGACTTTGGCTTCTGGCCAAACAAACATTTATCTACTTCCTCCTAGGTACTAACTGTCTCACCATGGCTTCATGTTGCATTTTGCAGGAGTAGCGCTGGAAGGATACGAGGTGGAGGGCAACTCTAGTTTTATCTGTACAACGCACTGATTCCCCGGTCGAGTTTATATAACCGGTACTTCCCTGGCTATATAACCAAAACACCAGCCATGCATGAGATGAGATAGTCGGTCATATTAAATGATATTTAGTATACGGAGTAGAAAGGTAGTCGTCGCCGTCGTTATCCAACAAGAAGAAAATCCAACTCCATGCACCAATCCTGGTCCTCGGCCTTCAGCAGCTAGTTCTTCTCTAGCTTCTCCGGCCGTTGCCCGTAGACCACATATGCCGTCATATAAGCATGGATCTTCGTATCTAGGAAGTCCTTCTTCAGCCTCACTAGATGCTCTCTCACCCGCTGCTCGCTCCACCCATTCACCCTCGTCAACAGCGCCATCGACCATCCCTCCATACCTTCCATAGACTGTACCTGATTCCAAGCTCCAATTTCTTTTAGCTTGGGGTCTTTGGCCCAGGGTCCAATAGGGACTTTCATCTTGCGCTCTGTGATGTTGACGAAACCTGCTTCGCGGGCCCATCTGGCTAGATGAGGGCCGGGACAGGCTGTTTGGCCGATCTTTTCTGCTGCGCTGGTGGTTTCAGAGCAATTTATGTACATCTCGTGGGTTGGGAGGAGGGAGTTGTCGTCGCTGCGGAAGAGGAAGTCGAAGTCGTAGAATTCAGCGTAGCCGTTTGGCGCAAGGTTTCTGCATGCATGCAGTAGTTAGATAATGGAGGATTGAGCCTTGAGGATCAGGTGGGACCGGTAGACGTACTCGAGGACCTGGCGGAAGAGACGGGGCCAGTCTCGGATAGAAGAGGCCATGAAGCGGCAGTGGATGTAGTCGAAGGGATTGCTGTGTGCCCAGTCGTTCTCAACATCGTCTACTTCGAATTGTACATTTGGCGGGACGCTGCAGTAGTTAGTCTCCGCTGCCAGGTCGGCTGATGGGTGCGAAAGGTACTCACAGTCCTGGCTGGATGGGACTCAGGTCGTTTCCGATGACCTACCAACGGCTTAGTTATGACCATTCTCAGGCATTAACTGGGAATCATACCAGAGCTTTCGGGTATCGATCGGCTAGGCAAGTCAGCTATATACATTATACTTCGGCGGTAAGAGGATATTTACAACTCACCCATCTCAATAGCCCAGTCTCCCGTTCCAGTACCAATGTCTAAGACATGCTTGACATCCTCTGGGATAGGCGCAAGGAACAGTCGTCCACCGAGGATGAGTCTGAAGAGATGCGATATGATACTCATATGTTCCTGTTCCTTTTCATCGTTAGGTATCAAATACCCTTTTGTTTGTAAACCAAAAGTCAGTGTGTATATTCATGCATAAAAATCATGAGACAGGTAGACGGACGGCCTTCTTGGTATGTGTGGTATCGACGGCCATGCTCGTAGGTATATCTCATTATACTCGAGGTCAGCGATGCCGTGGTGCTTGATCTAGCGGCAGCCCGCGGTCAGCTTCCCGTAAGCCTAGCTCTATCGGCGGCTACCCACTGGTCGCAGAATGCAGAGTCCAGGATTGTATCACGCTACAGGGAGCTGGTAAGCATGGATCGGACATTAAATATATTAAAGGGCAGGCAGGCCAAGGGGGGCCCATACTGATTCATCGACGATAATCACCTCGTCCGAGGCTACCATGGGGACTTGTGGGAGTTAGCTTAGGCCGGCATATATGATGGAACAGTTGAATCAATCACCTTCTCCGGCCATCGTATATATTTATAAACAACTTGTTCTGTACGTTTGATGTCGATAGATATTGAAGCTGAATGTCGAGTAGATGTTGTTGGGTTGCCTTCCGTATAACCAAGGGAGTGCGAAGATTCCCTTAATATAGAAGACGGAAAAGTAAATATATGTAGAAATAGATAAAAAAAAAGACTAGAACATGCGGGGAGCAAGGCGAATATCGACAAGGGACCAACGATCAGGGCATCTTCCGTCCAGGTTCTTTATATACTTAATCCGCCATTCACAGCTGCAAAAGCCCGAGAGGCCCCCCTGTCCAAGAGTCCCGGTCACAGTTCCTAACGTTGAAGGCCAGCTTGAACAGAGCGAACCCAGCCAGGGGAAAGGGAAGAAAGAAAAGAGAGAGAAAGAGAGCCCAAAAGAAAGAGAAAAAGGCAGAGTCCTCTTAGCGGAGGCGACCTGGGATCTTTGACTCGACTAGTGAGCTGACGGGCCGCTCGCTTGAGTTCCCCCAGCCTATGAGACGAGCGCAGATATAGCCTTGGGCAGCCAGTAGTAGCGCAGATGCAGTCTGCCTTTTGCTCCTCTGCCCAGCCTTGACCTGCTGGCCGACTGGCTTTGCTGCACAAAAGAGCCGTTGGCCTTGCGACTGGGGGGTGGTGGGTGGTTGTACGAGCCACTGTGCGCCATGGGACGATGTGAGAGCCGGGCAAACACGGGGCGAACTGCACCCATCGTACGGAGTACAGAGTACATAAACTGGAGATACAGCGACCGAGACAGAGACAGACAGACAGACAGACAGACAGACAGACCGAGAGAGAGAGAGACCGAGATTGAGATTGAGACTTCGGCTTCTTTCTCTACCGCCGCTGCTGGCTGCCGCCGTTCCACCTCTCCGTGACCGTCCAGTACTTCACCAGGCGAGTCCAGCCCAGCAGGTCGCGGTCTCGCAACAGGGCCGCGACGTCGACGTTAAGCGGCGAGTCCGGGCTGGGGTCGGTCAGCAGCTGGTGTATCGCCGAGAGGGTGCTGGAGATGGTGTAGACGGGCGACCAGTGCTCTGACGTGAGCAACGTCAGACAGATATCGCCGCTCGTGAAGGAGATGTTGGGGTGGCAGATGGGCGTCTTGAAGGTGATCTTGGGCGGGTGCATGGGATATGTCGGCGGCACCGCGATGTGCAGCAGCCAGAGGCCGTCTTCAGCAGGGTCAGCCCGTTAGTTAGTGTCACAGACAGCCGGCGTAGACAGAGCGTTGGACGAGATACCTTCGTAGGGGGAGTCCGGGGCGCCCTTGAGGACGGCCTCCCAGTGCAGGAGGTCGTCGTCGCTCACGGGCGCGAGGGACAGCAGGACGTCATTGGGCGACTTGGAGTACTCCTTGAGCTCGCGCAGGAGTCTCTTCGTCGTCGAGGCCGGGATGTCGGCCATCTTGCTCGCTGTTTATGCTGTGTTATCGCTGTAGAGTCTTCGTCTTGCGGTCGTCTTCGTCGTCTTCGTCGTCTTTTGCTGGGATGTTTCGATTCTGGGGAACTTTTGAGATGCCGAGGTTGATGTGGCTGAGATGTGGCTTTAGCCGAAGATCAGTCAAATCATCCAGATGAACAATTAACAACAGCCGAAGACGAAGGATAAGCAGAGGAAGACGACAGGATGCGGACGTCGAGGGTCTCGCGAGAGGCAGCAAGACTGGCAGAGAGCTTGACTTCACGCAGACAGGCCGTCAAGACAGAAGCAGAGGCCGTTAAGAAGGAGGAAGACGCGAGTTCAGGCCTCTCTTCGCCCCCTACGACAGACATCGAGGACCTGCTCACGGCGACGAGGAAGCGCAAGAGAGCAGCTACAAGGACGAGGAAGGCTGTAAAGGCCGAAGATGGAGATGCCGGGCGCATGAAGGGCGTCAAGGATGAGCCGGGAGACGATATAAAGGGTCCGCCGAACTGGCAGGCCATCTACGAGACCGTCAAGCAGATGCGAGAACGCAACCCAACGGCCCCCGTCGACACGATGGGATGCGCAGAGCTGTACTGGCAGTCGTCCCCGCCCCGAGATAGGCGGTTTCATACGCTGATCGCCCTCATGCTCTCCTCTCAGACCAAGGACACCGTCACGGCCGCCGCGATGATGAGACTACACACCCAGCTCACGGACGAGACCCACGACAAACCCGTGGCAGAAGTCTGGGACCGCGCCCACCAGATGGCTCCCAGCACGCTGAACCTCGAGAACATGCTGGCTGTGTCTCCGGAGCGGCTGAACGAGCTCATCGGGGCCGTTGGGTTCCATAACAACAAGACACGGTACATCAAGGCCACGGCCGAGATCCTGCGAGATCGGTTCGACTCAGACATACCTTCGACCGTCGAGGGACTGATCAGCCTGCCTGGAGTAGGACCCAAGATGGCATATCTCTGCATGAGCTCGGCGTGGAACAGACATGAAGGCGTCGGCGTAGACGTCCATGTCCACCGCATCACCAATCTATGGGGATGGCATAAGACCAAGAACCCGGAGGCTACACGGGCTGCTCTCGAGAGCTGGCTGCCCAGGGACAAGTGGCATGAGATCAACAAGCTGCTCGTTGGGCTGGGGCAGACGGTTTGCTTGCCGGTGGGTAGACGGTGTGCCGAGTGCGATCTCTCGGGTACTGGACTATGTATTGCGGAGGTCAAGGGCAAGCCGAAGAACACAAGAAGGAGAATCAATCCCGTTAAGGCAGACAAGGAGGAAGAAGATGTTGGCTTCCCTGAAGTTCAGGAGAGCAAGATTGATATCAAGATGGACCCGGAGGATATCGATGTGCCGGATGTTAGCAAAGGCACCGATTTTCCCCAAGTCGAGGACAGCAAGATTGGTATCAAGGAGGACGCTGAGGAGAGTAAGATAAATATCAAACTCGAGACGTAGATGTAAGAATATGGTACGCTGTTTGTAGTACTAGAGATACCACTTTTGATTATATTTTATTATTTTACGTATTGTGGCATCTCCAGGTAGACATCAACCTCACAACACCAACAACGTCAAGCACCGTCTAGTAACTCCAACATGCCGATATCAGTGTCCAGCTTTGCGCAGATACAACAGCGTCTCCTTCTGGCCGAGCATGAAGATGAGATAGCGTCTTCTCCGCTGTCCTCTAGCTCTGCTGCTGCATCGGCTTCCACCCGACGAGCTCTGCAGAATGCTGGCCATGCACTCACTGGTATGGTCCTCACCAACTGCCGGACAGGTATGGGAGGTCGAGAAGTAGGCGAATTCAGTCTTGATACCGCTCTCTCGGGCTCTGGGCGGTCAAAGGGCGCCAGCAAAGACGAAGATAATACCCGACTAGGTGTCCATGGCATCACGGTGGGAGATATCGTCCGTGTCGAGGAGATTTCCTCTGGCAAGACCACAACCAAATCTAAGGCCGGGCAAGACGATGAGAAGAGCCATAGAGGCCTCGAAGGCGTCGTGACTCGTGTTGGCGAGAGAGCTATCTGGGCTGCCTTTGGGGATCGAGGCAAAGGGAAGCAAGATGAAGACGGCGTCGACGAGCTGTGGGGGCGCAAGCTCTGGCTGTACGTTATTTATTCTGATAGTTATGCAGTGTCGACTATATATTGATGATACTGACTTAATATAGAGTCAAACTGGCGAACGATGTTACCTACAGACGGTGGGTGTTGTCTTCCGTTTGGATGGAAACATACTAACAGCATTCAGAATGAACATGACCATGATGAAACTAGAAAAGATGCAAGAATCAGAATATTCCCAGCTCATCCGAGTGCTATTCGGGCATACTACACCCTCACCCCTGGACTTTGAATCCGTTGGTCAGCTGGAGTTCATGGATGGATCCCTTAATGGCTCCCAGAAAGAAGCCATCCGGTTTGCTCTTGCATCAAGAGAGATAGCACTCATCCATGGGCCACCAGGCACAGGAAAGACTCATACGCTCATTGAACTGATTCGCCAGCTGGTCCAACGCAAAAAGAGGGTTTTGGTCTGCGGTCCGTCAAACATCTCTGTCGACAATATAGTCGAGCGTCTTGCCTCTCAAAAAGTATCCTTGGTTCGGATAGGGCATCCAGCACGTCTACTGTCATCAGTTCTAGACCATTCACTAGAAGTCCTGTCTCAAACGTCTGAAGCTGCTGCAATAGTGAAGGATGTTAGGAAGGAGATTGATTTAAAACAAGCTAGTATTCGCAAGACCAGGAACGGGAGGGAGCGTCGAGCTATATACGGTGATCTTAGAGAACTCCGCAAAGAATTCAGAGAACGCGAATCGAAATGCGTCGACAATATCGTCTCCGGTAGCCAGGTGGTTCTCGGCACACTTCACGGGGCTGGAGGACATCAACTCAAAAATCAGAAATTTGACGTCGTAATTATTGACGAAGCGAGTCAGGCAAGGGAAGCTCAGTGCTGGATCCCACTGCTCTCTGCTAGCAAAGTTATATTGGCAGGAGACCATCTCCAGCTGCCTCCAACAATCAAGTCAAGGTCGTCAAGCAAGCCAGGTCAGAACAACTCTGCGTTATGGGACAAGGAAGACCTTGATCTTACCGAATTATCAAATAAGTTTGACATGCGGAACTTGGAGATAACGCTCTTTGACAGGCTACTTTCACTCCATGGCACAGCCATAAAAAGGATGCTCACTACTCAATACCGCATGCATCAGAAGATTATGGACTTCCCCTCCGGTGAACTATATGAATCCAAACTCATAGCAGCTGACGCTGTTAGGGAAAGACTCCTTAAGGATCTCCCATATGAAATCGAGGATATAGACGATACCATAGAACCTTTGGTCTTCTACGACACGCAGGGAGGAGATTTCCTTGAGAAATCACCGGATTCAACTAGTATTTCTGCCAAGTCCCTCCTCGTGGAAAGTAAATGTAACGACATGGAGGCGGAGGTCGTCGCGAGACATGTTGAGAATTTGGTTTCTGCCGGTGTCAGGCCGGAAGACATCGCTGTTATCACACCTTATAATGCGCAGGTTGCTTTATTATCGCAACTTTTAAAACAGAAGTTCCCTACCCTTGAACTCGGTAGTGTGGATGGTTTCCAAGGCCGTGAAAAGGAGGCAGTGGTTGTAAGTCTGGTCAGGAGCAACTCGGACCATGAAGTAGGATTCTTGGGAGAAAAAAGGAGATTGAATGGTATGTTGAACTTACTAATACCAATCTTCTGCTTCTTTGTGCTGACTAGAGCAGTTGCAATGACCCGACCGCGGCGACACCTATGTATCTGTGGAGATTCGGAAACCGTTGGCAGGTAGGCTATCTATCTTTATATTCTCGTCAAAAGTATCCTCAGATACTGATAATTATCTAGTGGATCACCCTTTCTGAAGAGATGGATGGCTTTCTTAGAAGAAAATGCCGACCTCAGATACCCTGATATCAGCGAATTTGCAAACTAAAATACTTATAGTATGGTTGCTGACGGATAACATATTTTTTTTGCAATAAAAAAGTTATCAATTGACCCAAAAGGAACAGCTAATAGGAACTATTAAAAATCAAATAACCCAAAGAATAAGCTGAGCTATTAACAAGCTAAGAAGAACAGAATAGAGACCCATCTCGAAAAACAGCATTGGATACGTATGGACGTGCACCACCTCTAAATAGCAGTGTTAACTTCATCCTGTCATGATGCTGAGCTATAACTTACCTATGGGTCGGGGAATTCTAGCTAATGGACCTTCCAAGTCGCCAGGTTCCTGAGCTGCTTGGGTAACCTTGAAAACTTTGCTGGGTTTGTTATTACTGTTCTGCGTGATGTTGACAGCTACCCTCGGCTCGGTTCCCAAAACTGACGTGCGGCGAGGTGTGGTTAATAGAGGCTGCCAGGGCGTAGCCGGGATGTTTGCATGGCTTCCGCTGTGGCGACCCCAAGTTTCTGTTGGATAGACCATATGATTAAATGCAGACCTCTCAGAACTAGGATCATAGTAATAGTATTCGCCCCTAGACCAACCACCGTGTCAATGGTATGTTCTTCCGACGCCCTTCAAGATGAAAGAACGAATAAACATACGATTCTTCTTCAGATGTGTGTGGATTTATCACTCGAAAGGGGTCTGGGTTTCTTGACGATGAAGGTTCATCTGGGCAATGGCAAGGCTCCGAATGGTAAAGTGGCTCCGGTCCTGGCGCCACAGCCTCTTGGGTCTCGGGTGCATTATGACAACCGTCATTTCTTAATATAGGATGGTTTAACAGTTCATCTGCCGTAGGGCGATGGGTCGGTTGTATCCCCCTCGCTTGCTGGGCCGCATGCCCCGCGTCCATGACCAGCTGAGGAACAGATATCTTACCTCGGCCACTTGACTCATTTTCGTCTCTTGGGGAACTTCGTTTACGCAAATTAAGAGGGTTAACCGCATAAAAACGACTTTCAGAAGGTTTCCCCTCTCGAGGTGGAGTTTCCGAGCCCTTGGCCATATTCGTTTAGCCGAACGTGAGGTTGGTATCAGTTATCCAATACTGCAACAACGCAAGACTTCAGGAGTAGATTTAGCCAATTCATGGTTCTGAGAGTGGCTATATATAATTTCAACTATTCCTTAAAATGTAAGTTTGCTATGATAGTATTCCAAATGGCCAAATCATGCGTGGTGCCAATGTAAACAGCACAGTTTGGCAAGCAGTAGGCTTAACCCGGATCTGTTTGTATCAACTATCAGCTCCATTGAGCAATCCACATAGTAAACTATGTAATGCAAGGGACAACAAACATACTGTAACAACTATGACCCGCTTGTGGTAGCATTTTATTATGAACACGTACATACGGTATACAATAGTGTCGATATTCGACTTCTCCAAAGAATAACGCTTAACTTGGCGTTTGATATCGAAAAGGTAAAATCGAACAAATAAGGTTTGACTAGCTAGCCACTAGTGAATTAGTGAACTCTATCCTCCCCTACAAAAGCGACAAGGTTTACAAAATAATTACATAATCTACTCTTTTTTCAACCGCAGCTTCTCTATTTTCCATCCTGTTTGTCCGTATAACGATACAGGTGGGTTATGGCCATCTACCAGCCTATTATTTACACAATTTGTATATAATTTAAACTCGCTGTGACATTGAAGAGCTTTTTCTTTCAGTGAAAATTCCGCTAATGCTGCGACTTGGTGAAGCAAACAAGCGCCGTTTTTAACAAATACCCTACAGTGATGGCTGGAAAATAAAGCAAGCATAAACCTAGAATGAATATGCTAGGTCTCTCACGCCATCTTCCTCTTTATCATTTAACCATGGTCTGGGTGCCTCTATACTAGAGCAATTATATGTCCTGCTCCGTGACTGTCTTTTCATTTGCCACGCTACGAGCTGCTCTATACCCTAACATACACGATGTTGACACCCACATTTGTTTCTCAGTCACTATATATACCCCGAAGAATTTCTTCAGAACGAATTAATCATTTTCTATGGCAGTAGGAACCTCGCGACTGTGCAACCCGCACATTCGTCATTCAGTTACATCAATGAATACCGACGGACTCTTTCCTGTTCAATATGGAAGCCCTCAACCTTTTTTTGAATGGCTACAAAGTTTATATAAAACCCTCTTTGTGGTTATTTAATCTTTAGCTGCCCAATTACTTTCAACTACGGCAAAACAAATTTCAACTTGGATCAATTATACACCTACAGCCCATTCTCTTTTAATAATACGACGTTCCATTATTATGGCCCACGATTTACCCGTGTCTCCTGAGTTCCATAGTAAATTCAAATGGATCAAGAAACTTGGAAATGGCTCATTTGGTGCAGTATATCTCTTCGAGTATCGACGCACTCGAGAAAAGTTTGCGTGTAAGTTAGCTCTAGACTCTGAAGCGCAAGCACTTCTCATGCGAGAGGCTGCTATTGTCAAGGAACTGCACCATGTGAGTGTTAGATCATATACATAACTTAGCTCCTACAGCCGCTACTAACACGGTGCAAGCCAAACATTATCGAGTTCGTCAGCAGCCAGTTTTCCTGGGAGGAGCAGCCATTCTGTTTGATAATGGCGTACCATCCTCTCGGCTCCCTGGATAATTATCGCTTTTCCCACCAAGAGACCCAAGAAGTTACCCGTCAGTGCCTCAGAGCTCTCCAATATCTCGAAGCAAAAACCATATTTCATCGAGATATTAAGCAGGATAATATATTGTTAAAGTCAACGTCCCCGTTGCATGTCTGTCTCGCTGATTTTGGTCTGGCGGTGACCAGTAGAGAAGGTGCCATGGAGGGTGGTCAGTTTACTCACATTGCTGTAGAAGTATACCTGGGCTGCAGGTATTCCTATATAGCTGATGTCTGGTCTCTTGGGGTAACTGCCCTTTCTCTTCTCCGGCGGTTCCCAGAGCGAGAAGCTCAGCGTTTCCTCCAACTTGTTCAGGATCAAGCAAAAGCGGCCGCATTTTATGAAAAACTGATGGCGGAAGCTAGCTCTCTGCGGGGATATTTTGGAGAGCTAGTAAAACATATGCTGTGTGCCCCAGCAGATCGATGGACTGCGGCTGAATGTCTACTGTATTTGGAGGACAGTCCTGATACCGCAACCAACCACCGTCGAGGTCATGACCACTCTACTCGCAGGCGACGCTAAACCATAACGTCTTCACTATATTTTATAGGCGTTATGGCACATAGAGTGTTTCAACGAGCTGTACCTTTTCTTGGGGTATCAAGTGTTTTTCTATTGACCAGTTGGAAGGCCAGTTGAGGTTGCTCTTGAGTAGGCGTATATATTCCGAACGTATATATTTTAGTTCCTTTGTAATAACAATAACAATAATGATTTTGACACCAATAGCTAGTTAACAAAGTAGTATGGGAAATCCGGACATCGACTTAATCTTATAGAAGTTCAAAAGCACGCGACAGATAAGTTAGAGTTTAGTTAATGGTCGCTAACTTTCTCGGGTACTCGGGAACACTAGTTAAGTAGTTTAAACCTTCATTTCTTATAGTTATACTCTCCACCCAATCTACGGGGAGGTGATCGTTCATCTCTGGCCTAGTACTCAGTATTGAGGTTATCATATCCTTTTATAAGTATAGCCCATAGTTAAATGCGTATATTATACTAAGTACATAGTGTGGGATTCGCCGACTATGGGGTGATTCTTGGCAATTAGAGCTAGGGTTGGTAGATGGGGTAACTGTGGACCAGAAAGGGTCGTCTGATCTATAGTCTTTCAAGTTTACTATGGAATCATTTCACTGCAGTAGTAGCATATTTTTAATTCGCGGGTGAAATTAGTACTTCATACAATACCTCTATTTGTTGTCAGTTCAATGTATTGTCAGGACAACTCGTGCTCAATCACGAAATATCATCGATTAAATAACCACTAAATACACTTCATATACGATTGGCAGGGCCCGGAATCGAGAGCCTTGTAACAGTATCTTAGTATCGTCAGCATTCATGTTAGACATCAACATCATCTACATTCTTTTTGAAATTCGCGTCATAATCTCGTTTCCCACAAATCATCACTTCTAGTTAATCCTGATGGGCTTTAATGATGGATGAAAACCATTCGGAGTGCTCGCCTGGACATTGTGCAAGCCCACTGGTGCCACATCTGGGCCACCCAGTGCTTTGTGCCCACCGCGAATGCACCATGCTTCGATTCCCTTCGCTCGCAGAACACTAGTAGCAACCCGGGACGTATTTCCGCTATAGCAGGCAAGTAAGACACGCGTCTTCTTCGCTTTCAGTTCCGTCAATAAGGCGGACTTCTCCCCGCTCTGATTAAACCAGCCCTCTATTTCGAGCCACTGTGCCTCAAGGACAGCAGAGTCAGAAAATGGCGACGTAGTGTCCTTTTCAAGGGTGTTTAGAGGGACGTTTATGGCTTGGGGTAGATGCCACTGCTCAAAATCGGCCGGCTTACGGATGTCGATTATGCATCGTGGGTGATCTTCTTTAAGTTGGAAACTATCAAAGCTGCCTGCGTTCCCAACGCCAAATAGCAGACCAGTGGAAGGGGAGGTCTTGTAAAACTCCGAAAGGATTTTTGCAGGTTCAGTCTCCCAGAGGTCGTCATAACGGTAAAGGTCAACTTTACGGAGGTTCTAACGGTCCACATGGTTAGCTTATTGCCTTCACTTGGTATGGTGTTTTATAGCGACTTACGTTATTTGTTACGGGAGGGAACTCCTCCTGATTCACCTTGTCAAAATAAGTATCTATGTACTGGTACGGCAGGTCACAGCATAGGAAGACACAGTGTATTTTGCCGTCTGGACCTGCAAGACTGGACAATGTCCCAGCGTCCTTGCGTTTTTGCAGCTGCTGGTAAAGCCCCTGCAGGTTGAGCCCTGATGAAGGGCCACATACCAACCCTTGTCGAGAAAGTTTGAGAGACAATAAGAAGGCCTCTGGAGATTTGACTTCCTCTAGGGCATCCATGGACGACTTCCATGGGAACTCGACAGGAGTCATGAGCGCGTGTGTTCTGGGCCCTGGGACAAGATCACCCGGCGCAGTGAAGACTCCCACCCTCAAGACAGATGGTTTTGCCTTTTGGAAATATTGCCCCAGCCCAGTCATGGTCCCACTAGTTCCAATACCACAGCATATCACGTTTATTTCTGGGAGTTGCTTGAAAATCTGGGGCCCAGTGTATTTCACATGGCCCTGCCAATTGCCATCGTTTTCGTATTGGTTCGGGTTGATAACCTCCTCGGAGTCCAAGGCTGACTTCTGTGCTGTGAAGATTCCACCACGATGGTCTAATGGATCTGGTTGTGTGGGACCGCCAAACAGTGTGACGTTGATACCGAAGAATTGCAACAGGTGAATCTTCGCATCACTGCTTTTATTGCTAAAATAGGCCCTGACATCGCTGATCCCGTAAACGGCATTGGCAATCACTGCCATCGACATGATGGTTGAGCCAGAACTATACTCAATCACTGTCTTTGTCTTTCCGGGGACAACATCCGTCTCCAAAAGATTAAAAGCTACAACAACCAGTCTGTTTAGTACCTCATCAACGGCACATGGGAAGTGCTGGCGACTTACCTGGAATTGCTTTCACGTTGTTGGTAGGATGCATGGTCATCATCTTTGCGTACACACGCACACCATCGTCATAAAACGGGTTTAAGGACTGCGGAATCTCGACTAAGGGTAATGATGGTTGACAGTCTGGATTGAGGTACTTCTTCATCGAGTCCTGCCCGGTGTAGACATTGAGAGGGTTTATGTTTGCCATCTTTGAATCAAGGAGTATCATCAATGTGATAGAGGGATGTTAGAATGAAGGGAGTCTGCCTTTTTGAAATCGTCATCCTCGCCGAATACCTGGATTATATACTCTCTTTCTGGGGGTAGAGTAGGACAGGTTGAATTGCATATACAAATTTTTTTGCGTCTCAGTTACTCTCAAGGTAGGTCCATCATATTCCTTTCTTTCCAATCATCGTTGAAGCAAGTCTTTTTGCCTCCAGTCATTCCTCTTATTTTATGTCTTTGGTCAAATCATAGGGTTGATGAAGCCCCGGACATTTGACTTCCCTGGATATACGAGATCTAGGATACATATCATCGCCATAGCCAAGTCAGGTCACAGGATATGCATGTGAGACGATACGCCATTGTTCCCGGTAGTCGCAAATACCGTCTCAGGAACACTTTTCTATAAGAATGAGGACCTTGTATTTCTCCTTCTAGAGCCAAGGTTCTTCAATGCCTTGTCATCTATAGGTGAATAAGGCTCAGCCCCTTGAGCTAACGGGATGTGCACCCCAGGTGTCGAATTAAAACAAGCGGCAGCGCTTGCGGCCAAGCACATGCCGAGCTATCTAAATAACTAGTTAGCTGCTCCAACTCAGTTAATTATTCAACTGTTGTTTTTTTTTTTGCCCTCAAGGTAGTTTATGACCAGATCTGCCAGGCGATGTGTTGTATCTGTGCTCTATGAGCATTATCATGGTCCCACAGTTGATGATAGACGGTCAGGGTCCTCAATACCGTACGGAGGGTACTGGTATTGCGTCCGCTAAAGCCGCAAGGTTGTATTTCTATAAGTAGACTCTGGAGCAGGATGGATTTTTCCTACCCAAGCGTGTTGTTTGCCTCCGACTCGTTTGTTGCCTCTTTTGTTTAATCCTTTTCTGTGCGTATACAAAGAGCTACACAATTGCAGAAAAATGCAGGATACGGAAGACAATAATGTACAAGACTCTTTGCCCGCTGATGAAAAGCAGAAGCATACATTCAACGAGCAGACAAACTATGTTTCAACTCGCAAGATCATAACGGTATGGTGGAAGGAATTTTGAGTGTAGTTTTACGAATAGACGCTGACCTCCCCTTAGATCTTCTTAGCATGCGCCGCCGTCGACCTGGTTGCATTGATGGACCAGACCACTCTCGCGGCAAGTTTGTCGATTATCGGAGATGATTTAAATGCTGGTATCCAAACAAGTTGGATTGCGGGTGGTTTCTTCCTGTAGGAGATATAATACATACTTCCCGTTACCTTCTCGGCGTTTACACATTGGCTGATATGAGATGTGGATAGGACGTCTACCTGCTTTCAACTAGTATATGGGCGACTTTCTGACATTTGGTCACGGAAAGTCGTACTGTATGTTGGATTGGCAATTTTCTTCTTTGGCTCTCTAGCTTCCTCCTTAGCTCAAACAGCCCTTCAATTGATAATATTTCGTGCCTTCACTGGAATCGGCGGCGGCGGGTTAGCAAATGTTGCGCAAATGATTGTCAGCGATGTGGTGCCGCTGAGGGAACGAGGCAAGTACCAGGGAATTCTAGGGGCGGTCGTTGCTCTATCAAATGGCATTGGCCCTGTAATTGGAGGTGCCTTGTCTTCAATATCGAAGGATTCGTGGAGGTGGATCTTCCGCATTAACCTTCCCCTTGCGATACTCACAACGCTCTGTGTGTTATTTTTCATGCCTCTTCGGAAGGTTGATGGTGACTGGAAAACCAAGGTAAAAGCTATTGATTTCTTTGGGGTATTTCTAGCCCTCTCCGGCGCGACAATCTTCCTCCTTGGGCTCATATGGGGAGGAGGCGAATACCCATGGAATTCAACCCATGTGATTTCTACGTTAATCTTAGGCTTTGCTGTTTGTGTGTCCTTCGTTTTATGGCAGTGGAAGGGCGCATCGTATCCGCTAGTGCCGATGGGTATCTTCCGTGTCAAGATAGTAAACGGGGCGTGCCTGACTATGCTCATCAATGGCTGGAACTACGTTGTGCAAGTTTATTATATCCCGACTTTCTATCAGCTGGTGTATGGATACTCGGCTACCAAGTCAGGAGCCCTGCTTCTGCCCATTGTCCTGGTTCAAAGTAAGCAGATAGCCTACTACCATGGTATGCAGCCGGTAGGCCCCTGCTAACTAATTGCACAGCATTATTCAGCACTTTATCCGGCCTTATCGTCCACCGTGTAGGTCGATACCGAGAATGCATCTTGTTTGGATGGCTTGCCTGGGCCGTTGGATTGGGGCTTTTCTCCACACTTGATAAATCATCTGGGATTGGTAAACAGATTGGATATGGCATACTTACTGGTGTGGGAGTTGGAAACACACTGCAGCCGTCAGTTCCCTCTAGCTCCCCCTCTCTCTCACCCTACCTCTGTCTCTCCACTTGAGCTAACGTGGTAGTGGCACTTAGGTCTTTAATCGCTATTCAAGCTGGCGTCCCTAGGAGGGATATGGCAGTTACCACGTCATTTCGGAAGTAAGTTCTCGTGACCCTGGTATACCGACATATGGACCCTGACAAAGCCCACTTTTTCCAGTTTTATAAGAAACCTTGGTGCCACGCTAGGCCTGGCGGTATCCGGAACAATTCTGTGAGTTTTCTTCGTTTAAAAGCACTGTGGAGTTCAGAATTCTGATGATGTAGAAATAACCTTGTCATATCCTCGTTATTGTCCCTTGACCTTTCAGAGACTCAAAGAAAAGAAATAACCCAAAGCCCACGCTACTACCTGGCAAAACAGAGTCCAGAGGAAGCTGAACGGATCCGCGCTGTGCTTACTCCGGCATATCAGAAAGCGTTTCGGGTGGTTTTCATAATGTGTTCAGCCCTTGCTGGCTTAGCTTTTATTCTCGCAATTTTTCTCATGCCTCACATTTCGCTGAAGAGAGATGACGACAAGAAACTAAAAGAAGAAGCTAGATCAAGGGAGAAGACAAAAGATGTGCCCGATTGCGAAGAGCTACAGCAAAAGTAAGTCTTGCTTTTGGCGGACGACTGCGGACACAAAATCTGGTATAATCAATATTATGGAGTGGAGCAACAGGATAACCATGATTACCCAATTTAAAACTAGAATATAGACCAATACCATAATAATTAAACGGTAGATTTAGGAATCTACCATCCTTATCAAGCTGTCATCAGCAATTGTAAGATGCAAAATTAAAAATGTCGTTGAGATAAAATAAAGTCGCTGCCAAGACAAAGATAGGAAACCAACACGTGACTGCTCCTAACAAAAAGGCAAAAACGGAAAAAGAAAGACGACAACATCGATTTGTTCTTCTATCAAAACATCAGCTTCTTACTCTGGGGCAACTTTACCATACGTTAGATGGGCTGGGTATAGAGCTCTAGGAGCCTGATTTGCCGAAGCGCGTTAATTGGAACATCGCGCTGCATTCCTGTCAACCGATATGTTGGTTTGATAAGCTCTACCTCACTCCTCAACATGCAATGCTATACAGAGCTTCTGCTCCCATCAGGGGTGACTCACGCAACCTCTGCTCACTTTATATCAGCAAATTCCAATAATCTCATTGTAGCGAAGACTTCTTTGCTGCAGGTATTTTCATTGGTCAATGTTACCTACGGCTCAGCACCTGCCGGTCAGCCGGACCAGAAAGGCCGGCATGACCGTCTACAGCATGCAAAGCTGGTCTTAGCAGCGGAATATGAGGTACCGGGTACCATTACCGGCCTTGAGAGGGTCAGAATTTCGAATTCTAAAAGTGGCGGAGATGCTATCCTTGTTTCTAGCCGGAATGCGAAGCTCAGCTTGATAGAGTGGGATCCACAGAAGCACGGGATAACCACCATCTCAATCCATTACTATGAAGGGGAGGAGAGTCATATGAGCCCGTGGGTACCTGACCTGGGGAGCTGCTCCTCCAGTTTGACGGTGGACCCAAATGGAAACTGTGCCATCTTTAATTTCGGAATCCACAGTCTAGCAATCCTACCCTTTCACCAAGCAGGAGATGACCTCGTAATGGATGATTATGATGCCATACCAAATGGCGACGACACCACAGATGCCGTCAATGATGCTCAGAAACCTGCCCCTGGAAATGCAGTACACGACAAACCATATGCGCCCTCATTTGTGCTGCCTATGACGGCACTAGATCCAGCCTTGACTCATCCAATTCACATGGAATTTCTGCATGAATACAGGGAACCAACGTTCGGAATCCTCTACTCCCAAGTTGCCAGGTCAATGTCTTTAACCATAGACCGGAAAGACATTGTATCGTATTCCATCTTCACCCTGGATTTGCAGCAAAAAGCTTCTACCTCACTCCTTACGGTCTCACGTTTACCAAGTGATATATTTAAAGTTGTACCGCTTCCTCCTCCAATTGGCGGAGCGTTGTTAATCGGAACCAATGAGCTTGTGCACGTTGACCAAGCTGGTAAAACCAATGCGGTGGGCGTCAATGAGTTTGCCCGACAGGCTTCTGCATTCTCAATGGCTGACCAGTCAGACCTCGAAATGAGACTTGAAGGCTGCATGGTTGAGCAATTAGGAAGCGGCGCTGGAGATGTGTTACTCATTCTATCGGATGGGAGGATGGCAATCTTAACATTCAAAGTGGATGGGAGATCTGTTGCTGGGATCTCACTCCATTTCGTTGCAGAGCAGTCGGGTGGCTCAATAATCAAATCAAGGCCCTCGTGTTCTGCCAGCCTTGGCCGGAATAAATTGTTCTATGGAAGCGAAGAAGGGGATTCTATCCTTCTCGGCTGGTCAAAACATTCCTCTGCAACCAAGAAACCCTCTAAAGCAGCGGGGGGAGGGAATGAAGACGGAACCGCCAATCTCTCTGACGAAGAGGAACAGGATGATGATGACGACGATATGTATGAAGACGACCTTTATTCCGCAAACCCTACCACCACCCAGCAGGAAAAGCAAGTAGTGAATGGAGATGGCGCAGCCAATTTCACGCTTCGAGCGCATGATAGACTATGGAGCCTTGGCCCGTATAGGGACATCACACTTGGAAGACCACCCAAATCGAAATCTAAAGATCGACAAGATAGTGTACCTGAAATATCTGCTCCGCTTGAGCTAGTAGCAGCTCGAGGATTTGGAAAAGCTGGCGGTCTCACAGTTCTCAAAAGAGAGATAGACCCATTTACCATTGACTCTCTCAAAATGGATGATGTGTACGGAGTGTGGTCTATCCGTGTCATAGATCCAAAATCTAAAGATGCTGGGCTATCCCGGAGCTATGACAGATACCTCCTTCTCGCAAAGGCGAAAGGTGATGATAAAGAGGAGTCAGTCGTATACTCAGTTGGGAGCAGCGGCCTCGACTCAATAGATGCTCCAGAATTTAACCCTAATGAAGATTGTACCATCGACATAGGAACCCTTGCCACCGGTTCAAGAGTTGTTCAGGTATTAAGGACAGAAATTCGGAGTTATGACTGCAGTGAGTCCAGATTGAAGCATAGATATGCCATTGTTTTCGGAAAAATCTAATATACCCGAAATAAATAGATCTTGGATTGGCCCAAATATACCCCGTGTGGGATGAGGATACAAGCGAAGAGCGTACTGTTATCCAAGCAAGCTTCGCAGAGCCCTACCTGTTGACCATTCGTGATGACAATTCTCTCCTAATCCTACAAGCGGATAAGAATGGGGACCTAGACGAGGTTGAAATCCAGGGCTCAGCAGCCTCGGCAAAATGGGTTTCTGGCTGTTTGTACGAAGATAAGACGAAAATCTTTTCCTCTGACCTCGACACTGAACATGCGGCGACCCCTAATATACTCCTGTTTTTGCTAGACAGTGATGGGAACCTTTCTGTAAGTCTTGCCTTCATAATCGACAGCTGTAAGTATCACTAGCTAATACAGAGATGTAGATATTTAGGCTCCCGAATATCACAGAACCACTGTGTCGTGTTGATAACTTGAATCTTTTGCCATCAAATCTACCCTACGAATCTTCTTCAAGGCGGCCTGTGAATCGAGAGACATTAACTGAACTCTTAGTTGCGGATCTTGGGGATGCTATTCACAAATCTCCGTATATGATAGTATGTCTGAACTAATTCTGCCCTTCCTATTTCATAGTTCACCCTAACATCAGATCAGTTACGTACAAAGCACGATGACTTAGTTTTGTATGAACCATACCGCATCACAGGTGAAAATGGGCGGTCCAAATTGCAGTTCATTAAAGCGGTAAACCACGTTGTTATGGGTCCTCGAACCAACCAGCCCATGAACAAAGATATCAACCGCAGTCCCTCTCCAAGCAAACTCCTACGAGCGTTATCGGATGTTTGTGGATATAAAACAGTGTTTATGTCTGGGCAGAATCCATGCTTCATACTTAAGTCTGCTATCGCACGGCCGAATGTCTTACGACTGCGTGGTAAGGCAGTTCAGAGCTTGACTGGATTCCATATCGCCGCCTGCGAACGTGGGTTTGCATATGTTGACGAAGATGTATGGACCCTTTCTCAGTGTAATCCACCGACTAAGCTAACAAGTCTCTGAACAGAATGTCATTCGAATGTCGAGGTTACCCTCAAACACGCGATTCGATAGTGCTTGGGCAACGCGCAAGATCCCACTCGGAGAACAAGTCGACTGTATCGTGTATTCGTCGGCGTCTGAAAGTTATGTGATTGGCACCAGTACAAAGGAAGACTTTAAACTTCCTGAAGATGACGAGTCACATACAGAGTGGCGGAACGAGTGTATGAGAATCTTCTTACTTTGCTTCCTCTATCAACTACTGACCGTTTGCTATAGTTATTACTTTCCTTCCACAGTTGGATCGTGGGACTGTTAAACTTCTGGAGCCCAAAAACTGGTCTGCCATTGATATGTAAGTTGCTCCGCCGCAAACTTACCCGCAAGCACTTATTTTTATACTAAAACTGCCCCCTCAATAGTTACGAAGTTGAACCTGCAGAGCGCATTACGTGTATCAAAATCATTCGTCTTGAGATCTCGGAAACAACCCATGAGCGGAAAGATATGGTTGTAGTAGGCTCAGCCGTGGCTAAGGGCGAGGACATTGTTCCCAAAGGATGCATCCGCGTTTTTGAGATTATTGACGTGGTTCCGGACCCCGACCACCCTGAAAAGAACAAGAAATTAAAACTCTTTGCTAGAGAGGAAGTGAAGGGCGCCGTCACAGCTGTGTCAGGGATAGGTGGGCAGGGATTCTTGATAGTTGCACAAGGTCAAAAATGCATGGTGCGTGGTCTAAAGGAGGACGGGAGCCTTTTACCCATAGCCTTCAAGGATACCCAGTGTTATGTCAATGTTCTCAAAGAGCTCAAAGGAACAGGAATGTGTATCATTGGTGACGCATTCAAGGGGTTATGGTTTACCGGATACTCGGTAAGTGATATGATATTCTGCCGTATAGTCCCAAAACGCATTTGATAACGTACTAACGTGACGCGCATCAACAGGAAGAGCCATATAAACTGGATCTTTTCGGTAAAGAGAATGAAAACTTGGCAGTCGTGGATGCAGACTTCCTTCCGGACGGGAATAAGTTATACATCTTAGTTGCTGACGATGATTGCAACCTCCATGTTCTGCAGTACGACCCTGAAGGTAGGTGGCTCCGAATGAATACTGAGCATTCTGCATCTTAAAAGTGCCTGTGTGAAGCTGATATTTTTACTCTGTAGACCCAAGTTCGTCTAAGGGTGACCGTCTGCTGCATCGAAGCGTATTCCACACGGGCCATTTTGCATCCACCATGACTCTACTGCCCCATGGATCCCACACTCTCTCCTCACCCGTTGATGAGGATGCCATGGACACAGATTTACCGCCACCACCATCAAAATACCAAGTACTCATAACCTTCCAAACAGGGTCTATTGGAGTAATCTCGCCTCTCAATGAAGATTCTTACCGTCGTCTACTAGCCTTGCAGTCACAATTAGTTAACGCACTCGAACACCCTTGCGGCTTAAACCCGCGTGGTTACCGGGCCGTTGAGAGCGATGGCATGGGTGGACAACGTGGTATGATCGATGGAAACCTGTTGCTCAGATGGCTTGATATGGGAGCCCAGAGAAAGGCAGAGATTGCAGGACGCGTTGGTGCGGATGTTGGTGCTATTCGGATAGATCTTGAGAAGCTCCATGGTGGTCTGGCGTATTTGTAATTGTTTGGAGGTTTCTAAATAATAGCCTTCCTTTTTTTTTTCGAGATGGAGTTTCGGTCTAGCCGAGTTATACTACAGGAGAATTGCAACTATTATACATATTGGGGGTCAACAACTTCATTGTGGCTGGTAGAACATGCAGTAAGCCTTATAGGATAAGGCTGGAAGAGAAAATCAGAGAAGCTGTGCATGGAGAGGGTATAGAATACAAGACATCACCAAAAAAAAAGGTATGATTAGATCAAGATTCATTGGGTGTCAACTCTTTGACTTTATTTTGTAGATCAGATAATATTTCTATACAACTGTCAGCATTTCTATTTCCCTTGAATAAAGTTGGTGTAGCTGTGACATAGCATACTTAGTTTTTCGGCCTGGGTCTCTTCTACCTCGAGCCTTAGCCAGCCATAATAAAGGATCTGATAGGTGAGAACTGCGCCAAGGAAGACTTTGAAGAATGGCTTCTTGAATGACGACAGCGTTAAGGGAGGGGCCTGGCCCAGAGTATTAGCAGGCTGGTATCAGATATATTAACTAGAGACATGCTTGTTCTTCATACCTGTGACGCGCTTGATGCAAGGGATGGAGACGTTGAGAAGAGCCGACGGCGGCTGACGATGTGTATTTGGTTAAGATGAGAGGTCGTCCTCGAGATACTCTGTCTCGAGCTTCTTAGCAGGAACATCGAGTTCATATCTGAAATCGTTGTACTATACACGCCGTATCTATATAGCTATGCTTATGACTGCAGTGTCTCTCTCCTGCCGTCAAAATTTCTCAAGAACGAGCGGAAGTCAAATGACTAAGCATCACCACGTGACTTTACATGTAAGATGGCCCAAAGAGGAAAAACGGGCGGGGAGGTCGCACGTTCCCGCAAAAGCCTAAGGGCGATAAGCTTCTTTTGCTTTACTTGAGCCTCATGGGCGATCCAGGGCAGAGGAGACCTGGGCGAGCCCGACGTGGTTCAGGGGAGACGCGGGAGTAGCTGCTCAAAAATCTAGTCAATTTGTTTTGGGCGGCGTATGGAACTTAAGTCAAGATAGAGCGAGTCGGGGCTGGTTCTGAGCCATCTGCAGCTGCCGATGGTGGCGGATGGCAGCCGTGTCGAGGGAGGACAAAAGCACTTCTGTTGTTGTGCTGCTGTCATCGTTAGTTTTTTGATGTGCAAAAAAGCGTCTGGGGTGTTGGCAGAATTCTGGGATCCGCTTGGGGCGAAGGCGGTGGGCAGAAAGGGCAGCACACAGAGAGCGGCGGCGCTAGTCTGGTTTGGGCTTAGCGCTGTATCGAAGTTTGTTTCTCCCTTTGCGCGCGATTTCACGACGAAGAAACAGGCAGAAGAAGGACAAGCAACGCCAGCAACACTCACATCCGCGCCCACCTCACTCCCAGGGACTGCAAAGGAAGAAAGCAGACGCCAGCAAGGTCGGGCACAGGTTCTGCTCGTCGCTGCTGGCTGGTACTGTTGGCGACTGGGGCCCATGCTGAGGTTCTTCGCTGGGTAGTCGTCCCCTTGTGCCGAGTTTCAGCCTGCTGTTGGCCTCCCCCGTCCATTTCTCTGCGCGAGCGATTCACTCCTAGACGCCAAACCTCAGGCTCGCTGGCTCTGGTCATACCATAGACGCGGTTTTTTTTTTTTTATCTGAGAAACTATCACTTGTTGCGCCCGGTAATCGCGGAAAGTTGCGGCGGGTGCTGATCGAGAGCCCGTGCTACTTCAATAGCTTTCGAGTCGAGTCGACGAGCACTTCCTACAGCTGTTGAAACCTCTTTCCTACCGTCGAGATGCCTCGAAGATACGAGCCTACCCTCGAGGAGGTCGTCAACCGATCCGACCCAGAAGATGATGACTACGATGACAGAGAACAGCGGTCGCGCAGGCCAGCCAAAAAGCCCAAAAGCAAGTCAAGGAAACAAGCGTCTAGAAAGCGCAAGCGAGACTCAGATGACGATATAGACGAGGATACAGAGCTTTCGGAGGACGAGGACGATCTATCAGATGACTTTGAAGATGACATCGAGGACCCAAATGCAGAGAGGAATGCGCGTGGCTCTGTGAGAAGACAAGCCACTACGAAGAAAGTATCCTACGCAGAGTCATCTCCTGATGAAGACGAAATTGACGAGGCTCTAGAGGATAAGGAAGAAGAGAAGGACGAAGAGGAAGAGATACAAGCAAATAAAGGGAAAAGACGCAAGTTAATCGTCAAGGTCAAGCTCCCAATCCAAACACAGTCCGCTACTACAGAACCCCCTCCCTCCGGCCGTGCAACACGCGCCCGCGGTCGTAGCGCGAGTGTCCAACGTCAAGATCAGGCTAGCGCAGGCGCTCGACAGTCAACCCGGCGAAGCAGTCGTCTTGCACACGATGATAGGGAAGATATCGTTGCTCTCTCTGGCTCAGGTCGCCATGTCGAAACGATCCGCCAGGGTACTCGCAGCCCCGAGCCTGTTAAACCACATCCCGCACGCCAGGGACAACAGTTGTCTCATGTTGAGGAAGAAGAAGGCGATGGAGACGAATCGAAGATACCCAAGGATGAGGAGGATGACTCCCACATAGATCGCGTAGGTGCATCTCAGGTAGAGATAATGGAAAGTGATCCTCAGGGAGGATTCGACGAAGATGCACCGGCCGTTGCAGCGTCTGACAATGCCCAACCGCCCGCAGACGAGGATGCAGAGGGAGATGAAGCAGACGTTGAAATGGGCGAGGACGGCATCGTCCCTGAATCTCAACATGATCACGTCGAGCAGGAAGACGAGGAAGACGAGGAAGACGAGGACGATGAAGGACCGGTATCACGAAGGTCTAGACGAAGCAGAGTACAAGAGGAGCCAGCAGCGGAAGAAGAGGCACAGGCTGAAAAAGAGGGAAGCCAGCCAGTTCGCCGATCTACTAGACGAAATGCGGGGAAAAGATCTCAACCACCAGGAGACGATGGGAGTGACTTTGAACCAAACGAAGAGAGCCACGAAGAAGAGGAGCTTTCCGACTCAGCTGCATCACTAGCTTCTCCCCAAAAGGATGACAGTGGTAACGAGCCTCGTACCCGTCGTAGCAACCGGCAGCGCTATTCTCACTCCCGTGCTGAGTCCGAAGCTCGTGAAATCGAAGAGGAGCTGGCAGAATTGAAATCAACCCGGCCTCGACGGAAGAAACCAGATATTATATACGAAGACAAGCCTCGACGGACTAGGAAGTCGGTTGACTACCGACTTATCCGCCCAGAACTTCTTCTTCCACTGGAAGAAAGTGAAGTTGAACCAGCTGGATCTCCATCGCGCCGTGGTGGACGTGCAGGTGGAAGCACATGGCAAAGAACCCTCTTCTCTACTTACGGGCCCTTTGGCGGTGCTGGGCCGACACCTCTGCTCGGGGGCCCTGCGGGCATGGGCGCTAGCGGAGGTGTAGACAGTGATAGCTCAGATGATGAGCTTGCTGCCCGTTCCAAGGTCCCTGGTGCCCCTGGTGCCCCTGGTGGGATGACGGCGGCCTCCCTTGCTCCCAGTCTAGGCCTAGGCATGACGGGCCAGCTACACCCTGACCCTGCCCAAGGTGCTCCTGGAGTACCCGCTAACTATGGAAAAATAAAGGACAAGCAGGCTCTGGCCGATGCTGACCCACTGGGAGTCAATCCGAATGTCAATTTTGACAGCGTGGGTGGCCTTCAGGGCCATATTGATCAACTGAAGGAGATGGTTTCTCTACCCTTGCTTTATCCAGAGGTCTTCCAGAGTCTAAATATCATTCCACCTCGAGGAGTTTTGTTCCATGGACCCCCAGGAACCGGTAAAACGCTTCTGGCGCGTGCATTGGCTACCAGTGTCAGTACTGAAGGCCGGAAAGTGACCTTCTACATGAGAAAAGGAGCGGACGCTCTGAGCAAATGGGTTGGTGAAGCTGAGAAGCAGCTGAGGCTGCTGTTCGAGGAGGCGCGGAGAACACAGCCAAGTATTATATTCTTTGACGAAATCGACGGTAAGCCAGTTTATTCCATAGATACAAACTACATGTATTCGTACTGACATGATATTTAGGCCTTGCTCCTGTCCGATCCAGCAAGCAAGAACAAATCCATTCCTCTATCGTATCCACCCTCCTTGCTTTGATGGATGGTATGGATGGACGAGGTCAAGTCATCGTCATCGGCGCCACCAATCGACCTGACTCTGTCGACCCTGCTCTCCGCCGTCCAGGCAGATTTGACAGAGAATTTTACTTCCCGCTACCTAACGTTGACGCTCGCCGAGCTATTATTGACATCAACACTAAAGGCTGGGAACCTGCTCTTTCAGATGAATTCAAGGACAAATTAGCTGCTTCAACCAAGGGATATGGCGGTGCCGATTTGCGAGCATTGTGTACAGAGGCTGCTCTAAATGCCGTACAACGGGTTTATCCCCAGATATACCAATCCAAGGACAAGTTGCTGATTGATCCCAAAAAGATTAAGGTTTCTTTCAAAGATTTTATGATCTCACTTAACAAAATCATTCCCTCTTCTGAGAGATCTGCCTCGTCCGGTGCCTCTCCTCTTCATAGCACGGTTGAGCCTCTACTGCGAGAGCCCCTGCGAGAAATTCAAGAACGCGTTTCGAAACTTGTACCGAGGAGGAAAGCACTTACCGCTCTGGAAGAAGCACAGTTTGAACAACCCACCGACGACATTGGATTCAAGCGCGAGAAGCTTCAGGAAGAATTCGATCGATCTCGTGTGTTCAGACCTAGGCTACTTATCCGCGGTGAATATGGAATGGGACAACAATACATTACATCCGCCCTACTGAATCACTTCGAGGGCATCCATGTGCAGTCATTCGACCTATCGACTTTATTAAGTGATTCGACTAGATCACCTGAGGCCGTTGTGGTGCAACTATTTGCCGAAGTCAAGCGTAACAAACCAAGTGTTATTTGCATTCCTAACATCAGGTCATGGTATGAGACACTTGGGAACGCCGTGATATCGACCTTCATGGGCTTGTTGCGTTCAATTCCACCTACAGACCCCGTGTTATTGCTCGGTATCCTTGAAGGAGAAGCCGAGTATGAGGCAAACTCTGATATAGTACGCAGCCTCTTCGGATTTTCCAAGAAAAATCAATATTTCCTCAACTACCCAGAGATATCTCAACGTCGAGAATTCTTCCAGCCTGTTATCAGCTTTATCAGCACGGCACCAGTCGATTTCCCTGACCCTGATAACCGGAAGAAGCGAGTAATTGAACAGCTGGAGCTTGCTCCTCCAGCTCCTCCGAAACCACCACCAGCTCCGACGAAAGAGGAACTAAAGGCGCAGAAACGGAAAGACCGACAGACGCTTAATCTCATGAAGATTAGGATACAACCCATCATGGACCAGATCAGGAAGTATAAGCGGTTCCGAACCGGTGTTGTAGACGAGTCGCATATACGATACCTCTATGATGACGATGATCCAAATATTGTCACATCCGATTTACCTCCAGAGCAACGAAGCGCATTTAGGCCGTACGAGAAGGACACGGACAAAGCCGGTGTTCCTGGGCTGCGGGAGGTAGCGTCAGGCAAATTCTATTACAACCTAGACATCGTCACGATTGAGAAGCGATTGTCCAACGGATATTACAAGCGTCCAAAAGACTTTTTGGCTGATATCAAGCGATTAGCTAAGGATGCAAAGCAGCTTGGCGACCCTGATAGGCAGCTGAAGGCGAACGAACTGTTGGCAAATGTTGAAGTTGACATCGGTGCAATTGACAACACAGATCCCGCCCTGGTGGCTGAGTGTGAGGTGGTATATACGCGCGAGCTGGAGCGTGAGAAGGCTGCGCTGGAGAAGGTAAAGCAGCCAGTAGCCGACGCCGATGGAACGATGAGACCTCCCACCGGCCCACCACCACATATGAACATAGCGCATGGAAGCATTGAGCTATCTAATATGTCATCAGCTGGGCCAGTGGTGCTAGGCGAGCTATTCAACAGCCCCTGCCCGGCACCTGGTAGCAAATCTAGCGTTGGTTACCCATCCCTAACCAATGGACATGCACCAGGTTTCGCTCCTCATGGCGGTATCGACGGCATCCGACCTCCAACCAGCAACGGACCTCAGCATAGACCAGCGGAAGGCGATGGTGATGTTCACATGTCCAATTCGGATCACACTTCTGGCACACACCACCACAATACCCAGAACAGCTCATTTGGTCCATCTGCACAGCCGCGGCCGCCACACTCGTATACTGCGCCTTCGCAGTATATGAGACACCAATCTGGTTTGTCTACATTGTCGCAAAAGGGCAATATCACACCAATGGCCCCCGGATCACAGCCTGGCGATTATGTTAATGATGCCTCGACCACCCAAACAACCTCAGATAAAAAGAATTCAGGCCCAACTGATATATTGCATACCAATGCTCATACTTCTGTGGCTGGATCCGCCATACATGATGCACCGGATCTTACATTGTATCCTGATCGTGCTTCAGGTGATGAGCATCTTCCTGAAACTCAGCAAGGAGATAGCTCCTGGGTTTCCTCTCAAATGACGCCTCTCCGTGGCGTGGCTGAATTTCTTCACTCGCAGTCAACATCCAACACCAACGGTAGCCAGTCACAACCTCGCCATTCCCAAGCATCCCAGTCACACCCTGTTGGCCCTCCGCCACTCTTTGACGCAGCCTCTAGCCGTTCTTCGGGAGCTCACACACATGGCAATCCAGTTACCCCTCCCTCACGCAACGGCGGATCCACCCGCATCTCGAATCTCATCCATAGTGAACCAAAACTGCCTGAACCACCGCTGCCTGACTTGATCGTGGATGAAGACTTGAACGCAGAACTCCATGACGAGCTTAGCACCAAGACCAGAGGATGCTCAGTCGAGCAACTAGAACAGATCAACACTGAGCTTATGGACTGTCTATGGACCAATCGCAATGAGTGGAACAGGAAAGAAGTTGCTATCATGCTGAAGTCGACCTTCCTCGAAGCACTGGATGATATAAAATCAAGCCAGAACTTTATCGACACAACGCAGAAACTGGGCCGCCAATGAACACGATAACGATATATACTCCACCAAACGGTATAGACCAAGGGCTTTGGCTCGTCCCCCGCCGCATGCTGATCCCTCTTTTTTTATAGCCATCTAACGCACATCTGCCGGCCGCACTAAAGATATCTCTGCAGGACCTGACACAGATTCTTCCCCCCGTATTACTCCCTGTTCCTGTCTCGCCTCTTACTTTGCTATGCAAATGTTTCTTGTTTTCATGTGATTATCTTCGTCCTTTCACTGTACAGCGAACTTATTTGGCGTTGGACTCTATTCCCACCTCCCATATCCCTTATCGCCGCTACTCTTTCTTTCCCTTAATGTTTCATATATGTGACTGTACCTTGAACTGTTTCCGGGGGAGGGCATCTGATTTGCTGTTGTGGTTGTATGTTCCGCGAGGGTGAGTAATTAGGAAATCATAGTGGGCACAGAGAGTCTGTACACAGTCCAAAATCCTTCTATTATATCTATAGCCCATCTATAGCCCGTTATTTCGTCCCTACCAAACTTTCGTCGTAGCAGTCAAGGCGTTGTATAACCTTTGTGTGAAGGTTTGAGTAATCGAAACATGTGACGCCACAGACTTTGGTCTATGTGGCATCTCCAGCTTTCCCACTGCTAAAACCATCCACCAATATCGCAAGTTAGAGAAGAAGAACAACACCACCACAAAGCGGCATTCAAGGTCGATAAATTGCCTACCAGGAGGGAATAGGGCTGCGTTTCGCCCTACACGCCGACTTGGCTCTCACGGGCGGTGCTAATCGTGCCCTTTCATAGCTGCAGCGTGCAGCGAGCTTTGCGCCGTGCGGATACACGACCTGAAGAAAACCGTCTACTTTGCGGATACCTACCCTATATATAACATAATCCAAGATGCTGGACTTCCTCAAGATAGACTGGCTCAGTCTAACGATCCCACTGGCCTATCTTGCCGTCCTAGTCGGCTCGCTCGCGACATTCTCTTCCCTCTACCGCAAACGCAAGATCCGTACGTTGACCCCCACAGCCTGCAGCTGCACACCTGCCTTGCCAAATATATACTAATAGCCGGCGTTATTGCTTGTAGAAAAGGCCACTTCCGTAAAGCCATGGTTCCCAGCACACCTCCAGCGCGATATATATTTTTCAATCCTCCACATGGAGAAGAAGGCACCCGAGACTGTATTGAAGGCTGCACTACTACACCGCGCAGCAGAAGACATAAAGCGACTCCTTGAACTCAGGACCAAGAAAGCTGCATTGGGTTCACTGTTACAGAAGGGTAATGTGGGTGATGACCTATGGCAACAGTTTACCAGAGCCGAGAAAGAAATGGAAGAAGAATTCAGAGATGTGGCCTCAGAGGTACGCTTTAAAGCTTTGTATTTTCTATGTTTGACCTGGTCAATATTGACTAACATAATTCGATCTTCAGGCCAATGCTTATACCCCAGGCTGGGGTCAAGTCATTTTCCAGTCCGCAAACGAGATGTTCCTGAATAATATGGCACGCACCGATATTAATGCTTTCCAAGCAACTGTCACAGAAGAAAAGGAATGGTGGGATCGCAAACGGGCAAGCATACAAGAAGGGTTCATGAAAGAGCTTGAACAAGAGAAGACTGGCACCACAGAAAGTTCCAAAACCAAGGGTGACTCTACGGGCGATAACACACAGGCTGGCAGTGACGAGGATACGGTTCTTGTGGATGCTGCTAGCTCTACTGGCTCCGCAGCTGGTTCTGTGAGCGGAGGGGGTAAGAAGAAAAAGAAGGGAAAGAAATGAACGATTTGGTTCTATCATTCTTCTCCATTTTCTTTAGAATATTCCCCCATTTCTTCTTATTCGATTATCTTATGCCTTTTGTTAATTCTGGTAGAAAAGATTTCTTTTGGAAGCTACTCCTGTACATCATTACGAATTACAACTAACTATTCTCGAACAACTAATTCAGAGATAAGTACCGTGAAGCCTTCTAAGATTCAGATTCTTGCTGAACAAAAAAGTAATTAATGTACAAACGCCAGGCTTCCGCTGGCGGAGAGATTAAAAACCATTCCATCAGACCACCATAGCTAATATTACAACCCCATCCACGTCGACTTTGCCAAATGATCCGTCTTCTTCCTGCTTGGTCTTGCCATCCCCATCATCTTCAGTTCTGCAAGGGACTGGTAAAATATTGAGAATGCCACACGCTCCTCACACTTATCTGCATCCTCGCCACCAACAATCATATAGAAAGCCCTCCATAAATCATAGACGTTGACGACAGCACCAGACTCGAGGTACAGTTGATAAAGGATCGAGATCGGAGGCTGACTTGCTGATAGGGCTTCTACCTCCCCATGGTCCTTTGAGTCCAAATAGTCGAAAGGGTTAGATAGCGCTCGTTCAACGGTGTTCCGACACTTAGGAGTAAAGGTAGTTCGAACTGGAGATTTGAAATCAAATATCAGGCACTCATGCAGAAAAAGATCCTTGGGGTTGATCAGCTTCTCGGTGAGGTAGCTCTGTATTGAGTCAAACAAACGGTCGACCAATCCACTGTATTTCAACTCCTCATTCGAGAGCTTAGCTTTCCCTTTCGTCAGCTTTACCCTTTGACCGACAATCGTAGTGTTATGCCTCGTTAACTGTGCATCATGCTGGGAACGTAGGGCGGCTTTGGATTTTTTTGTACGTATAACTTCTCGGATCTCATCAAGTATGGCGCTTGATTCTTTTGACAGATTTGATACAAGCCCAAATGCAGCGTTGAGCTCCTCTGAATTTAGTTTCCTAGCAGCTTCAAGGGTATCTAACAAAATTTTGGACTCGAGAAGCTCTCCGCCGAGTGCAAGAATAATGCACTCCGAATAATTTGCCGGTTTTAGAGACTTTATGTTGCGCGAGAATGATACTATCCATTCAACACAGCTAAATATCTCTCTCATCTTTTGCCGGGTGACTGAAACACCTAGATGGGCTTGTTTGGCAAGGATGGCATCGTCTTTCATCATTTCTTTTGCAGATTCAATGTCCTTGATATCCAAAAGATGCTGCACACGCCTAAGAAAGAGGTGAGCTACATGTCCATAAATCGATATCAGCTTTGGGGCTTCCTCACTTCCGAAACGAAGGTGTATTCCGAATTGCTTCACATAATTCGGGCTGTAGTTCTTTTGTCTTGCCTTCACCAGCAAGTAGCACCGAAAGGGGGTTTGCAAAAAAGTGGGCCATATGAGCGTACTTTTATTCATGTTAGCATATTGTAAGAAACTTCTACTTGATGCTAGTTACCACACACCTTAAGAGTGCTACCAAATCTCTCAGGGCTTTGAAAGCAGTCCCCAGATTTGTCCATCAAAGTATGGCTCACATTGTGCCCGACCCATATGCCCTGGCTATTTTGGGCCTGAAGGGTCGTAAAGATGCGGTCTACTGAGTCACCAAAATCTTGAAAATCAAAAAGACGGCCTTCTAGTAGCTTAACTGTGGAGCGTGGCAGTCTGGACTCGAGGTATGTGACTGATGTCGCAATGCCAAAGAGAAAGACAAATGGTATACGGTCCAACCATGATCTTTAGTCCGTCAGAAACATCCTCATAAATAGCCAGACAGGGTACTCACGATAAGAGCGTGATCAGGTCCGTCAGGACACCGCTATCAAAGGCCTCGCTATCCTTAAAGGCAATAACAACCCTCCTCAGGCCATTTCTCTCGACACAGGACAGCAGCAGGTCTAGGTCATATGGCAATAGTTTCAGCCCCTATGTATACGTTAGTTGGTATTGTCTGGATAAATAACGGAGATATTACCGTTTTTGACGTTAAATAGTCCCGGTAATGATCAATATCCTCCATACTAGTAATTGCAAGTTTAATGATCATTTTCAGGGCATTCTTGACATTTAATGTGTCACCTGAATCAAGAGTAACCAGGCACGCCTTGCCTGAAGTGTGCAGCCCCTTGCTTAGGCGTTCTAAGAGCCCTCCTATAGACGATATATTTGACCCCACTGAGATCATCCCAGTAGGAATACGTCCATTGTAGCTACATATGAGTCAGCAATTTGATATAATAACAGACAATCCGCATGAATTGATTCCATACGTATCAATCGAGGAATCCTTGATGAATCTCGCTATATTCTTTAGAACTTCCGAATCGACTTCGCGGAGAATCGACTATTTGAACATGTCAGACCCATAATATCCCATAGCTTTTGACCAGACAAACCCGAATTGTGCACTCTTTCTCAGCCCAGAGGCCTTGGAACAGTTCATATCGTAACTTGACCGACTCCTTGGTTTCGCATCCATTCAAGAGTGGTACAAATGGTGAGATAGAACTCCTGGAGCTTTGGCTGCTCGAAATATGATTGACCTTTCGCCTTTTATTCGAGACTCCATTGGCATCATTGCTTTTCTTTGCGGGTTTATAAACATATGACCCCTATCAATCGGTTAGCTATATGGGCTCCAAATTGGCGCAAGGAGGTCAAACCTGGTATTCGAAGCCAGCCAGCCCACCGGCAGCATCATGGCCAGATTGCATGATTGAAACGTCAAGTTCAAGCTATCTAAGAAAGAAGAGTATCACACTCTGGCCGTTTCCCGCTGAACGTTTTCTAATAACCAATATCGATGATTATCGTTTATCTTTCTTAATGCTTGTTGTCGCGTCTGGAGAACGGAAAATAAACAGGCCATGTGCCAAGACCTCGTTATTGGCAGAAGCAGCTTCATCGATTTTCAAACTTCAACGTTCAAAATTTCAGGCTTCGACACAAGATTTGAACGGCCTACATTATTTATTCACTTACACCTCCAGTATCTCAATGAGCTGAATACCCTCTGTTGCATTCATGCGCCGGCTGACATTCCAAGGAACTCGGTGGCATCCGCATGCGCTCTCAACATGCCTCCCCCGTCGCTCTCCGTCGTCTCTTACCTTTCCTCGACCGTTTTCTACCACGCCGGTAGCCTACTTGCGCGATGGAAAGCCAAAGGTTTCTGTGCGTAACTTTGAACAGTCGATTGCCAACAGCAAGGAATACTTCGAGGTCGACCCTGATACACCCGATGTAGTAGAGCATCGCAAAGCGAGGGAGAAACTAAAGAAGCTAGAGAACGAACTAGATGCTCTTAAGGAGGGTCCTTTTGCTCTAAATGGCGAGTTTATGAGGAGTCTATCTGAAGAAGATAGAAAAAGGGCGTTGGAGGCTATTGCCAAACATGCTGCCAAACAAAATTGGGAAGAGGAGGACAGGAGGGACCAACAGCTCAAGGATCGCATAACGACAGAGTTTAATGAGGCGATAAATAAAGAATTGGAGAGCCTAGAGGCGGAAGATGAAGAGCTATGGGATCCTACCAGGGAGCTGCGCGGCTCGGCCAAAACAATGGAGCCTGTCGAGCGGGAAAGGGAACCTTACGAGGTTGAATTGAAAGTCCCCGAGAGCCATCATGCCTATGTGATGAGATTCAATAAGGCTTTGAAGTCATTAAAAGGCATGCCGAGCCTTGCAGAGAAACAATTCGCCTGGAAATCATATAGCCGGTGTAAAGATGCTCTTCCATTCTTCCTTGATATAGCCCCAGAGGAGTCGATAAATATGCTCTGGGAATCACAGCGCCCTAGCTCAAGTCCTTCCGAAAAGATACCCCCTCGCCACCTTATTACACTAGCTGAAGATATACTTAATAGCGGACGAATTCTTGAAGCCGATCAATGGGTTGATTATATGGATGCTCTCCTCAGCGATGGACAGAAGGAAAAGGCTCTCTCGCTATGGAGAGAAAGGGAACCGGACTTGAATGAATACACAACAATTGAAAAAAAGAAATATTGGGGCCTGGGCGTGCGGTTGTTTGTGGCCAATATGAATCCAAAAAACGCTCAAGACGCTGCACTGATATACATATCTCTTGATCCGTCCCACAGTCCCCGGGTTTTTATTCCAGTTATTACTTGTTGGGCTCAGAGTGACGTCCCTGGAAACGATGCTCGAGCGTGGACATTATATTTACACGTCAAGACAAGCCTAGGAAAAGATATTACCATGTCCGACTACGACGCAATCAGCGTCGATTTACTCAAATCCGGCAAAGTCAACATGGCCCTGGCTGTTTTCAAAGATATGATGCTGACGGGCCAGAATTCGTATGCTGAGTCAGATGCTCTTTATAAAGCTTCTTTGGGGCTCGTCGGAAAGCTTCACTCTGATAGTATCAACGAGTCGGATGTCAACAAAGTGTCTCTTGCATGCTTAACAATTCTTCCCCGGAATTTCCAAAACAAGTTCTTTTACGCCAGCTGGATCAAAAAACTTATCGGAATGCAAGAGCTTGACGCGGCGGCTAAAGTCGTTGAGCTCATGTATGAGCGAGGAGTGAAACCCGACGCTAAACATCTAAATGGCTTAATAGGAGCATGGCTTCGTGAAGGAAGCAGTTCCGGTAGACAAAAGGCGGAGGAGCTTGGATGGGCCATGGTCAGAAAACGCGTTGATCGTGTCTGTGGTGGTCAGCCAGGGAACTCGTCTGCCATCGATCATCTACCCGAGGGATCTATTCCAGAGTATGAGCAACGGACTGTTCCCGAGGCTACCATCGAGACATTTTCCATCCTCTTACTGCATTATACCCGACGAGATAAGGATACTCTCATTAACCACCTAGTGGAGTGTCTTGACAAGGCCCAAATTCGGCCAAACACGTTTTTCGTCAATCATTTGCTCTACAGGGAGTTAAGGAAGCAGAATATACTGGGCGTTTGGTCCGGGTACAAGAACGCAATGTCCAATATCAGGCCTGATCTTGAAACATTTGCTTGCCTCTGGGATTGCGGGAAAATTCAATATGACAGAACACGGTCTTGTTTCAATGCACAATTCCCCAACGCCCGCGCGTTATACTCTGAAATGAACCAGTGGTATTCAAACCTACCATCCAATCTTCAAAAAACCACCCAAGAGGCCTTCTCAAAGGACCTCTATGATCATATCATTCGATGCTTCTGCCTCTCTCTTGACCCCGAGGGCACTATAGTTGCGCTCCGGGCCATGAAACATACATTTGGATTTTTCCCCGATGCCGATACTGCCAGGATCCTGGTTTTCCTTGTTGTGCGGTTGATTCCTACAGGTGACGAAGCAGCACTACCCAAGCGGCGCCACAGACGCATCTCGTCCACGCCTCGTGCGAAGGAAAACCTCCAATATGTCGGTGGTCTGCTGAACAAGCTGCGGGAACAGAAAACAGTGCAGGCTGCTAAGGAGGGAATATATCTGGACGATATGGATCAAGAGTTTCATATGGAGTTCGAGGTAGATCTGATGTGCGATCTGTTACGACTGGTTCTGCGAAACATGCGGAAGGACTCCGCCGAAATTGAAGAGAGAATACAGGCAGCGGCGCAGCATATGGGTGTAAATTATCTTGACCTTGGTGAACCTCCTTCATATGATGCATGACTTCCCACTTTCTCGGTTCTCTTATGACCCATAGGCGCTCCTTGGGTACGGATGGCGTTTATTTTGGGCTTCTTGGAAATAAAATAGGGCATCTACTTAGCGTGGATTGTAATATAGATGAGATTGCTATGTACGATATAATAACAGATTATTATTATTACTTTATTGTGCAGCTTATTGCAGTCTCTTATATGTGGGGGAAGGTATAGATTAATGAACAGCAGTACAGTTTCATGATGTAGGGATTTCCATACATTTAATAGAAACCACAGTGCTGGAGGTCAGAAAGGCCATAGCCGCCACTGGCTACGAGTGGTTTCTGGTTCACGGTCGTCTTGAGCGTCGAGCCCAGCGGAATTTTGAGTTGCCCAAGATGGATCGCTGTCTCCCAGCTCCCAGTCCTCCTCTGGCATGTCAGAATCAGGGGAACTAACAGGGTGAAATATATTGTCTTCAACCAACGGCCGACTGCCTTCACTAAACACCATGGCTTCTCTGCGGCGCCTGCGAAGTGCCTGCTCTTCAGCAGAATTTTCCTGTGGGCGACTATTAAGCCAGGGTGAAATACCCGCCGTCGCTTCACCGTCGATCATCCAGACATCACTATCTGCATCTGAACCGGAGTCCGAGGTTTCATAATTCCGTAGATGATCAACTCCGTAGATTAGGGTACCACCCCCGTTACCGTGGATTTCATCGCCAAATAGGCCTGTGGTGTGCTCTTCCATTCTGCTGCCCATCAACCCATATTTTCTCAGGTGCTTCAACCCTTCTTGATCCGAGGATATGGTATTTATGATAGACCCCATGGCTGGATCATCGGCCCACCATGTTTTCATCATAAACACAATGCTCCGCTTCTTGGACATGTCACGTAAGACACACGGAAATGGATAGAACGTCAGCCATCGACTGACAACCCCAGCATCCAGGGCAGATACAACGTTCCCAGGCAGCATCACGCTGAGCGTTTTCAAGGCCTTGTTTTCCCCGGGCGGCCGGGTCTGCGGGCAGATGGGAGATATTACATCATTTGTCTTTTGGGTATGTTCATGGAGGAAGTTGCATAGGCAATCGATAAGAGCACAGAAGGTGGAAAAATCCTTTAGCCGCATAGAAACACTCGAACGACCTACTAAAGTGACATAACCGTTAGTCAATTCATCAAGGAGAGAGCTAAGGTCATGACCTACACGCTGAGCTAGATATAAGAAAGTTCAGTGCATTTAGAGCTTTCCGTCTGCGTTCCGGATCATCGCCAGCAAGGTCGTCCAAAAGTAATTCCTTTGTCGTGCCCTTGGTTGATCGTTCCGATATAATTCTCAGAGCTCTGAAAATGATAGGATACCAAATTAGACGTGAGTAGAGGTAATTTCAGATAGGTTTAGTACTGACGCAGCACGGAGGTCAAAACTAGAGCTTCCCGCGAGCCTCTGGAGTGTCTCTAGTCTCAAGGCTGCGAGTAACAAGTCAGCCCTAAGAAGTCTTCAACTGAAGACTCAAAAAAAGGCCGAGCAGCATACCATCTTCTGTTGCCTGCCCAATAACTGGATCCTCCTTCTCAATCTTCCTTATTTCCGTAAGGTCTTTCACTCGGTAGAGCTCTACAGCGATGCCTCGTGCAGCAAAGAAGAGGGTGACTCCTACGGTAAAGCAGTCAGTCAGTATACAAGTTGCTGTAGAAAAGAGCAAAGCAAAGAACGTACCTAGACAAAGCCATAAAATACGGTCGTTACCAGATGAAGCCATCACTCCTGTATATTCATCTTCAGATGAGACGATAGCTCCATGGCTTGCGCCTCCGTCGTCCTTCTGTCTCTTCGTGTCTTTCTCTGCGCGTTTGTTGCTTCCGTCGTCGATTTTGACGTCGAAGAAAGAAGCGGCAGAATCCCAAAGGCGGTGAGGGCGGGAGCTTATCGATTATCAAAATTTCAACTTTCAACTTACTTTTTTTTTACGTCGCTCTCTTAATTACACATACGCACATCAGCGCCAGCTTTTCGCTATTGTCTGGGGAAGAGGGCCTTTCTGCGAGGGCAATTGACCATGGCGCCGTCGCAGCTGAAGCAGCTAAAGGCGTCCTTGCGGGAGAAGGGCGTCGTTGGCCCTCAGCAGTCCAAGAAGCAACGACAGAAAAACTCCAAGTCTGGCGCCGCAGCCGATAATCGCATAAAACGAAATGCTGCCCTCCAGGCGATACGGGAACAGTTTAATCCTTTCGAAGTCAGAGCTCCTGCGCGGCCGTCTAAATTTGCCGTCACTACTGCAAGGCAGGAGGCGAGCTCGGCGCATCGACCTGGCGTGACAAGAGGACTTGGAGAGGAGAGGGTAAAGCTTTTCCTAGCTATTATATATAGATTTTATGATGCCAAAGCTAACTGCAGAGTATTCTAGAGAAAACAAACTCTTCTCAAAGAACTTCAAAGTCGAAATAAGGTCGGTGGCCTTCTCGATCGGAGATTTGGTGAAAATGACCCTTCCATGACACCCGAACAACGAGCAGCGGAGCGTTATGCGAGAGAGAGTCAGAAGCGATCCAAAAAAGAAGGATTGTTTAACCTCGAAGATGATGAAGAAGAGGAAATGCAACTCACCCACATGGGTCAATCGCTTTTTGATGTTGATACAGGGAAGGACGACTTCAACGAGGATCTTAGCGGCCTAGGAGATGAGAGTGACTCGGAAGTGGGCAAAAAGAGAAAACGCATACTGGAGGAAGTAGATGATATGGATGGAATGGCTGATGACGACGAGGACGAAGAAGATCAGCCAGAGAGGAAGAAGAGCAAAAACGAAGTCATGAAGGAAATTATCGCGAAATCGAAACAGTACAAGTATGAGCGCCAAAAATCCAAAGAAGACGATAACGAGCTTCGAGCTATTCTGGATCAAGGCCTGCCAGATGTGTTTGCGATGATGAGAGGTACAAAAGCAGCAGAACCCAAACCCGCGCCGGCACCAGTCCCAGAGCCTCCTCAGATGGACCCCGACCGCGCTGCCCTACTCGGTGGAAAGGATAGAGATGTGGCAGATCGCGAGTACGATCAACGGCTCAAGCAGATGGCCTTCGACAAGCGTTCGAAACCTTCTGACCGGACCAAGACACAGGAAGAGAAAATTGAAGAAGAGGCTAAGCGGTTGCAGGAGTTAGAGAATGAACGGTTACGACGCATGAGGGGTGAAGAGGAAAGTGATGAAGAGCAGGCAGACAATACTGTTGACGAGGAGATCCAGGATGATTCTGAGCCCGACGATGCCAAAGCATTCGGACTTGCTCAAACTGAGGCGTCAAACGGCTTATTTGGCGTTGAGGATGAAGATGACTTTATCATTGACGACGACCTTGTGGATAACGAATCTGTCGCCCATGTGTCTATTACTGAGAGTGAAGTCGAATCGGAAGAGGAAGAAGACGATGCCGACGATACCGAGTTCATTGGTGACCTAGAACTTCCTAGAGACAAACCATCGACATCGAGCGGGACTACACCTAAAGCACCGAACGACTCTTCACTAGCATTCACCTATCCTTGCCCTGAGTCGCATGACCAGTTCCTACAAACTCTGAAGGGAGTTGATGTCGAAAATACCCCCGTTGTTGTGCAAAGGATACGCGCGCTGCACCATGCAAGCCTCCATCCTGATAACAAGGCAAAACTCGGAGAGTTCTCCAAAATTCTTGTTGACCATGCAGTATACCTTGCAAATCAGCCATCCGCACAACTATCTTTTACCATTATAGAGAGTTTACTACGACATGTTCACTCCATGGCCAAAACTTACCCTGAAGAAGTTGCAACAAGGTTTAGAGCTCAACTCCGCGACATTTCGGAAAATAGACCGCTAGAACTGCTACCCGGAGACCTTGTTTTACTTACCGGGATTGCAACAATATTCCCTACGTCTGACCATTTCCACGCCGTTGTCACACCATCAATCCTTACTATTGGCCGCTACCTAGGCCAAGGGCCGGTCAATTCCTTGAATGATATTGCGACCGGGTCATACATTGCCAGTCTTTGTCTTCAGTATCAAGCATATGCTAAACGATATATACCCGAGTTCATGAATTTCGTCCTGAACTCCCTAACCATCCTTGCACCAAAGGAAAGCAAATCCAACCCCGGTTTTATTCCCGTCCGAACCCCTGAAGCTCAGTTCCGATTGAAATTGGATAAGCTTTCCTCCAAGAACCTTCAGAAACTCCGTTTTTGGGATATTTTTGCTACAGACCTAGAAGGTAGCGATGCCGAGAATCTCAAGTTATCCCTTATTAACATATTGGTTACCCTCCTTGATAAAGCCGTCGACTTATGGGGCTCCAAGCTGTCTTCTTTTGAGATTTTTGAGCCCGCAAGCTCCGTTCTACAACAGCTTATTGAATCCTGCCCCAAAGGCACACTCCCGTCCAGTCTATCAACTCACCTCCGCCGGTCCCTTAAGACAATCAAAGCGCTTCTCATTACTTATAGGAAGGACAGGAGGCCATTGCTGCTACATAACCACCGGCCGCTTGCGATCAAATCAAGCATTCCCAAATTCGAAGAATCCTTCAACCCAGATCGACATTACGATCCTGACCGTGAGCGGGCAGAGCTTAGCAAACTCAAAGCAGAGCATAAGCGCGAGAGGAAGGGTGCTATGCGCGAATTGCGGAAAGATGCTAACTTCATTGCTCGCGAGAGCTTGCGTGAGAAGAAGGAGAGGGATGCTGAGTATGAGAAGAAATATCGCCGTCTTGTGGCGGAGATACAAGGGGAAGAAGGACGAGAGGCGAAGCTATATGAGAAAGAGAAAAAGGCGAGAAAGCAGTCGCGGAAGTAGGTGTATAGAACTAGAGCATCATCTATACTCTATACCGCTTGGGCAGCCACTGGCTGCTTATAGTCGGGTTGAGATCAAATATATTGAACAAAATTATGTACGCTTCATTATCTATTCCGCCAACACCTTATTAACGCTATGCAACATGCCATCCGTCTATGTACTCAAGAGCATACCAGGGTATCGCTTAAAAAGAGAAACCAAGTAAAAAAAGAAAGGAAAAAAAAATAAATCGAAAACAACCACCAGGTGAAAGAAAGTCATACGGTAAGCTCATTGCTTGAGGGCTGGTCCAATGCTGGTCAAATAATCGCATCTCTTTTTTAGCCCCTCATCTTCACTTATCATCTTTGTACCATTTGTTTCAAAGAACAATCTGTGCAGCGGCTTTGACAAATCCTGGCCTTGGACGCTTGGTTTCCATTCAGGACTGCCTGCCACTCGGTGCTTATTGGGATCCAATGTTCTGATAAAACTTGTCCAATATCCCTGAACAATGGGGACTATCAGGCCGTTCTCCGGGGTATTGTATGATGGCGCTGGTTTCCGACCAAGGAATGCAGGGCCAAAGATAGCATTTAATTCAACGGTATGAGTTGCTCCGTAGCCATTTTTCGTAAAGCGATGGTCTTGCGCGTGATACTCGTAACTCCATTTGTTTATTTCTAGCGAATCGCTCATCGTTCGGCATATCGCCATTGCAGGGCAGACGTAGCGCATTTCACCGTAAAGCTGGCTTAACTGGCTCCAGTACATGCCCGCTCCTTGATACTGAACTTGTGGTTTTGGGTAAAGTTCATGGAGTTTCTCGAAATGATTTGTCTTTAGGGCAGGGAATTGCCGCGCGAGCCAACGGTCAGATTCTTCCAGCGTCGATGTATTATGAGGAGCAAAAATAGTTCCTTCGTTCGAGTCACTTCCCATGACAGTTGGAACGTCAATATATTTGCCTTGGTTGAAGAGGTTGTAGAAGGAGTCTTCAATCAAATCGCCGTCAATGACGGGGCTGTATGCAAAGAGAGGAGGGCCACTGGAATCCGGTAGTGGGACGCCCAAATTAAATTCCTGTAGCTTGTTTACATCAAGCTTGCGTAGACAGGCCAGTGAGTCTTTCTGGGTATCACATCCGGTTCTTTTAACTAAGCTGTCATACAGATATTGAGATTGGTTATTGGCAAGTGTTGTACCAAATGATGGCGATCCGGCGATGGCTCCGTGGAAGAGATTATCATTTCGTCCTCCATGGGCAGTGAGGAGGTGCGCCACCGAAGCCGCACCCGCACTATGGCCCCCTATAACGACATGATCAGGGTTGCCGCCAAACTGAATGGGAAGTTAGTAACCGTGTTCTTTTTTTTCGGCGTGCGAGTCTGAAAGAAGGATGAGACTTACCTTCGAGATGTACTTCTTAACCCACTGCAACGCTTTTATTTGGTCTTTCAAACCGTTATTTAGGCTGGCGCTCTCTTCTATCTCCTTGCCGGGCAAGAATCCATACAGGGATACTCGGTAGGTGAAAGTGACCACGATCATGTTATGCCCAGACGCGGCAATTAATCCGGTTCCGTTAAGGAAGGGGTCGCTGTTGATATTGAATCCGCCTCCCAGGATGAAGAAAAAGACAGGGAGTTTCGAGTTAGGGCCGGCATTCGAAGGCGCAAAAACGTTCAGACGTAGGCAATCCTCCGATATCCTTGTCACGCTTTTACTGTTGGTAGAAATGCAATGTGGTCCGCGCTAAAGCACAAAAGAGAGATATTGTTAGATCATATTCCCATGGAGCACTGCACTCTTCAACACAGCCACCGCTAGAATCAAGTCACATCCCCACGAGGAAGGGGGTAAACTTACAGAATTCGCGCGTTGGATTCCACCCTCCTTTTTTGGATCTTGAGGAGCGGCAAATCGCAGGTCACCCACGGGCGGCGCAGCATACCGGATTCCTAGCCAACTTGTGACATTGTAACCTCCTGGAGTGCCCAAGTACTTTGCATAGCCAAGCTCCACGAGAGGGCCATTGGGCATATGATGTGCGCTTGAGCCTCTGTGACGCAGTACCAGCGCAAGCGACACAACTAATGTCGTTAACAACACGGTCATAATACTGACGGCGAGGATGATAAGCTTTTTTCTTGACTTGAGTGGGCGCTGTTGCTGTGTTGGTTCCGCCTGGCCCTTGGGAATCGCCTTAAGGGGAATCAGATTTGTCGAAGGCGTAGGTGAAGGTGAGTATATGGAAGAGTCTGGAGAGCCGGGCCCATGCGGACCAGAAGTCCGCGGCGGCATTTTGTTGTGTTGGGAAAACATTTCAAGGCTTTGTAACGCTGGTTAATATAGCTGCTGTGATTGACTAAATTGCGATTTGAACCTGCCAATAGTGAATGTCACGGATGGCCAATAAGTAGATGCTAGCGCACGAAGATGGCAATGGTATCGAAATTCAGGGTCATGCAAACATCTTCGTCATAGAAGAGTAATCAATTTTGTTGGCAACAGATGTTTGCAAGACGGCATACTTCTTTCTAAGCGATTAGAAAGAGCCGTCAAACGAGCGGCGGCCTCTATGCTCCAAACAATGCCGGAATTCGGACTGTTCGCCTGGCGCAGCGCAGTATGGTTGAACGAAAGTGAGCAATATAATATAACGAGAGGAGGAAAGACGGTAAGTGTTAATAAAGTCCACCCTGCGAAGAATCGTTGGAGAGGCAATGGAACGAGAGAAGAATAGTTAATAATTATAATTGATAGATGGGCCGCAGAGAAAAAGGAGACCAAACAGAGAACTAAAAGAGCCCTCTCTGGAGAGCTCTTTGACGAGGGGGCTCAGGGAATTTATTAATCTTGCATAGCATTAGCTAGCCTGCGACCCCATGGCAAACGTCCCTGATTAGGAAACGGTAGATGAAACCATTCCAGCTGTTGGATCTAGAGAGGGAGCGAGAGAGGGAGAATAAGCCTCCCATACTAACTGTTTGTCGCTAGGGCAATCGGGGCTTGGGTGACGTGGATTTGCAGCAGACGGGAACGAGCGATGGAATTTTGTGTGACATTCCGTCGAGCTGGAAATGTATGAGCAGGTTACGGGGGTTTAGGCCGGGGCTTTCTTTCTTTCTTTTTTTTCTTTCATAACCACTTCGACTGGCGGGATATTGTTAGGCCACATGCAGTGGGGAGTAGCCAAAGAGAGTGCTTGCGCTGCCACAGGATGCCACCGGGCTAATCGGCCTATCATAACTGGCCGAAAGGCTCCCCGTTGAGCGAGATGGAGAGACAAACAGGAGCCAGGAGCCAGCGTTCCATGGAGAAGCCTCAGGCTAGGCTTTGGTAGAACCAGCGATCACCATATCTCATCCTCTCTGTGTTGTGAGAGCAGTCGAGCTTGATCCTTGTCATTCGAAACCTTGATGAAAAGCTTGACTGGGCTGGATCAGGCTGCATGGGGATGATGTACAGCCCCTTTAATTGGCTGCTGACAGTGATGCAGGAGTGGCTTCGCATGCATATTATTTAAAGAAGCCGCGTCGATGGGGGCTGAGGATGACAGTGACTCTGCCCCGTCCCCCGGTGCTTTGATTCATTACTCCGTAAATGAATATTAATATAGGATAACAACCATGCTCGCGATAAACCCATCTAACAGTTAGTTATCTAACGACCTGACAAGTTGGAGTTAGTTACGGAGTAACTCTGCAGGCTGACGTGGACGCCGTGCAACGATGCGCTGATTTTTTTGCCTGCGCAACCCAACTTACCTTTCCAGTGAAGAGTTAAGTTAAAAATAAAGATTTAACGGCTAGTATCTCCGATCCCCCATGCCGAAAGCTGACGGCGATGCGACTCTTTTAGTCGGCCTATCTCTGGACGGGGGAAGGGGTAGCAGAGAGTTTCAGGGAGTATACCTAGGGAAAAAAGGGCCGGAATGGAGGCTCTGACTGGCTAGCTTTGAAATGTTCCAGTCATCCGTCGCAACCTAGTCCCAGAGGAGGAAATGAGCCCACGTATGCAAGGGAGAGGCTTTCGACCCCTGGTTCATTATAAACCACGTTGCGCATGCTAAACTGATGTTAGCATCTCTAATATCTTCCTCCGCCTTCTGTCGCGGCTCTCTCACCACATCTGGCGTGAGTGCTTTGGACAGAGCGTACTCCATACGGAGTACTCCGGACAATCCGGTCGATGGCCTTTCTCGTGGTCAGCTCCGTTTCTCAGCGACTAGACAGACGTGTGGCGTAAATTCTTTCCAAACAACTTAGCTAAATGAAATCCCTGGTCCCTAAAAACGGCAAAAGCTTAATATACTCGCTATCGAAGGGTGAAGCTAGCCTTAGCAAGGCCTGCGTGCTTCGGAGGGATCACATATCACGCCCTTTGGTCGCATTTAGTTGTAGCATGTGCTCCGGACTCCGGACTCCAAAAACTTCAATGACTCAGTTGATGTGGAATATTCCCGGCTCCTCGTCCCCATCATCCGTGGTTCAGCCGTTAGGATATGAACAGAAGAAGTTTTAATGTTTCCTCATCACTCCGGACCTCAGTTGGCTGATCGAGGGAAATGAAGGCTTCTCCGGAATACTAGCGTGTTTAATGGGGTTCAGCTCCCAAAAGGTCAGGTCCACTTGGGTAGGAGGATGTCTTGTGTTTTCTTTCTTTCTCGTAAATCCATCTGAGACCTCGCCCACCGTTCCCAAGACAGGTGTCCGCAACAAGATACCGTTGAGCCACCTGTAACCCCTCGGAAAACGCCGTCCAAAATAAGTAGTGACAGGAGTCAAAGTTTTAACCTCATGCGGAGAACGTTGCGATCTTCGAAGTTCGGATGCTCTCTGTACCATCCGCGCAAGGCATATTGCGAGCCGAAAAAAATACTCCGTACTTACTTTGGAGCCTGACCTCAGACATCGGGGCCTCAGGGGAAACAGAGGCAGGCGGAACAGCCAAAGGCGACCACTAGAGCAGACTAGGGAAATTTTTGGTAAAGAGTATGAATATACGGAGGAGCGGTCAGGTCACTGACAGGCCCGTTAAGCGAAAATTCGTATGAGGTCAGCACCTAGCGCATCGTGATTTAGTTTTAAGTAAATAAAATATGCCCACTTCGGCTACAACCTACAATGCCTGCCACGATCGCCCAGCCACTAGTTATGTAGTTAACCCACAAGTTACCTTGCGAAGGGCCTTGTCTGTTTGGTTGAGCAGCCGATTCATGATCATGTCATAGTTTGTGCGTAGCTGCTTTATAGCACCCATTGTTCCGTGTTCAGGCATCATATTAAAGCCAGTCATAGACGCATCCTATGATGGAGTGGCCTGCATTAGTGTGTGGAATACCGCGTAACTAATTGGGCGGCCGTGGAGAAATCATGCGATCCTAGGTAGGTAGTTATTTCGTCAGTTTTGGATAGTGATTGGTGATTGAGATAGCCCCCAAGCAAATCACATATAAAATAAAGCTATGACCGTTGGGAATCTGCCCTGTAAGGCATCACTGACGTCCGCTTTGCTAGTTGGGAGGGACGGCCGAACGGCCTTGAGGCAATTTTCAGCGTGGATTTATTAGTTGATAACCGGAATAAGCGATCAACTTTCGCACCAAAATAGGCCTTCTATAAGTTCTATAGGGTCCTTTGGATGATGTCAAAGGCCATTCGTATGGCAAACGACCCAAGCGAAGAGTATTGGGGAGCCACGAAGTATAAACCACACCCTTTCCGACATAATGAAGGGCGGTTGAACATGTGCGACATAGGTTCAATGGAGCACCCGTCGGACACATTTGACTTATCAACACCCAGAATAGTGATGCTTGTGACGCTAAATAGTCGGAACGATCTGCGAACCCAATGTATTTCAAAGGCCAGGTGCGTCTGAAGTGGTGGACAAAATAGATAAGTTTCACAAACTTCGAGTGTAAGAGGGCAGTAACGTATCCCCGCTAAGCAGGGAAAACCTGTAACCACGACTTAACTCATATTTATATTGGAAGATACATATACTTCCTAGAGGTTAGATAGCGTCTTCCCATTTGGTGGCATCCGACGCGGTCCAAGGGCTAGCCCAATATAATAGTTCGTAGTCACGTGTAATTCAGTCCATATAAATGAAAGATCCATCACTTCTCTGTATCAGGGCATTGTTACGAGAATAGTCTTGGGATAGGTGTGTTAACGAGGATATCAATTCATCTCCATCGTGGTTTGTGGTTTGATGTCGATGAAATACAATACGGAAGAGAACAGCAAGGGCTGAGTAATTGTCACGTGAAATTTTGGCGGAGATACGCCAATGAAAATATAGGTTAAATAGTTCTGAGCTAAATAAATTTATTATTGGCTAATATAGAGTTTTTTCTTGAAATTAAATTCTAAAAGCCAATCAAAGTTACAGAATAAGTTCAAAAATGCTCTGCGACACCTTAATTGTTATCTTCCTCTCATTGTAAAGAGCAGTATGTTCCGGCTTGGGGGCTGATCTTAATGTCTCTTGAAATAGCCAGCCTGGAGTGTGGAATAGCTGTTTGATTAAAGAACTCTTTGGTAGCACTAAAAGCCAACGGGTGGATGACGGTGGCTGGGTGTAATTATAGAAATTGTCATGGAGGTCGCTGCATGGATCATCAACCAGAAACTACTGATGATACTTTCAATTCAGAACCATACCTTTTCCATGCTGGCGATACCTAAGCAGCCCATCGATTACGCCCCTGATGACACCCCGAACCATATCCTTGGTTACATTTCGTAACACCGCGCATCAACGTGCACATTTTGGGATATTCATCCCCTCTGCTACCGATCAGGACTTTGGAACGCTTATCCATGCTGTTGGCGCACCGATGGTTGGCTACCAGATTGAGTTTAAACGAAATTATGCTCTTGAAGATACGCAGCAACAGCACACCAGATATGATATTGGGCAGATCGATTCTAAGTACATTGAAGACACCACAGGTGGGGAAATCATACGAGACTCCACGCCGAAAGGTGCAGTAGAGGTTGCCGCCAGTAAAATCCCCCCACCAAGAATCAGCCAAAACTTCCTAGCCCCGGTTAATGATGTAGGCGATCCCGGGAATGTTGGAAGAAGTATAAATAGCCTAGCTCGCTAACCCAGTTTATGTCCAGACTACCAATAAAAGATGCCAAGAATGGACAATGGAATACGTCCGTCATCTTGTGCATCTTGAATATCTCGAACCGGAGGCCATTCAAATTGTACAGTCCAAGCGTGATCCGCCGTCTCACGGTATCGGTTTACTGCCCCTTGTGAGAGATTAGGAACTACAAAGCGGCAACGTCTAGCTTGTAAGTCGAAGCTCTGTCTAGGACATCCTGGGTGGAAGTCTACCTAACACGTATAACTAGTCAGTGCTTGACTGTCATTTATGGAGTAGCCAGAATGCTGTAGCTATTAATGGATAGTGTGCTTCTGCGTTTAGTGATTCCCTGATGAGAAGAGCTAAAGGTGTGCCTGAAGAAATTGGAATGCAAAGCAATTCCCCAAAATTGCCCCAGATTTCATACTGCACATATCTGCATTAACTAGTTATATAATCTGTAAGCATACAAGCCTCTGATGTAAGTGGGCCCAGGAAGTTTTGGCATCTAAATATCGAGCCTTGTAATATTCCCCGTAGTCAGGGTACTGGCCAGAATATGTGCAATCAATTATTGAAACCCAGTGTCAGAAGTGTGCAGTCAATTATGTATTTCAAGGCATAAAAACACGAAAATATCAATAAACTAATCGATATTCTTGTTCACACCAAAATTTTTTGTCTTGCTAGCCATAATTGGGCGACCGCTCTTGGTCAGTTAGAGTATCTGGCGACCAAGCCGTAGCCCTAGCGGGCTTTGGAAGGCTTCTGCTGTCACTGAAAAGGACGAGTTAAGAAAGTCTATCCTGTTTCCTTTTCCTTATCAAACCTGCCAGCTTCAAGTCTGAACCGGGCCTGAAATGGCCTTATCCATGAATGATCATGGGATATCATGGATAGTTGTCAAATTATCCCATGTCACTGACACCTTGGGGACGCAGCCCCAGACACATCTTGCTTACTAACTCGCCGAGCACGAGAGTTATTTAAGTCACGGGACCAAAGATCTGCACAAACTATACCTTCTTTGGTTAATCGACATTACATAACCCAACTTCCGGTCCTTGCCGAGGCCCACGAGTCTTGGCACATCGTTCCCCGGGTTTGCCTTTTTCGGTCGTTGCAACGACAAGCTTGAAAAGCGAAGCAGATCAAAGGCAGAGATAAGCATATACTTACTCCGTACTTAAGAACTCCGTACATATTTACATATATATATCGTACGAGAAAGAGACAAGCAGTGTTGCTTGATGTCGGGAATAAGATGCTAGCGAGGCAGGGGATATGGGTGCCGTGCTTCCCGCAAGTCGTGTAACCATGACAAAGGGCAACCAATGCGGAGATCCAAGTCTTCATAATACGGGAGCGTAGGTTATTCACCCAGGAGAAGAGCTTAGCCGAATGCTTAATAGGCCCCAATTTCGAGTATCTTGAAGCGAGATGCAAGCGTTACGGGCTTTAATATCGAAAGAAGTTTGGATCCCAGCTTCCGATGTGTGCTGTCAGGACATCCCAGGCTCCTTATAATACAATATAGCTCTGAATAAGAGAAACTAGCATGGTCTTTTTGACGAAAAGAAACTTAGCTGGTCCGCACAGAAGAATTCTGGAAAACCCCTGTGAGCTGCTGACTTGGCACTTTCCTAATACGGCTGGTTAGGCCGATCTTCTAATTTCGCCAGGGGTTAATGATGGCATTCTAGCTGTCAAGATGCGAGTTTGGTCCTGGAAACCGTTGCTAACAGTGCATGGGATGGCCAGGATGCGGGAGAAACATACGAGCCTGCAAGCATGGGGATTGCTTCAATTTGTTTGCGGGGTTGATCCGGGGTGGACGGCCGGATTGGTATAAAGGTATGGCACAATTCCCACTTCTTCTCGCCTTTTAGGCCGAATTCCTTTTCCACCTCTCCCTACTGTTGCTGTGTTCCAGGCAGTGTGGTCCATAGCATTATCGGTCAGGATGTTGTTTACCAGCACTGCTGTTGCTGCTCTGAGCAGCGTCTTGCTTGTCCAGCCCGCCCTTGCTGCCCCCAACGGCCATCCATCGCACGGCGGTCCTCACCATGGCCATGCAGACCCCTTCGAGGTGCTGGACCCTCAAAACTGGGTCAATCCCGATAATATGACCTGGGCTGACTTCAAGGCTCCTCCGGGCACCAAATGGAACGACCCTTCGCGGAAGGGCTCCATCCGCAACTTCAATATCGCCCTGGTAAATGTCGATTATTCTGACAAGCCATTCACCATAACAATGGCTCCAGGGTCCGACGTCTTCAAGAACCCCCAGCCAGGCTCACCAAATGTAACTCGAAGTCAGGTGCCTGCCTTTTATCGCGATTTCCTTAACAAGCCTGGCAAGCTCAATCGCGGCCACACGCTTCATGAATACTGGATGGAAGACTCGAACGGACGTTTTGGCGTTGACCTGACCACGTTCGGTGTGTACAAGATGCCATTGAAGTCATATCAGTACGGTATTGGCGAGTCAATGAACTCCGGTGCTTGCCCCATTGGAGAAACCTGCTACTATGAAATCCGTGATGACGCCCTCGGCGCCTGGCGTAAGGATATTGGTGAGGAGAAGGCCAAGTCTTTTGAACTGGTTTTCATCCTGTCTGCTGGTCAGGATGAATCCTCTACCTGGCAGGAGTTCGGCGAGATCATGTTCCAAAACAAGGAAGATGTTACTGCTGCCTTTGGCCCTCCACCAGGTAACGGCACGGGCAACATGACTCTGCCCAACTATGCTAACACTCGATATGTCGAATGGACTTCTTGGGCTTCTGCCTCTGCCATTTGGCCCAATGCCGGTGATGGCTCCTCCACCCAGGCTGAGAGCTCTGGAATGGGTACCTTTGCCCACGAGCTTAGCCATCTTCTCAACGTTGGTGACAACTATAACAACCCCTACGGCAAGCCTCTCCGCCGTTCCTACACTGGCCCATGGTCCATGATGTCTCGCGGCTCCTTCAATGGACCTGGAGGCCCACACACCCGCTGGCAAGTCCCTCCACTGAAGGGCGGTTCCATGGGATCCCAGCATACCTTCCATGACAAGCTAAGACTTGGATTGACCACTAAGGATAGTGCCCTGAACATTTCTCGTGAGGCTTTGGCTAAGTCAGGCCTCATTGTTGCACGCGTCACTGCCCGTGTCATTGCACCCAAGCAAGGTGAATTGATTGGACTCCATGTTGCCATGAACAAAGACAACTCTCCCAAATGCGACGTCAACACCGACCCCTATTGCGACGGAAACGGATACCACAACTACAATGTCGAAGTCATTGACCGCATGGGTGCTGATTCCTTCTGCCCCGACTCTGGTGTTATGCTTAGCAAGACCAGAGACAGAGCTTTCTCAAACTACCAGTGGACGATCGATGCCAACCCACAGGACATCAAGCAAGTCGACTTCCACCGCCCAGACGGCACACCTGCCATGATCAGCCTTGGCGACTACCGCCAGTTGGCTGATGCCCTGTTCCATGCTGGCACCCGCTCTGGAAGCGAGTATGAATACACCGACAAGGCTAACAATCTCCAGTTTTACATTATTGAACCCCACCGTGATGAGGCTGGCATCCTCTCCTACACCACTGCTGTCCGCTACGTCGGAAGCAAGGACCCTCACAAGCGCGGCGTGAAGCTCGACAAGAATGCTAAGGTTACCTCCAGCAACTCCAAGGCCACTGATAAGGGCGTGACCTGCTCCTTCACCCTTCACAACACCGGCACCTACAACCCAGCCGCCGGCAAGGTCAAGCACCCCCAGGATGTCACTGCATTCCTCAAGTCCGATGTCTACCGCCTCAAGGCCACTGTCCAGGGCCGTGGCTGGAGAGTTGAGGTTCCCAATGCCCTTGCGACAGCCGAGTTTGGCAAGACCGTCACCGTCTCTGTTGCTGTTGGTGCCGACAAATCTGCTGAAAATAATGCCAAGGTCACTCTCACTGCTACCTCGGAGGCGGACCCTTCGAAGTTTGCTACCGCCGAGTGCAAGGTGAACAAGTTCCGCAACTAGAGTATCTCTTCTCTGTGCACTCTTAACGACCCTCTTGCCGTGTGTTATCAGCTTTAACTTTGTATATAGTTACGCAGTAGCATTGGCCACCTAGACCCCAAATAAAGTCTATTCCAAGCCGTATACGTTCCCTGATAGACTGTTTATAGTATCATGTAACTGGTAAAACGGTGACCCTGACTCTTCTAGGGAACACCAGCAGGCGCTTTATATATGTATCAGCCTGATGCTCCCAAGAGTCCATGATTAGATAAGCGATTTAAGGATAAACTTAGCTCCGGGAATCCCACACGTGTCACGTCATGGCAATCCGTTTTGGGAAGGCGGTCAGCATGACTTTATTTTCGTTTATTTTTATTTTTATTTCTATTTATTCTTCTTTCAACGTCAACTCTTCTATCTCACCAGAAACCCCAGGTTCACAGCAGTTGGCGTGGCCGGATACTACTGCTTTTCCTGGGCTGCATGCGCTGTTTGCCTGTTCGCCGCCTGGAGTAGTTCCTGGTTTTCCCAGTTTTCATGTTTTTTTTTCCAAGTAGGTTTATACCTGTGATGGCCAGACCACGTTAAGAAAAAGTACATCCGCCATATATCCTTGCTATGACCGTATACTTTTCCACGAAACCCGAACCTTCGCCCGCCTAGCCAACAGCTTGATCACTCATCTGTAGCCGATCTTGACCTTCCCTCCCCGCGGCGTGACTCCTGCTCCCCCTCGTTCCATGTCGTCTTTGGACAGCGGGGGATATATCGAACCTCTTATCATTTACCTGCGTTTGGCTCTCCATGAAAGAAAGAAGAAAAAATGGGAGAAGCTGTAGAACCCCAGGAGCGAGCTCGAGCCCAAGCCCAAGCCCAGGCGCAAAAACGATCCTCTTCGCAAGCATCTACCTCGTCCATACGGAGCCAGAGAGGTAAAACAGTTCGTTCAAAACCTCTCAAACGCCTCAGTACATGTTCGTCGACACATACCGCCACAGATCTTACGTCGTTCCCATCTCTGTCTCCGGATAGATCGCCAGAAGGATTCTTTGGCGAGCCTGCGTTGAACCATGCTCTGAGCCGGGCTTTGCTTGTTGGGAATAATGATAAAGAACCAGACGTTGAGCGTGGGAGGAAGGCGACCCTGGAAGGACTTACCACAACTTTACCCCAGCTCTCTGGTAGAGCTGCTTTGTTCAATGACTCAGCACCCACGCAGGATGTCCCTGGAGCCCTTCACCTGGCTAGTGATGAACATATCGAGCGACTGATAACGCGGACCGGAGCTGTGAGGTTGATACGGCAGTTTGCAAGAGACTTAGCGTTGCGAGATGCGGAAGTATCGGCACTCAGGCTGCGTGCCGATGACCGGGAACGAGAGTTGAAGAAGATGCTGCGTGAAGTTGAAGTGTCAAATCATGATATTGAGCGCCGACTTTACCTGCTTGAGAACCCACCGGATGGCTCCATCGATACCTCCAAAACCGACTCTACTGAATTATCATCCGGACAGAGGAGCCTGACATCCTCTATTGACAATATGATGAACCAGGCAATGTTGGAAGGTGTAGGACCGCACAGGGATGACTTAGAGGCCACTATCAGGCCCCATCGGACCGACAGTGAACCTAAGTCTGGTAACTCAAGTGCAGGATCGTCTAAGAAGCCTATGAATGCTACCGGACGAGGTTGGCAGGACTATGTATGGGGCACTTCGACTGCTAGCCGGAGACAAAGCAGAGCAAACAGTGTTGGGAGTGAGGCCGGCGATGAACTTCGGATCCCAGCATCGACATCAAACCGACGGAAAGCACTTGACGGCCAACTGTTTCAGCCTCCAGGGGCCTCTACAGAGACCGCTAGTCTTGGTATAGAGGGGACGCCGGCATACAAAAGTGGTGACGGTGATGATCGGAGTATCATTTCCCAACGCTCTACATATTCCGTGGCTTCCTGGACTGTCAAACTTTTTGCTGGGAAGGGAAAAGATAGCCAAGACTCAAACCGAAGCCGGGCGTCGTCAAGAAATCCTGAGTCTAGGCAGAGTAACCAATCTACTGCGCCCCGGGCGTCTACCCCTGCCGGCTCTGCTTTGGCTGCATTAACTAGGATAAACGGTGCTACTGGCGTACAACAGCTGTCTGCTCGCTCGTCCGGCGCATCAACTATGCGTAGTTCGACTGTGAACAACACAACAAAGTCACGCCGATTGAGGGTTCAGAGCACTTCAAGTGCAGGAACGCCTGGAAGTGCTCACCCAGACAGTGACGCCACCAATCTAGGGCCTGTTGAGATGGATGCAATACTACCAATGGAATCTCGTCCCCCCACCCTTGCCTATATCCATGGAGAGTATAACCCAGGCGACCTGCTCACAGATAGGTTTGGCTTCATCTACGACCAACGGAGAAATCGCCGCCAAAGAGAAGCAAATGCGGACCGGCCTTCTGCAGAGCACCCTAACTCTACCAATTCGGGTAGCCCTGCAGAGATAGATAACCCAGATGAAGATATTGGTAGTAGCCATGGACCTGGAATATGGCAAGACTATCTAAAGACAGCTACAAGACCCACAGAACTCCTGTCACATACTCCTGCGGCTGGGCCTGTCGTCTCCGTGGAGCAAATTACCCAGCCGAAGCCGCGCGTATCATCAGTTGCAGTTGGGAAAAGTGGCGCAGTGCCAATGGCGAATAACTCTGCGCAACCATCCGCATTTACATCGGCGGTCGTCTCAAACCGTGCTGAATTTGCGGGGACGGAGGTTAGACCCCGTGAAACGTTCGTCTCCGAGCAGCAGCCTGTAAAAATGCTGCTGCAACGTTTGACAGAACTGCACGATGCATCACAGCAAGAACGAACCGTAAAATGGAACGAGTTCATGCGAAAAGTGCGAGCTGAAAGGCGAAAGGAAGGTGAGGCTACCGCAGCGTTGACCCTACCTGATCGCTCCAAGCCTTCTCGCGATATGCCAGAGGTAGCTCTAGCAGATGGCGAGGTCATCGGAATTGCCGGTTTGGGGAACAAGGGCAAAATCGGCCGTGCCAAATGGAGAGAGTTTAGAAACCTTGTCTTGGGCGGCATCCCAGTTGCATACCGTGCTAAAGTCTGGTCTGAATGCAGTGGTGCCTCTACCCTCCGAGTGCCAGGATATTATGATGACCTTGTTCACGGGCACATAACCACCCAAACTGATCCCGGAGCAACTGCTCAAATTGCCATGGACATCCACCGCACATTGACAGATAACATATTCTTCCGTAAGGGACCGGGAGTTGCAAGGCTGAATGAAGTCCTTCTTGCTTACTCCCGCCGCAACCCAGAAGTCGGGTACTGTCAAGGCATGAATCTGATTGCTGGTTCACTCCTGCTGATTTTACCCACCGCAGAAGATGCATTCTGGGTTATGGCATCAATTATTGAGAACATCCTTCCTCCCCATTATTATGACCATGGTCTTGTTGCATCGCGAGCAGATCAACAGGTTTTGTGTCAGTACGTCTCCGAGCTGCTTCCAAATCTATGGGCACACTTCGAAAACCTAGGCATTGAGCTCGAAGCTTTAACTTTCCAGTGGTTCCTTTCGATCTTTACCGATTGCCTGTCAGCAGAAGCCCTCTATCGTGTATGGGATGTTGTCTTCTGCCTGAATGCCCCCACTACCTTTTCGTCTACGGCTCCAACATCGACCCAAGAAACCGCTGAAACCACTGCAGCTGGGCCTGCTACCTCAAAGGGTTCTTCTTCTCTTTCTACCGTCGACCAGGATGTCACTAGCACGAACAGTGATGGAGGTGGAAGTACATTTTTCTTCCAAGTTGCTTTGGCACTTCTCAAACTTAACGAGCCACAACTTCTAACTACTTGCTCAACGCCAGCCGCTGTTTATTCATACCTCAACCACCAGATGACAAACCACGCAATTAGTATCGACGGTCTGATTCAAGCCAGTGAAGCATTGCGGAACGTTGTTAAAAGAGATGACGTCCTCACTAGGCGATCCGCTGCAATCGAAGCGATGGCTACATCTTCCCGCCCTTCGCATATCCCCCAACCAACTCCTACATAAAATATTAGAAGTTTGTCCTCGCAAACCACTTTCATTTTGTCTCAGCATTTTTGTTACACTTTCACCTACCGCCTCCTTTTCATAAAGATTTAAGTCTCTCCTTATTTATGATTGTTCTCTCCCTAGCATCGAGATACCCACTCCTTTTGTTCACCTGAGCTCGTCATTTTATTCCAGCATTCATCGGTCGGGCGGACGGTGTTTGCCAGCGAACCAACCCCAGGCTGTTTGTTACAACCATTTCCCATCATTCCGTCTTACATACCTACGAAATTTAATATAACTTTCAGCATTTTGTATACGCGGGTACATGTGGTTTGTCTGAACTACCCTTTGAGCAAGTTATTTACATTTATATATCTATGCCACTTAAAGCCACATATAGGAGGGAAATTAAAAACACTTATTTCTACAACGCGCCGCATAATGTTGTCCTGGCAGCCATCATCTCTTCCTGAAATTGATAAATGTAGAACTGCTCTGTTCACCCTAGCCTATGAAAGGGAGGATCGTAACAAACCAAACATGCTATAGATATCCTACATTATTGAAATATATAAACCATTCCGGCCCGGTCAACACTTACCGTCATTGCATATGGAGACTGAAGGATCGCGATATCAAGGATAGAATCGAGATGGCTCCTTAACAACTGCTGCTGCTGCAAACTGATCACTGTACTCCTTGGGGGCCGCATACTGTTCCCGGCACTCGTCAAGTTTGACTTCTTATTGGAAGTTGGACCTTGTCTAGTTGGTACTGAGCCGGCACTGGGGATCCATTCAGATGTTATCGTCAAAGCAGTGGTAGGATGGGTGGTATCATATCTTGGTCGCATCTGAATTCCATCAGTGATAAGATCCGGACTACTCACCACAAGTGATGCGTCAGGGTGTACTACATCCCAGAAGCGTACACTTCGATCCAAGCCAGCAGTCAAAATAAAGCCACATTTAGATCCATCTGCCGTGCCGTCAAGGTAGTCAATACCGACGGCGAGTGCAGATATCACATTTCTATCACTGCTAACGGAATTTTCGCTAGCCACGGCCGGCTCTATTCCCGCGGACGATGGGTGAGCATTCGTCGCAAAACGGCCTAGCATACCTTCAGGAAGGTCATCGTCAACTTTCCATGGCTCATAAGCTTTCCAACTTATATCGGGGTTAAGGTTGACCTTCTGGCCTGTGGGAGCGGTTGCTTGATTGCTGGAGGCGCCAGCAGTGCGATAAACCTCTCGACACTGCACTCTATCAATATCCCAAACCAGAACTTCTGAACCATTGTTCCCTCCACCAACAACGCATACCCATCTACCTCGGCCCTTGGTAGGGTGTATCGCAAGACGCCGTATTGGAGTTCCACCAGGCAAGCCCCAAGCTTTCACACGTACACAGAACCGGAGATCCCATAGATCTAATATGCCGTGGCTCGTTCCCACCAGGAGCCAGTTGTGTTTTCTGTCAAGACAAAAAGTGGTCAGGGTACCATGGCGAATGGGGTTCTGGAGTGTGTAGACCTCAGTCATGGATTTCAAATCCAGCGCAATTATCCGGGATCGGTTGGTTGCCATTAGTAGAATTGAATGTACATCCGTTCTGAAATGTTCTATCCATACGGCATACTCGCCACTTCCACCATCTGTTGGTGAAATATGGTACTCTCGGACCAGTTGGGGTTTTCCGTAGCGGATAACGTCACGGTTACTTTGATAATCCACCCTTACTGCATGGACACTTCCATCAGTAGCTGCACTGATGAAGGTATAGGTGTTTTCAACAAATGTCACACATTTCACCTTGGCTCCAGGAGCATGTCGATGTGTCTGGCGAGACCGTGGAGTCAGGTTTCTCTCCAGTCTAGCCGTGTCCCAGACCTTCAACATGCCATCATCAGAGGCTGTGACAAAGAATGCATGGTCTGAAGCGATCACTACCCGGTTGACTGGACCATTGTGTTCTCCAAACATTGCAACGAGCCCACCCTGGGGCCTCCATGGTTTATCTGAACTTTGCCCGCCAGGTCCATGCAAAGGCGAGCATTGAGAGGGTTGCGGCACTACCGGGCCAAAGTCAAAGAGATCAGTAGGGTAATTTTCTGCAAAGATATTATCTAGGATCCTTAGGATTGTTGGGTCATTTCCATGGTATGTGTGGCTAGCTTTGTATCGGGGACGTGAGGCTAGTGCGCCATTGTTTTGTGGGTCTGGGGTACTTGCCCTGGATAGTTGGGCAAGATCCTTCTGATGCGGAACATCAACTTTCCCAAATACATTTGTAGAAGAGGTTGCGGTCGCAGCATTTGCCTTAGAATTTTCCTGGCGGTTCAGGAGGTTTATTGCACTTGAACGACGCTTGATGTCTCCGTCCAGTACTCGTAACGAGGGGGTACCGGATCGAATGGGGCCGTTTCTATCAGCTTTAAGAGTTGAATCCGCAACGCTCTGGGTCAGACCATCAGACAGTGGTGATGTTGACAAATTAGGAGAACCAGACTGGCCATTAGGGGATGACGAAAGGTGTGAAACCGTCGGTGACTGATCTTCTCTTTTGCCCCTTGTTGCAGTCGGGCGAATTAAGCTAGGGGGTACACTGGAGCCACGCCCTTCCGGTATTTGGCGCCCTGTTGGTCTTTGGTTGTCATCATTATGTGAATCAATTGTCGTTGAAGCATCTAGCAATGCATCGGCAATTGTGTGTGGCCTTCTGCCACCCTGGGCAGGTTGAGCCTTCCTTGGGGGCGGTCGATGGCGACTCACACCTTGTTTCCTGTCAAACAGCACAGTCTGCGGAGTGATATTATGTTCACTCAGGGATATTATTTCTGCAAATGGCGTGACTTTGTCATTATCAGTATCCTTTTTTCTTCTCATGGCGACTCTCCAAATGTACTCTTTGAGAGCAAGGAATTTAAACTCGTTTTCTTGGTTTAGCCCGATATTCCTGAGCCTCGATAACCATTGGTCGTCCTCTTCATTTCGTGGTATATTACTTAGAGAAGACATAAGTCCACGTTGCCGTATTTTCGGTATGCTCGAGCTACTTAGCGAGAAAGTTGCATCTTGTGAAACGGACTTCCAGAAGAGTCCTTTTTCGACATTAGTGGCCCATACTAGAAGCATGTCGAAAAGGTTCTTGGGTAGAGGTTTTTTCAGAGCGTCGAATATCTGAACGGTAGATATGTCTGTAGTATTCGTTTTCAAGAATGGTCTAACCAGGGGGCTGACAATGCAGTACTTGTCGGTTGCGGATAAAAATGTAGTGGAATCCACAACGAAGCTCACAGCGGCTTCTCGTATCCATATGCTTGGGTGGATGAAGAATCGAACTGCGATATTAAGTAGATCCCAAGTGGTAGAACGTTGGAATAGACCAAGTTTTGCCATTTTAGCAAGGGATCGCAACACACGCTCAACCACGAACTCCTCAGGGTCTGTCATGGACTGAACGATTAATGGTAGAATAAACTCTTCGAGGGAAATACTGCCAACATAAGCAGCAACGCCAACGACTGTTTCAAAGAATGCGCATTTCAGTATCCAGTCTTTATCATTAAGGTAGGTGTTTAGATGGCTGAGAATAACCTCATTTGCTTTGGGGTTTCCAAAGAAGACACAAAGTCCTGGAACTGAGCCAAGGAATGCACGCCGGACTACAACGTCCGAGTCAGTTAAGAGCGCTTTCGCATGAGCCTCAAAGAATTCAAGCAAATCTACTCGTGCGACGTCGTAGAGATTATGATATGATATTTCTTCCTCCCAGCCGCGCTCCGCACCCGAAGGTACAAGAGACGTTAATCGAGCATCAGAGCGTAACGCCTGAACCATGTCAAGGATTTTGAGCGAGGATTGCGCTAGAGAAGCTATGCATGAAGCATAAGCTGCTCGAACTATGGGAGTCGGGTTTGAAGGCAGTGTACTGATTAGGTGCTGAAGCCTTGGGAAAATGTACTCGGGAACAACATAGGCGTTGACAGGCGAAACCACTTTGACCATAGCAAGAAGCTGAGTGAGCGTTCTAATGGCTGAAATTTTGACATGATCCGCGCGGTCATTTAGGAGCAATATCACAAATGGGAGTATTCTGTCTAACTTGGCTTCGTCTGGGAGTTTCTCAGCGAACGCGAGTAGTATGTCACAAGCTTTAACACGTGCAGATGATTTACTCGTGTTCCGTAGACTCGAAACAACAAGGGTAAGAAAGATAAGGGTTCCATCATCTGTGGCCGATAGTGGTTTTGGCGTTTGCTGATTCCCAACTTTAGGCAGGTCCAGTTGCAACGGGAATGGCTGTTGCGTAAGTGAAGGAGATGTTGTTTGAGATCCGTCGAGTATAATCTGGGGAGAAGCACCAAGAAAGTAGGATATCTTGTCAAAATCCACAAAGATACGGCTTATTCTTTCATCTGCTTCCTTTAAATCCAGCGGGGTAGACTCGTCGCGCGCGCGTCCCGGTGATGGTTCGGTTATTAACCCCATATACTGGTGGAGAAAGCCGTAAAAGTATTCTGGGAATGCCTTGCGGCGCCAAAAGTTAATGCACTCTTCAGCTGAGTAACGTGACTCAGGATTGAGCTGGATCATATGAAGGATTAGCTCTCTGATATCCGTATCTTCGATCTCCATAAGACGTCCTGTATGTGGGCTGTACTCTCCATTTCGGTATTTATAGAGCTGACTCAAGGTAAAAATAGGAGATTCAAGGAACAGTTCAGCAATGACGCAGCCGGCACTGAAAACGTCCATTGCCCAGTTCAATGAGCGGCTGCCTTGGTCCTCTCCGGCCTCCAAAAAGCGCTCCGGGGCAAGGTAGCAAGTTCTCCGGCCAGATGTATCGAAATAAAAAGAGAAGTCCGCAGGATTATCCTCGGGAAGGAACGTTGGCTTAAATGACGACGAGAAATCGGATAGATAAAGCCAGTTCCAAGATGTTACAAGAACATTTTCGGTTTTGATATCTCCATGAAAAACGTTCTGGGCATGACAGTCCCTAAGTGCGCATAAGAGCTGGAACGCTATCCACTTCTTCTCGATATCTTCCAAGAATGGGCGAGTGCTGTTCAAGATTAGCACTAGGCGTAAGCAAAGGATTTTTGAGAATAAAATAGGATCACAAACCTCATTCGATCATAGAGTGAGCTGTAGATGTACTGGCGGACAAGATAGCCTCCGGTGCTGGTTTCTAATATCCGCTGATACCCAAGCGCATTAGGGACACCCTCCAGCAACCTCCGCTCGCCTATATAATGATTACAGTTAGTATATACTATACAGTCGGTATATCGGGGGATGTTTAGTTATAGACGTACGCATTATGGCTCTGACATACGGGTCTAGCTTTAGACTTGGGTATGGTTTCATAATAACTTTCACGAAAGCCAGGCCATCTCGATGTCGGGCACGAATGCTTTTCATAAACCTGGCAGTCCCCAGAGATTTTTCATACGTGAGGTCTGCAAGCTCCGGGACATCGATGCCGGCGGAGCCCGCAGAGAGCGAGGTAAGTGAGTAGCCTTGACCCATGTTGACCGGTCAGGCATCGCTATGATTTCATCTGAAGGAATGAGGGAGGGGCCACAAGGACATCCACAGCATATATAGGAATCTATGTCTTATTAAGACTGTGATAGAACAGCTTCGCAAACAGCTCCTTGTATCATCAAGGCCTGGCTTGTTTGTTTGCTGTCTCGTCGTCGTTCTTTCAAGCTTGCTTGCTTGAGGTTGAGCTTCTGATTATATAATGTGTGATGTGTGGCTAGTAAAGCGTCTTATGTAAGAAATCTGTGGCTAGTGACGGCAGATTACATATACAAGTATTTGAGTTGTGGCTGGTGGATATTCGTGGCGCAAAAACTGTGGCTGAAATCTACATCAAAGTTTTCTTCACCAAAAAATTTTAAATAAAAATTAAATATGGATGCTTGATGTTTGGGCGGGCTTTTAAAGGGTGACCATGGCCGGTTCCTGAAGATGAGTTGCGGTACTCTGGATATGTTAGTGGATGGAAAGCACTTTCTTTGCTCTTTTTTGTTGCCTTGATAGATGTGGTGGTTCAGCCACAGCATCAACACTTGTTGACAAACAACATTTGATACCCCGAGCTACCACACATCAAGCCAGAAACAAACATGCATTGAAAACTCATTGAGAGATCTAATTATGGCTCCTATGCTATGGAGATAATTATATATCTGGTATGTACTCACTGCAAAATTTTTCCTGCAAGAGACTGTAGCCTTTGGCTTGTTTACTTTTATTTTCAATTGATTGTATTAGTGTATTTTTATTAATATTATTATCCAGGACTATTTCCACATACCCAAAACGTATATGGTATCTTTATTCTGTCTATTTGCGTACTCCATATTGACATCTTTCTCTAAATATAGCTTTCGATGACTGGATGACATTCATCGGTTTTGGAGTACTTCATGCGCGGTATCCCTTGCCACGTTTCAGAACGCGTTTCTATTTTCGTTATTTACCCCAGGGAACTCGTGGTGAATAAACGCCTATGAGGAGATTCGAGAGGCTTCTCAGAGGTTCTTCGGTGTCTTGCCGGACTGTTGAATCGCATCGGCGATCCGGGGTATATGGCATATACCCTTCCAGCCATAAATGTGCCACCCGCCATGTCAGCATGAAGAATATATTTTTAACTGCTGCCCACTATGGCCCACATACTGCAAATTTGCCCATATTTTAGTCCCTTTCTGTCTATCACTAGGCACTTTTTCATGACACATCATTTGGATGATGAGCTGGCATTGATGGGTTGAATGCAAGTTCCATACTGCACCTCAGCAAGCGCCACTGCCCACTCGAGGGATACAATGATATCCAATGGTTTTACCGGGCAATGGCCAGAAATATACTCCTTGCTAAAGATGCAAAATCACGAAGCATGTTCATGTCAAAGCCATCCTCTAATCCAGGCGGAGAAATAGATATTCATACCTCTCTTCAAGCACGCACGAATGTGGTATATGCCAAATCTGCAGCGTTAATCGGATTACTCAACCATGTTGCAAACCAGACAGATATCCAGATACGGCGTATCATCATGTACGCACCCTGCATGTTTCCATGAGCATGCAATATACATAGCCAGAATTACCTGCCATACTCCGGCGGAGTGTGCTGGCTTGTGGGACTCTTCCGAATGGGCTCAATGACTCTTACCGCCAGCAGCCTCCATATCATGACACCGGACATCGCCAGACCCATTCTTCGATACAGCTAGGGCTTGCATCCGTTATTTGCAAAATTCTGCCTAAAATGCCTTGCCAGGTCTGCTGTGAAACGAACATGGACCCTTCACCAACCTACGGCTTTGACCGACTTGAAAAATTGATAATGTAGCTTGCGGCAATCTCCGATCGAGTTACTAGGGCCCACCAGTGAACTGGACCTATTACAGCTGGGGGTTTGTATGTCATCGTCCACTTTCTCACGCCTTATCCAGTCGATGAAGCGGCTTAAAATCTCTGCCTGAGGGCCTGGGCATGTGCACCGCCTCATTGAAACAGGCATATACGGATGTAGCTACGTAGCAACCCTGGGGATTGCTGGCGATTTAGGATGTATGGACTCCGTGTTGGCTCTAGGGTCTCTCCAAGTAGTACTGGGCTAGCCCTTTTCGATGATGTGTGCTGAGCTATGGATCAGGAAATTACCAAAGCAGGCTATCGAACGGTAATATTTCGTCTGCAGGTGGTTACCTTCGTGTATGTACTGTGGCTTAGACACGATGTCCGCACCCACTGTCCTCCAAACGATAGCTGCCTGCCGCCGCCAAAGCTTAACCACATATTTCAGCGCCGAAGAGACAGACCAGGACGTTACTTTCAGCTTCTAATTACCGCTCTAGTCAAACGCAATATGACAGAGAAGCGACTTTGGTTATCGAAACATGCGGGGCTTGCAACTCAGCCTCAGGACAGCAACGTGGAAATGTCCTCATGGCTGCTGTGTACAAGCGTGGGCACAATATGGGATCTCGACAATTACTGTAGCTCCGTCTGAAGGGTTTCCTATGCGATTGATTTGGTGGCTGAATTGATTGGATGGGAAGGCCCTTATTTTAAAGATCCACCGACAAGGGCCTTGACCAACGCGGCTCTTCTGGCCTTAATTGAAATTACAGGGGTGGTCTTGGAAAATCGATTGGATCTCGCGGCAAGAATCGCATAGGCGCTAAATGCTTCTTGCAGAGCCAAGCATCTTCCGATTGGCTTCGACCGGGAAGATGATATGCCAAGCTTGAGGACGCATCTGCAAGAGATCACGATTATCAACTGAGCACTGCTGTTCCCCGAGGAGTATCGTTCTGTTTTTCTTCTGGCAAAAATCGTCGGTAGACAGAGCCTGACCGGCCAGTATCGCTCAATTTCCCCCTTTTTTCTTCCATCTGTCATCGCTGATTAGCAATATTTGGCAATCCCCCAGTCGCTTAGTGGCTGCATTTTGCTCGCTGCGATTCTATTTCGTACCATTCTCACACGGCCCTGTTGGCCTTTTGTGCAGGGTGGAGTGTTTTTTTATCCTGCACCCCGTTTCATAACAGGAAAATCCTACCTTTGAGGAAGGGGGCTATGTTGGATTACGGTAACCCTTGGTATAGTACCTGTCTCTCTACACAGTGCTCAAGGGAAAGCAGCCCCTGCGGATGAAGTAGGTTCTCCCATGCCCTAGAACACAACGTCCGCCTCACCATCCACGCTGAACACAGCCTCAAGCCTCCTTCCAGATGATGTCAATATACTCGACTCACCAGCCACGTCTTGTCTTCTTGTACTGCCATCCCCGCTGGCGCCTAACCTCCCCCGGTCCTCGGCCAGGCTATGGAGTGTTGCTCTAGGGAGTATTACACAGAATTTCCACGATAGGAATGGATCCAACTCAACTCAATGGATCAAAATCTCACCGAAATCGCATGTGATATCCCTTACGGACATGTACCTGTGGTGTGCACACACTGTCACCAGTAGCCTGAGCCCCATATACTGAACAGGTCGACCGCTGCCCGACCTGCGGGTCGCCTCACCTCGAACTCTATGCAGATTTATCTATTTCCGGGCTGTAATTGATCCTAGAGCCTCGTTCAGGCTCGTTGAGTCTCATCCGGATCTCTAGAAATAGTATTTTCTTCACACGGCGTTGACACAACTGGTGGGTGACCAAGGCCTACGGGGACTCACAAGCGACAGTCAAAGGAGAGTCATTCTCCCTATAATATAGAACAGCCGGGATTGAATAACCAGCAGCGAGACGACCACGCACAGCCAGAGACTGGGGCTTCTCAGAGGGCACGTTTGGGAACCCGAAGGGCCAACTTTTCACCGCTAACTATAAGCGTGCCTACATGAGGGTGCAGCAGGGAAATGAGTGAAAGTTTAGCTGCCCTGAACCGTTATGAGCCTCTCCCCTGGCGAGTGTACAGAGAAGCTGTGTTTTGATAGACGCCGCTCGCGTTACAAACCGACCAGTAATTCACTTGCAAATGCCCCGCCTCGTCACATAACGATGAGTCCCCTGGATTAGCCTTTATGTATGCGATAATACTTTCAGCAAGTCAACAAACGGCCCCCAGACCAGTACAGTTTCGACCAGAATATGCTCTCTAGAGCGAGCTACCAATGTCAAGGCCGCCATATTTTTGCTCTCCGGCGGCCACACCCCATTTTTACTATCGCTATCGACTCCAAAGATTGTCTTTTTGCTGCCTCAGTCCCTTGTCCGCCTTTAATTCTCCCAGGGCTATGCCTCGGGATTTACAGGGTTGAGTGGCAGGGGGCCATGGATTAGATGCAAGCCCCAATCCAGTCACTCGGGTTCGATTGTAAGTATTTTATCACAACCCAAAAACGAAAATCAGCTTTGCTTTTTATAACTACTCGAATTTTGCAATTCCTCTGAAAATATTTCCCTTGTTGACCGGATGGCTGACACCTGCAGTTGCACAGTCGTTTTCCCCCTGCGGTTCATTTTCCTTCCTTTTTTCTTAAGTCCTTTTTCCTTTTTCTATTGCTTCTCCACAAGGATTTGCAGGCCTCAGAAGCCCGGAGAACTGCGACTACATAGCATGCCGCTGCTACATACATACATTCATAGTCCAGACTCCAAAATCCGCCTTGGATTATGTAGGAGCCCTTTCCAAGCCTGCGCTCTTGCAGCTTGCCTAATTTAGACCAGGTCACTTTGGTCCCTATGGCGTCGATCCTATATTTTCACTTGTACGCAGACCTAACATATATATACCATTATACTTTCCTGCGTTTGAATACCCTCTTTTCTCCCCCAATCCCATAACACAGTGAACACTTCTATATTATTTAAAAGACCCATGAGTACTCGGATGTATTTATAGTCTGGATTCCTGTTGATAAAGACGGACGACGCAACCAACTCATAAAACCTCCTCTCTTCGTGACAATTTTACGATGCACCAACAATCTTCCAACTATCCTACGACACCCCAGAGTTGCACTCACACAGATGCAATCGCCCTTCAATCCTCATCAGCCACCGGGCTCGGTCTACTAAACTGCTCTGTCCCACCTGCCGGTCCATCAGTATCCATCTGCTCGCCATCTCAATCAATGCTTCAAGCTACCCAAGGGTGGCACGGGGAGCCGAATGTCGGTCACTGCTTTCCGAACACGCCTTCTAGAATGGTTACCTACCCCTTAATATCGATATACGATGGCCTACAGGTGGTGCCTAATGCATCGATCTCGTCCTTCAGTGTTCCAAGCAGCCATATTGATACTTCTTCGGCTGGTTTCCTAAGTCCTGTTCCGTTGATGAAGGTGGAAAGCAGTTCAACTATTCAGTCCAACATATATGCACCTGATTTGTCGTCGAACTACGGGGTGTCCCCAAGCCCTACTCATTCTCCACAGATTCTTAGTGAGGGTATGAGTGATGACTGGGAAGTAATAATAAACGACAACGCCGCAAAACAAGGCCTCTTCAACTTGGACGATCTTCCCTTATTTCATCAGCAAATTGGACCTCCTGCCCCTACAAGACAGCCTCGAGAAACAAGCACTTCAGTCCTTACCTCAACTCCTATCGACACTCAGAGCAAGCCTCACCGTTCCCCATTACGAACCTCAAACAGTAACAAGGTGGTAGGCAAACGGTCAGCTGAACTTGTTCAGTCATCTCCTGATGTGAAAATGCCCTCAAAAAAGAAGCGGACGCTGGACAGTGGGGATGGGAAATATGAATGTGAACAGTGTGGAAGGCAGTTTACACGGAATTCAAACTGCAGATCGCACATGAAGATACACGACCCCAACAGAAGATACCCTCACAAATGCACAATTGGTCAGTGTACCAATAAGTTCAGTCGAAAGACTGACCTTATTCGACATGTTGATAGTGTGAGTCCTCAAAAAGCCACTTCCCCTAATCCAATCGATGCTAATCAGCCTTATTTCCCTTCTAGGTGCATAAAAAACTAAAACGGTTTGGCTGCGACCAGTGCGGACACCGCTTTGCTCGACAAGATACACTGCGACGGTAATAATATTCTCTCTATGTGTATTGTGAATTCGATGCTAATGAGTGATAGGCATCGAGAGGATGGTTGTCGAAGACAACAACAGCATCGTCGAGCACTCCTGGAAAGCCAACAACAAGAAAAGTTACAATATCACCATCACCATCACCGCCAGCCAGACATTGTAACCACCACAATTGCGCCATCTGGCCTGGATGCCAGTCATGCTTACCCGATTGTCTCTATTCCCTATCACGAACCAGTTGCAGCATACACGACCCACTCTCAGCTACATGCGGCCCTTGTCACACCATACCTAAACCCCAGCAACGAAACCTACCATGAGTACATATGACTTAATATAATGGCAACTACATTTCAAACGACGCTACCGAGTGGCACGAAAAGCAACTGCCAGCAAAGCCTTCCTTGGCCTCCTTTATTGTTGTTTATTTTTTTATCCAAACATATAGAACGGTGCATTGGATAAGGACATACTTCTGTTCTAAATTCCTATTTCAGCTTGCGAAAGACTTGCATACCGTGTTTTACTTTTTCTTTTTCTCCCCATTTCTATCCATTTTCGCTTTCTTACATTGATTGGCGCAACCTGCGGGACTCACTACTTACATTCTTGGGTTAATCCTGTTTTCTATATTTTATTTTTATTTGTTTTTTTTTTTTTTCCCCTATCTGTGCATCGTCTCCTCTCTATGTGGTGAATACGGGGGGGCCATTTAACTCATACCAAGAATGGTAAAAGAAAGATGCCCTTCCGTTCTCTGCACTATTAACTACACATTTCTTTTTATTTGGCCCCGGAGCCTCGGAGTTCGAGCAACAAACCCCTGATCCACGATCTTCCCGCGGTGAAGTTCTTTGGTATTGAAAAAAAGATTATACCATATCTGATTGATCGATGTCTTTGTCCAGAGCGTTGATCAACAAACAAGCATTTTCACTTTCCTCCCATTTGGCCCCCTTCCGTGTTTTCCCATTCCCCTTGATTGGACGTCTTTTAGCGCCAGGCCCTTTCCATTTACCCACATGTCAACCAGGAGTTAATGTTGGTTAAGAAGCGATAGGCTTGGAGGAGACGTTGCAGAGTGCGGGGAGAAGGTGACGGCCCCCTTTTTTTGTCTCTTGTTTTTCTCTTGTGCCCTTGATGTCCCTTTAATTGGGATGTGAGCACGAACCAGGGTCCACCAGGGGATGGGCCGAAGCATGTTTTCATAGGATAGCAGGTGACGAGAGAGTAAGCGCCGGCCGTTGGCTCTAACAAATACATATATGCAATGGAATTATAAATTGCTGGATTAGCTCTCCTTACTCGTAGCTGCTGCTGCTGCTTACCCTCCCACCCTTCTCTGCTTTCCTCTTACGCTTATGCATGCGCTGTCTAGTGTCGAGTGTTGATTGACAGTTCTTATTCATCGAGACAAAGACGGCTTTAACCGCCTGATACCCGGATCGAGACTAGCTCAGGACCCTGTCTCCACTTACTTCCAGACTCCTTCTATGCAGGAAGGAAGGCCCCACTTAACTTTAATTTCTTTATTTTTATTTTAAGTTCTTGGCTCTTTCCGGCCGTCCGTGCGTTTTCCCCTTCGCTCTTTCTCCATGATGAAACAAGATCATCTTGGGGAACAACAACGAGAACAACAAAACCAAAACAATAAGAGGAAAAGATAGACAGTGGCTTTTTGGGTTCGATATCATGAATATGCAGTCTTTCTTCACCTTTTTATTATCTTTCTCTATAGATACGCTACTTGGAAGGGATGTTGATGTTTGACTAGTCGCCAGACTACCCACTTCTTTGCATAGAATGTAGTTAAGGGGACGTATGTCTGTCCATGGATATGTATACCCAACAGTTATAAATCATGCTTACAACATGGCTGAATATGCAGAGTATGCACCCCGTAGCTAATTTAGTTAATATTTTCCTTCTTGCTACCTCTTCATCCCAATTGCATTTTCGGTGTATCCTCGCTCAGCCCGTTTTGTGACAGTATTCCATTTGCAGCCAGTTCTTGCATAAGCCTTATGGCCGATTGCATATCCTGGAAATTTTCGCCTCTTTTTACCTTTTCCCTTTCCTTTGGCTGTACTACTCTTTTCCTGTGAAGAAAAGACCCTGTGACGAATGAAGGCCGATCGGGGCCCTCCGACATGTCGATCGCTCACCCAGATGGTATGCTCGAGGAATTTAGATTTGACCACCTTCCTTGACGTGAATTGCTTGCATTTACTTGCTTCTTCTGAGGCGTTGACTTGCTTACCTCATACTCGATTTCCTTCTATGTACTTTTCTGGAAGACGTCCCGCTTCAGGCCGGTTTGGCATGATCTCTCGTCGTCTGAGCTAAGTAAGTTCAGAATGCAAGATAAACCCCTCTCGTAGTTTTTGCATCAGCCTAAGGAGAATGCGTTAGCCAACCTTAGGTATATACCAATACGATTATGGCAGAACCCGTTTGTCGGACCGAGCTTTAGTTATGGCCCCCTTTCAGGCCCCTCAAGGCTTGGGGAAAGGGAGTACCCGAGAATCCACTTCGCTTCCCGTTTGCGTGCAGAGTTAAAGAGCAGGATGTGGGGAGCTTTACCTTGGAGGATAGTTAGCATAATGATAGTTATTGGGTGGGAGTTAATGGGGGCCTAAACTACGAACTACAGCAGTGTCCAGCCCCAACTCAGGCCCTCCGCTGAGCGATGCTTTTGTCTTAGCGCCCACCTGTCCGACTCACGTTATTGTTCGATTCTCCTTCTCGAAAGAGACTATGCGACCAACAAAGCTACCACCAAAGCCAGACGGGGAGGGTTGACAGTGCAGCAAGATGATCAGCTTCCACTGCGGTTGTACCATGTCTGCTGGTTGACTTAATTCCAGATAACGGTATGGTGTTTAGGGCTCCGAGAAGACTCCGAATCACCCGCCCACCAGTGGAGTGACTCTCTCGCGTTGGCCAATTGGTCCCCTTTAATCGATGTTGTAACAGCCAACTTTAACCCAAGGACTGCCAAACGGAGACCCTGCAGCAGGTAACCCTTTTTTACCCCTGCGCGCGGGATAGATCGGCCGTCCCTTCAAAGGTCTCGTCCCAAGGTTTGGCTTCTTTCGTACTCCCAACTAACCAGGTGATCGCCCAAAATGAAGCCATCTACCCAGTGATATGGGCCAGGGCAACTAGCATCGTGATTCATGTTTGAAGGCACTCCCAGATTAATTTACCCGTTTGCTTCAGCCTTTGACGATGATGCAATTAGCCTACTTGCAACTATTTTTCATACCATGCAATGCATGAAATGATTGGTAAATGCTCGGACTCCTAACTGCAAAATATCTTTGCATCTTGGTGGTCAATGGCTAACCAGTTAACCAGCTAGTTATATACTTAGTTAGTTAGCGGCAGGTTGCACACACCTGAAGAGTCAATCGCAGCATCGCATAGCATGGATCCGGTATCATGCATCTTCCGTGAGTGAATTCCAACCCCCAACATCAAACTTGCAGTTTTCTCCCTACCAAGTTCCTGCTTGCTTCCGTGACGATGTCTCTGGCCCTATGCATCTTGAGCTGTATTCGTATAGACTTGAAAAATTCACCTGGAGGGGCCACCCAGTGTGTATATTGACCCCTGAACCATGCAGTTTAGCTATAGACGGTAGCTAGCAAACCGTTCGATAACGATGGCACCTGTATGCAGCAGGCCAGGATACACATGAAGAGCCCTCCTGATAGCACATCGAGTCCATCGGAAGCTCCCCTTTGCTGTTGGGGTCCGAACCTAGCAAAGTGCTCCAGGGGTGAGCTTGGTGACGATGACCATCGGCGACTTCGACCGTGGCTGTGACCGGATAAACCGACAGGCCTAGCTAACTAATACCTAAACCGTAGTTAACTAAATAACTAGTTACGTAGGTTCAACCATGTCGTCAGCGAGAGAAGGAGAGAAGAGAAAAGCAAAGATGTCTCGGGGTCTTCGCTGCTGACTTACTGGCTGCTCCGCCAACTACTTACGGCGCGCGGAGGGTGAAGTGTTCGGCGCAGCAAAAGTGCCGCTGGGCGATTTTGAACTGACCCGCGGGCGTTTAGTGAACTAATTTTACCCCACCTGGGCTGGTTGGCCTGACCTGCAGAAATATTTTGATATGGGCGTTGCTGAAATTTGCGCCAGATAGCCAGCAACCTCCCTTTTCAGCGTCCTCCCCCCCTCTACAGAGTACATCTCATCTACTCTTCTCGCATACCTGCTGCCTTGGACACGCCGCCATCGAACATTGGTGATTTACTGTCCTGAAACCCTCGCAACGCCGCTGCCTACCCCCCTCCTTTGACCCCGAGAGCTCCACGCGGGTACTCCGTACAGCCCCCATTTGATCACATCACCATGTCGGCCACAGCCAGTGTAACGGAGCCCATTACGGCAGGGAACGTTGCGACCCTCTTCCCCGATGTCGATACCCAGTTTGGCGGCGCGAGCTCTGCCCGGTTGGGAGGAGAACTCGACGGGTACAACGAGGACCAAGTCAAGCTGATGGACGAGATGTGCATCGTCGTGGACACAGATGACAAGCCGATTGCGTCTGGCAGCAAGAAGACTTGTACGTTACTACATAGATACACATGCATACATCTGGGTCACAAGGGCTCGTCCGGAACTGAAAACCATCTAACCGCTGTACAATAGGCCATCTGATGACCAATATCGGCCGTGGGCTGCTCCACCGTGCATTCTCCGTCTTCCTCTTCGACTCGCAGAACCGCCTCCTGCTTCAGCAGCGTGCCACGGAGAAGATCACCTTCCCAGACCTATGGACCAACACCTGCTGCTCTCACCCTCTTGCTATCCCTAGCGAGATGGAGGCGAGCGGAGCAGCTCTCAGTGAGGCTGTGAAGGGTGCTCGCACTGCTGCCAGGAGAAAGCTGGACCAGGAGCTGGGAATAAAGGAAGTCCAGGTTCCAGCGGACAAGTTCGAATTCCTCACCAGGATTCACTACCTTGCTCCCAGCGGCGATGACGGGAAATGGGGCGAGCATGAAGGTGAGTTTTTCCTCGCTCTATTATTTGTTTCTTGTTTCCATTTTGGGTCCTGAGAGTGAGGGCTGATGATTCAACACAGTTGACTACATCCTTTTCATCAAGGCGGATGTCGACTTGAACCCCAACCCCAATGAGGTCCGGGATGTCAAGTATGTCACACCCGATGAGCTGAAAGCGATGTTCAAGGACCCGAGTGCCAAGTTCACTCCATGGTTCAAGCTCATCTGTGACGACAAACTGTTCGAGTGGTGGGAGAACTTTGGCTCTGACTCGTTCAAGAAGTACGTCAACGACGAGAAGATATGTAGAATGTAGTTGGCCATGGGAGGGAAGTATATACGGACTGACTGCTTCTGAATAATGTTCGGGTTGTTAATTTAAAAGAGTTGATTTGACGGATATATGAAATGAATGCCCCGTCAAGACTCAACGTCATGGCGAAATGAAAATTATATTTGATTAAAAAAAAGTACCCCGGGAGAAAAACGACCGTTATGTCCACAAACCTTAGTAGAACAGGCTAAACGCTCAGAAAGAAATATAATGAATGTATGAACAACACGCCTGCATGCAAATGATGGATGGTATAATGCAAGCATAGGCACGGTGCGTAAGTAAAGGGTATCAAAGAAAGCAATGCAATGCCGTGTAAAACCAGATCAAATATAAATATCCATCCGGACTCCTGCAGGCAGACGGAACCCTAAGTAGACATCGTTCTGTTGTATATAGAGATTAGTCAAGCGAGGTTGGTAGCAAAGATAGCGGTGGGCAAGATATATAAAAGTGTCGAACGATACCTCCTGTTAGTACTCAAAAAGAGAATGCAAGTTCCGATGATGACAACAGCGACAACGCAGAAGATAACCTGTGTCTTCCAGCCGCTCTGCACCAGCGCAGCACGCCGACTATACTTGGCCAGCGTGTGAATGTAGTTTGCAACTCCGCTGATGATAGTCCCAAGAGCAAGCACCCAGAACAGTATCCCCAGCGGGAGGGCATAGTTGCGCTCCAACGCCGTCGGCTGGGCTCGGAGATGGAACGACAGGACGATAGCACTCGACACGATCGAGAGATACATGGATAGCCGGAGCCATGCTAGAAACGTACGCTCGTTGGCGCAGTGGTCTCGTGCGTCTGACGCGCTGTTCTCCAGCAACAGGGCCCCGAAAAGGGGTTTGGTGAAGACTACCCGCTTCTTCGACGCTACCTGTCTGTTCACCTTGCCTGTTAGCATATGCTGATGCTGTCATCTTGATCGCTACCAAGGATGAAACAGGGATGAGATGACTCTTAAGCCAGAGTCTCAAAGGTTCAAGCGGTCGATACGAACTTGGTGACGTTTACTGGTTTGATGCTGAACGGGTTTGATAGCCGGCCAAAGGGGTGGCCAGAGGGATCGTCCTCGACGTCGACCTCCGGGGTATGCGGCATAGTCTTTATCATCTCTGTCTCTCTTCTCGTCCCCGCCTTCTTCTTGGACTCTTATCCTCGTCGTCCTCGTCTTCGTCTTTGTCGTTGTTCCGTCTTTGTTTTGTGTTCCCAAAAGGGTCATCACGTGACTTGAATCATGTGATTGCTTGTACTTTCCCGATCGGGAAGCATCAACACATTCATGGACTTTTCTGGATTCCGATATCAACCACCAAGAAAGACAAAGGACGACCAGGGTATCTCTGTCAGCGCAGCAGGGGGGTAAGCTCCATTTCTACATGGACACACACGGAAGAGAGGTTGCAGAGGAATACCAGATGCTGTATACGACCTTGATCCGCCCTTTGGCCTGTTTTTTGGGAGGACTCGGATAATTGCTTTTTCCCCAGTTCTTTTTTTTTATTTCAAGCTGAAGACTCAATTCCTTTTGGCCCCGAGTGACTTCCTCTCCGTCTTCCTCTCTCTCTGTTTGTCCGCATATCAAACAGAAGGTTGTCAATTGCCGCAGTGCAGCTCGAGCCCTTAGGATGCCATCACCACCACAGAACATCCCCTCACGGGCCACTGATATCGATGGTCAGCTCTCCGGAACCTCCCCACTAGGTAGGACGGTTAGCGCCTCGCACTCCTTAGCAGGCTCATACAGGAGACCCAGCTTCTTCACCATGGGCGGCCCTCGAGGAACAGTCGTTCCCCATACCCACGGAGCAGACAACCTGACGGATGCAGAACGGGAACGGGCACGGGAGGAGGAACGGACATTGTTGGAAGACAATGCCATCTCATACTCAGCAAGCAAAAAGACCAAGGGGCCTTCTGCTGGGCCGACAGAGACGACTTCGCTTCTAGGGAACGGTCAAGATGCTTCAGCCAACGGAGAGGAAGCTTCTGCTGATGCAATCATCGACCAGAAATGGGATGATGCTGTGATGGCGGGGTTGATCAAGACGACATGGGCAAGAGAGGCAAAAGTGCTGGTGCAATACAGTGCTCCTCTGATATTCAGCTTCCTGCTCCAGTACTCCCTTACTATTGCTAGCATATTTACTGTTGGCCATATCGGCAAGGTTGAGCTGGCTGCCGTCAGCTTAGCCAGTATGACAGCTAACATCAGTGGCTATGCGGTCTATCAAGGTCTTGCAACCAGTCTGGATACCCTTTGCGCTCAGGCATATGGCTCAGGAAACAAGAAGCTAGTCGGCCTCCAGACGCAGAGAATGGTCTGTTTCCTTTGGACCATGACCATCCCGATTGCCATTTTCTGGTTCTTTGCCGGCCACGTCTTGAGAGCCATTGTCCCTGACAAGGAGGTGGCCGAACTGGCTGCTCTTTACCTGAAAGTGGCTATTCTTGGAGCCCCAGGATATGCACTCTTTGAAGCAGCCAAGCGATACGTGCAGGCTCAGGGCTTGTTCTCTGCCTCCCTCTACGTTCTCTTAATTGGTGCTCCTGTCAATGCGTTCCTGAACTGGTTCTTTGTTTGGGTATTGCCTACCCCTTTACTCTATACTCTATTTCAATCGCATTCAACTAACGTTTTACTTAGAAATTGGACATGGGTTTCATTGGCGCGCCCATTGCGGTAATCGTTTCCGACAACCTTCTCCCAATCCTCCTATTCATCTATGTCTACTTCTTTGCTGGCATGGAATGCTGGAATGGATTTACTTATCGAGCATTCCAAAACTGGGGCCCCATGGTGCGCCTGGCCCTACCTGGCTTCCTCATGATGGAAGCAGAAGTCCTTGCATTCGAGATCCTCACCCTGGCAGCCGCCTACCTTGGAACCACCACTCTGGCAGCCCAGTCTGTCCTTGCAACCATCGCTGGTATCATGTTCCAAATTCCGTTCCCACTCTCAATTGCTGGAAGCACCCGCATTGCAAATTTCATTGGTGCTGCCCTTCCCGATGCTGCTCGTGTCGCTGCCAAGGTCAACATGACCGCTGCCATCATCGTTGGCATCATTAACATCACTCTCCTTTCTACCCTTCGATTCTATATACCCGCCCTATTTACCTCGGATGAGGATGTGATCGAGCTTATTGCAGCAGTCCTTCCGCTCTGTGCCTCCTTCCAGCTCTTTGATGCCTTTGCAACAAACTGTAATGGTGTGCTCCGTGGCCTTGGAAGACAGTCCATCGGAGGATACACCCAGCTCTTCTGCTACTACGTCGTTGCACTCCCTATTGGCATGGCCACCGCATTTGGCCTTCACTGGGATCTCTGGGGCCTATGGGGTGGTGTTGCCATTGGTCTTTTCCTTGTCGGCCTGATTGAAGGTATATTCCTGACCCAAACGAGCTGGGAGCACGCAGTTTCGGAAGCTCAAAAGCGAAACGAAGAAGTCTAAGGCGACATTCAACTTTTTCTTCCCTGATTTGATGCCATTTCCTCATTATTTTAATTTGGACTCACATAATACTATTGCATGTCACCCGTGGCAAGTACCACTTCCCAGGCCCTCTTTGGCTTCTGTATTCGCTCACAAAATGGTTTGTTATTTTACATGTTCTTTTTGATTATAATCCAGCCTTGCAGTGGTGCAGCTTGCATTTTCACTGACAGATTTGTCTATTACGAGAATTCCGTGAGCGGACGGTGGCACATATCATTACCAGCAATATCTCAGGTTTAACAGTGACTCTATTCAGAAATAAGATAATAGCGTATTTTATATATACTTGTTTATTTAATAACGTGGCTGCATGCTGTTCACATGGAGTATATTTGGGAAAACATCGAGCTCCAACCAAAGCACAGTAACGTCAACAATCTAAATCCCGTCAAACTCCAATATCAAGGCCGTAAACCCCCATAGTCAACCCTTATAACAAAAATGAAAAAAATGTCCAGGCCCTAGACATGTAATGCTCCCTCCTATCCCAACACCTTCATTTTCTTCTTTTTCTTCCCTTCTCCCTTATCACCACCTTTTCTACCCTTCTGCCAGTCCCTCCAACTCCCAATACGCGTATCCCTCGACTCTTCCCACGCCTTTTCATCATCTCTTTTCCGCTTTCTTGCCTCCAGCTCTTCCTCTTCCCTCTTCTTCTCCCTTCCTTCCTCCTGCATCCTACCCTTCAACTGTCTCCGACGCCTAGCTTCTTCCTCCAGCAAGACAAACACAGTTTTCTTCCTCCATTCCTCTTTAAACTTTTCCGTCTTGAGCTCTGGTGAATCAAGTGTATATTTATGTTCTCTAATTAGCAATCGTCGCGCGTCCGCTATGCATTCGTCTAGATGTGCTCGCTGCTTTTCATCGAGGAGAGCTGTCTGCGCTTTTTTAAGTCTGTCAAAGGCATCTGGGGCAGCTGGGTTGGAGGTTTTATCGGGGTGAATGAGTAGAGACTTTTTTCGATATTGGACTTTTATATCGGAGTCTGGGACTCCGGGCTGGAGATCGAGTACCGCGTAGCTATTAGCCGTGTCCGTCAGCTTTTATCTTTGCTAGCAAATATATAAAGGTAAAACTAAGCAGTATCACACATACGCATCGAGTTGAAAGGCCTTCCTTATGCGATCGATCTCTGCATCCTAAGTTATAGTGTACTGGTTAGCTATGGAGGTTGTTCTAGTAAGCTGGCTAGTTAGCCGTACCTTGTTGAACTCTGAAGCTTCCTTCTCCAGTGAGTTCAGTGAATCAAGAGCATCAAGCTCCTCATCTGCAGCCATATTCTTGTCTGATTCCGCCCCGACACTCAGTTGCGTCGTATCACCTGAATTCCTTTTCCCTTTCGATCCTTCAATGCGGTTTGATCGCTGGTTTCGACGTCGGATTTCACTTTCGTGATGCTTCTTATCGATAAGATGACTAAGCATGCGGATATAATTTTTTTTTCCTAAAGCAAAAAAGTTCGAGATGGAAAAAGCAGAGACGAAGACGAAGATAACGACAAGACGGACAAGTTGGATAATACGCTAGACGGCACACAATGGCGAAGGATCGCTCGTTGCGGAATGGGAAACCGTTGTCGAAAGCGCCTCGCCAAAATCCTCGAATACTAAAACGAAAGAGGAACGAAGATGATATAGCATCACTCAAACAGCGAGTTGTAGAGCTTGATACCAAAGCTGCGATTGAGAGCTTTACTGACCTTCCACTCTCTGAAGCGACGAGACTGGGTCTCTCTGCATCTCATTTCAAAGAATTGACAGATATTCAGTCGCGTGCGATCCCTCATGCGCTGCAAGGAAGAGACATACTCGGCGCGGCCAAAACTGGGAGCGGGAAGACACTGGCCTTCCTTGTCCCAGTGCTAGAAAATCTGTTTCGAAAACAATGGACGGAATACGATGGACTGGGGGCAATGATAATATCACCGACTCGCGAATTAGCTATTCAGATATTTGAAGTTTTGCGCAAAATTGGTCGACACCATACCTTTTCGGCTGGACTTGTTATCGGAGGGAAAAGTCTACAGGAGGAACAAGAGCGTCTCGGGAGAATGAACATACTTGTGTGTACCCCTGGACGTATGCTACAGCACATGGACCAGACCGCGGCGTTCGACACGGATAATATACAGATGTTGGTGCTGGACGAGGCGGATCGGATTATGGATATGGGATTTCAGAGCACAGTAGATGCGATTGTGGAGCATCTCCCCAAGGAAAGACAGACCATGTTATTCAGTGCTACGCAGACGAAAAAAGTGTCCGACCTTGCTCGGCTGAGTCTACAAGATCCAGAGTACATTTCTGTGCACGAGGCTGCTTCCAGTGCCACGCCGTCTACTCTACAGCAGCATTATGTTGTGACACCTCTACCTGACAAGTTGGATACGCTATGGAGCTTCATTCGGAGCAGTGTAAAGTCTAAGATCATTGTCTTCTTTTCTTCGAGTAAAGAAGTTCGTTTTGTCTATGAAGCTTTTAGACAGATGCAGCCTGGAATACCACTTCTACATCTTCATGGCCGACAGAAGCAAGGGGCACGACTTGATATTACACATAAGTTTTCGGCCTCGAAGAATTCATGTTTGTTTGCTACAGATGTAGTCGCAAGAGGTCTTGACTTTCCGGCCGTCGACTGGGTCATCCAGCTGGACTGTCCTGAGGATTCGGACACATATATTCACCGGGTTGGGCGCACCGCGCGGTATGAACGAGACGGAAGAGCGGTGCTGTTCCTTGATCCCAGTGAAGAAATAGGTATGCTCTCTCGCCTGGAACAGAAAAAGATACCCATCGAAAAAATAAATATCCGAGCCAACAAGCAGCAGAGCATAAAACACCAGCTGCAAAATATGTGTTTCAAAGATCCGCAGCTCAAGTACCTTGGACAGAAGGCTTTTACCTCTTATGTCAAGTCAATATATATCCAAAAGGATAAAGAAGTGTTTGACGTTAAGGCGCTCCCGCTAGAGGAATTTGCGGCAAGCTTGGGTCTTCCTGGTGCGCCGCGCATCAAGTTTATCAAGGGAGAGGATACCAAGTCACTGAAGAACGCTCCTCGGAAGCTACAGCTTGTTTCGAGCGATGATGAGGATGAAGACGAAGATGAGAATGCCGAAGGCAAAAAGAAGAAAGCCAAGGCACCTGAAATACGGACCAAGTATGATAGGATGTTTGAGAGAAGGAATCAAGACGTCTTCACTGAACATTATACCAAACTTATATACGATGAAGAGGCGGGCGACAAGGACGGTAGCAAGGCAAAAGATGCTACAAATGGCGATGATGACTTCCTTGCAGTGAAAAGAAGATATGAAGTTGAGGATGATGAGGAGGCTGATGACGAGCCTCGCAATGATTCCGGTATACAAGTGAAAGAAGTAGCCGGAGGAGTCCGAGCAGTGCAAATTGAAGGCCGAGCCCCTCTACTCATTGACTCGAACCGACGAGAGAAGCTACTACAGTCTAAGAAGAAGCTCCTCAAGTACAAGAACCCCGGCAAGAAGCTGGTCTACGACGACGACGGTAATGCCCATGAGATTTACGAGCTAGAGGATGAAGAAGACTTTAAGAAGCGAGGAGATGCAGCGGAACAGAGAGCCAAATTCCTTGAGCTTGAGACTGAGCGAGCACGACTGGCAGATATTCGTGACAAAGAGATCGCCAAACAGAAGAAGCGGGAAAAGAAAGAACAGCGTCGGGCGAGGGCGAGGGCAGAGCGAGAGGCTGCAGCTGCCGAGGATGGCGATGGCCCCGTTGCTTACCTTGCGCCGTATGAAGGAGATGAGGGAGAAGGTGATGCCATGGAAGGTGAAATGGGTGAGACTGAGATCAGACCTCCAAGCAAGAAGCAGAAGACCCAAGGGGGCCATGACCAGGATACTAACAACAGAAAAGAGAAGAAGAAGAAAGGGACCAAGGTCACTTTTGACGAGCCTGCTGAGATGCAGACGCTGGAGGACCTGGAAGCTTTTGCCAGCGGTCTACTTGGATAGTCAGTTTTTGCCTTCTATTTCTGCCCCCTTCTTGCACACGGGGCGCCTGGATACGTCACGAAGTCATGAGGATATAGTATTATCTATATCCATTAGTAAAATAGAACTTTCCATTCTAGCCTTTGGACTTGTAATTGGTGATATTTTGGCCAATATTCGCGCAACACCACAACCAGAAACATCTAAATCTGATCACATATCTCGGCAGACAACAAAAAACCAACGGCTGACAACGCGCGCCGCTGCCAACATAGTTAGTTATTTCTCCGCCGTTGCATCATCGTATTCTCTTGTTCCTTTGCGGGGTCATCCAGCTGGACGGCTTGGGAGCAGGGGATATCTCAGTATATCGACCAGGATTGTACGAGATATCGGACCCCGGATGGTCGCCTTTCCACCACTCGCACTACGCCAGAGGCCAGTAAAGGGCCATCTGGAAGCCTTCCCTGTGCCAGGATGCCATCTCTACCGACTCCCCCAGGCTCAGGCGACCTCTCCAAGCTGTTTTCCGGGTCAAAGAGACTCTCAGGCCAAGCCGCTGGCCGAGCAGCTAGAGTGACTTGGAGATCCAACTAAACATCCTTCCGCTGCGTCTGATGCTTGGCTTAATAATAGAAACTTCCCGTCTGTAAGCTCGGGTTTGGCTTATTTCTTTGCATCTTCGTCCGGGTTCTGGTTCGCTGGGGAAGCCTGGGAGACTTTGCGGGCGACATCCAGGGCACGCAATTTAAGCACCAAATTTTCCTCGCCACCTGATTTTCGTCCCGAGATGGGCTAGCTATGTAAAGTGTACGGAGTGCATAACTATATCATGCCGGAGAGAAAAGAATAAGATATAACTGCGTTGTCTGCCTCTGTCTCGGGCTTGGTACGTGCTGGTTGTCGAGCGGTTGACCGAGTACGGGCCGTTGCCGTTTCTTTCGGCTTTGGGATAGGTAGTTATATAAAGGTACTCGGCCCGTCCACTGGCTGCTTGGGCTGGTCTTTCGTCTGGATTCTCTTCTGCCGTCAACAATAGACATAGACAAGATGGCACCCTCTAACGTGCAAGACGAGATCAGGCCTCCGGCTACGTACGAGAGCCATGATGTGGAAAAGTCGATGGGCGCAAACGAAGAAAAGGTCGATGGCGCTCCCCTAGTGGTATCGGACAAGCTTGCACGCCAGCTCTCTGCTCGTCAGGTGCAGATGATTGCGATTGCGGGAACGATTGGGACAGGACTGTTCTTGGGGACAGGCAAGTCGCTGGCTACTGGAGGCCCAGGATCAATGTTGATATCGTATTCCATTGTGGGAGCCATTGTCTTCATCACCATGCTCTCTCTCGGCGAGATGGCCACCTTTATACCCATCGCCGGTTCTTTCTGTACATATGCTGGGTAAGCCACCCTTTACCCTTACATATATATATGCCTCACTTCACAGCTAACTAGGCATTGAAGACGCTTTGTGGACGATGCCTTTGGCTTTGCTTTGACCTGGAATTACTGGTTCAACGATGCGGTTGCAACAGCGGCAGATTTGGTCGCCTTGCAGCTTCTGCTGAAGTACTGGACGGATTCCTTTCCTGGATGGGCGTTCAGTCTCATATTTCTCTTCGTCCTGGTCGGACTGAACATAGTGTCCGTTAGGGCATACGGCGAGGTATGGACATGCTCAATTTGTCTGCCAAAATAGGATCAGCTAACACCTGTACAGATGGAATATATCCTCAGTTTGCTCAAAGTCGTCACTATAGTTGTAAGTGACACTTCTCCTGTATACCAACGGGCCAATCCTAGCGCAATACTGACTCAGTAAAATTTCAGATATTCATCATTCTTGGAATTGCTGTCAACTGTGGTGGCAATGTCGACCACAGGTATATTGGCGGCAGCGTCTTTCTCAAGGGGGATGCGCCCTTCGTTGGCGGAATTGGTGGCTTTGCCTCCGTATTTGTCACGGCCTCATTCGCATAGTAAGTGATTGCAGTTACACTTACAATCTCTATCTATCATATCTATCTCTGTTTTCTTTTTGCCTCATATATGCTAACTTGTTGGCCAGCGGCGGAACGGAGTCCATTGCCATCACCGCCGGAGAGACGAAGGACCCCACGCGCACCATGCCAAAGGTGATCCGCAATGTCTTCTGGCGAATCCTGATTTTTTATATCCTGGCCATCCTCATGATTGGTCTGAATGTGCCATACGACTACCCAGAGCTGACCACCAAGGACTCCCGGACCTCCCCCTTTACCATCGTCTTCCAGCAAGCAGGCAGCCGTATTGCAGGCAGCTTCATTAACGCCGTCATCGTCACTAGCGTCATTTCTGCTGGTAACCATGCACTGTTCGCTGGCACAAGATTGCTCTACACCCTTGCTGTTAATGGCCACGGTCCTGCTATTTTCGGGAAGCTTAATCGGTGGAAGACCCCGTGGATTGCTGTCATAGGCACATCTGCCATTAGCGGCCTTTGCTTTGGTGCAAGCTACATCGGTGCTGGCCAACTCTGGACTTGGCTACAGAAGTAAGTTGCTCAAAATCTTTCACACCAATATATCATATTTCCGTCCGGCTTTTCATCGCCGCTTTCCTCCTACATTTCTCCAGTAAATCATACTAACTTCCTTCCCTCTCCATACAGCATTGTTGGTGTATCCAACCAACTCTCCTGGATGGCTATTGGATTCTCCTCGCTGCGTTTCCGCCAGGCTGTCCGTGTGCAAAACCTCGAGCATCTTCTCCCTTTCAAAAAACTGGACTTACCCGTGGGGACCCATCCTATCAATCGGACTCAACGGTTTGCTCATCCTCGTCCAGGGGTGGTCGTGCTTTTAGCCCAAAGTTCAAAACCAGTTGACTTTGTCAGCTTCTATATACAAATTCCGGTACTCCTATGCATGTTCCTAACCTGGAAAATTTGTAGTCATGAAACGAAATTCGTCAAGTTGGAAGAGATGGATCTCTTGACCGA